ATATTAGATAGCTTTAATTTTTTAATAATTATAATGCCTTAGCAATAGCACGGCACCATATTCTACTGGGGAAGATTGGTAGTAATCGTACAATACTACCAATCTCTCTACTACTACAAAACTCTACAATCTCATTGCTAGCAATATACCCTATCAGCTCGACTTGGAAATTATTGTGATGAATTTTATTGTTAAATTAGTCTCAATAGGCCACAAATAATATTGTTAAAATGTTTTGCAATTTTTTTTTGCAATAGGCCAACTAACCTGCTTCACCCTCACCTATCATCCCTCACTAGTGCCCTCCCAGTATATTGTATACCGTTAACGAAAGCGGGGTAACCATTCCTCTATCAACCATTAAAAAAACATATTCTACTAATAAAATACATTATTCTTAAGTGCACTGTTTAGATTTATTTAGTTATCTAATTATAAATTTATGTATAGATTCATCAACATCATTATAATGCCGTGCGATTGCCAAGTCGATATAATTATTAGGTATATAGGCAATATAGCTAGTCATATTGTTTAGTTATGATACTACTCTTGATTATTAAAAATTCAAACTTCTTGCTTTACCCATAATGAAGTTACAGGTGATCAAAATTGCTATGAATCGCTTCGAAAAAAGGATGGTATGCCCATACTCGCTTTGGCAGGGGCACTGCACTGCCCCCTGATACTTCTATCAACATTCCCTTAAACAAGTATGTACCTATATAATTAAACATTTGTCATAATGTACAACTAATAACCTATACTTTATCAACTAGGTATTTCTAATGGATGTAAGTCAAATTGTAATCTTCGCTATTTGATAATGCTAACGATTAATGAGTGAAGATAGTCTTATTTATAAGACTATCTTCTCTACCAACCAGGTCGACCTCCTCGCGGTTCTCCCTGGAAATTGTTATGGTTAATTCCTGATGAATTCATCATGATGGGCTAACTGGCCTGTTTTCATTCTCATCTATCACCCTTCACTGGTGCTCCGCCAGCGTATCCCGTCAGCGCAGGCGGTGAAATCCCGTGGATGTCATAAGAGCCGACTAAGGGAGAGCGAGAGATGGGAAGCAGCGTCCCTCTTAAAACATCTCTAAAGCCTGACTGCGGTTGCCAATCCGCCTTCCAAGCGTGGCAACTACTGGAAAACTCCCCCCCCCCCCTCCCAAGGGAGAGGCTTACCTTCAGCAGTGGACAGATAAAGGCTGATATGATGATGGTGAAACTACTGCAGTAGGTATACCAATAACGCAAATGGGTTTATTGTTCCATTTTCATCATATAAAAAAAACACCACAATTCACATTTCATGTAGGAGATACATATAGGGACGCGTCAAACATTTAGAACATAAAAAATAAAAATAAATTAATTTCTGTATTTCGGACTGCAAAAAAATTTTGTATTTCAATCGTGACGTTTTGATTAAAATTTGGCGATGGTTTTGTCGTAAAAATAGGCAAAAACTTCAAATCTCATTTTTAAGGTCGCTTACAAAGTCCTTATGTTATAGTAAACTGGTAGTAGGTAGGTACTATTTCTCTATCTTCATGCCACGTCCCTTACAGAGCAAGCAAAGTGTCACATCTTCCACAAAATCCTATCATCGATATTCAGATTCCGACTCAGAAATTATTATCATTTGGAAATATTTTTAAAATCTAGAATTTTTTATTTTGCATACGAGTACGCTACTTCTTATTCCGGTTAATGAACATAATTCCGATTACACGGACGGAGTCGCGGGTAAAAACTAGTTTTTAATAAATATTTTGAATGACAGTAATTTTTCCAATTATCTATACTAAATGAATATTAAAATATAGAAAGCGTGTAAAAAAATATTTCAAATTATTTTTAATAATACCTAATACACACGTATGAATGCTCGTAATAGTCGACTTTTGTGACCTTGTTACGTCCACATGTTGAAATATCGCAAGACTGAAACAAAACAACAGTTGTACAACTGTACACTGCAAACAAATGAATACTTTGAACTGGTATTGAAGTTAAATATAATTAATTATCAACAGGTTATCGATTGAAAGGGTCAATTAAGTATAAACGAGCACCTATCTATTTAGCTGGTATCCATCCTCCAATCTAAATCCTGACTGTAAAAGTACATTACTAAGAGGCATAAAATTAAAATTTGTGATGTAGAATTAAAAACAGCTCTATTTCTAGAAATAGTATAGAAATAGTACTAGAAATATAATCTATTGTGAGAAATAACTTTTTGGAGATAACTGTGAATTTTCTAAAGTGTATAGGAAGACTAATTTATAAAAAGACTTGTCTCATATCATAAGAATAGACTTAGACTGATAATTAGTGAATATTAGAGTAAATTTTGTCAATAGGTATTAATGTGATGTATTGTAGTGAAGATAATAAAAAGCGGTCAGTGGAATACACGACTAGGTACATTTTAGGAATGTTAAGATTGAATCCTAGAAATTGAGATTTTTTAGTGGACGATTAAGAAATAGTAAGCCTACCGGCGCTATCTGAACACGCGGGGCACTAGTGAAGGGTGATAAGTAAAGAAGAAAGTAAATTTCTTTTTTAGAAGTGAGATGATCAGAAATTCATTACACCTGATTTTATATACTCAACACGGCGTCTGTTTTCTTTTGTTACAAGTGTTCTCGTTGAGGTAAACATTGAGTATTGGGAAAATATCATTAAAGACAGAAAGGTGATCAGAAGTTTCTGTAAATGGTGATAATAGAATGGTAACCTTATCTGTGCTATCGGTATATGCTAGCGAGTTACCAATGAATAAGTATACTTTATTTGCATTATACAATATAGGAAATAAGCAAGACAATTTACAAACACAACGATACAATTGTATAAGTACAGTAAGTCGGTTTTATTCTTGAGAGCAATCTTTTCAAATCAAATCTTCCAATGTGATGATGAATGAGAATAAAAGCAGGTCGGTTTAAACATACTGACGAATTAAACAACCGTGTGGAGGTTGACCGGCTAAGTTATATTACTAGCAATAGGACTCCATTAATAACAATCTTTTTCCTCCCTGATGACCGCAAGTTAGTCCATCACGATAAATTTATCAAGTAAAACCGTAAAGACCATTACTAACAAACGATTCCCTACATAGTTTTTGAGCTAGGCTAGCATAACAATGCACAATATTTTGCGCCAATAGTTTACATCTCGTGATTTTGCAAATTAATATCGTACGTAGCAACTCATTAGTGGTCATATTACTATCTGCTTGCCTACTTGTTATCAAAATTTACGTGACCGAATTTATTTAAAAACTGATATCAATGCAACAAAATGTTATGAAGAACATAATAAATGTGCATCGACTATTTCGTCCAAATGTTAAATACTTATTAATTCTACTACTCGTGTGAGGATGTCGCTCTCTAATGTTAAGAGTTTTTAAGCCACCATAAATACAGATGTTTATGCTGGAATACGGACTACCAACTAGCGCCGTCAAAATAAGCTGCTACCTGGAGGAAAAGGATTGTTAGTAATAGGGATTGACAGCCCCATTGTTAATAACATACCCTATCAGGTCGACCTCAACGTGGTTACTTCTGGAAACCATCATGGCTAATTCTTGTTGAATACGTCACGATGTGCTAACTGCCCTGTTTTATCCTCATCTATCATCATCACTGGTGCCCCGCCAATGTATACCGATAGTGCAGGCGGGGTTACCATTCCATTATCACACATAAAAAAAATTGCTATCACTCAAATTATTAATGAAGGTGGCAAACCTGCATACAGCTCGTTTAATGGTAAACCGTCACTATATATTTAGTTAAAGGAAATCATGATATAGCTAGAATATACTTATTAAATAGATACATATATAACTCACTAGATGACTAGATAATACCATACCTGGAGATAAAGAAGGTAAGTACGTATTAATACTTTTTCTACGATAATACTATTTTTAGAATTGTAAGATTATAGAACTCACGATGGAATGGAGACAAATGCTTTTAGTGTATGGGTTGATGTTTAACTTTGCATTTAGTGACAAAATTATATACATAGTTTACGTTCAAAACATAAAATTCATAATATAACAAGGCTCAAAACGATCATATCTTAAAATATCTGTTTTAAAAGATTTAAGCCTCAAAAGATGTAACTAATAACCTAATCTAAATAATAACTAAACACTACTGAAATAATTTTGGTAAGATAGTTTGCATTACAGTGATAAGTATGGTAGATACCTACATCGTTTCGAAGCCAGTTCTCAGACATGCGATGCGACTAGAGGGCATTTGCCTCATTGTTACTCAACAGCTTTATTTTTGTTTTTAAAAAGCGATTCCAAAGGAAGTTGTCAATTGGACTATATTTTTGGTGTATATATTACGCGATATTTTCTAAATCATAGGTTCTCAACGTGGACGGTTTGAGACTTTCAGGGTGGCAATAGACCTAAAAAAATAGGGGATAGAGATGAGTTTATCATTAAAATGGCGGAGGCGTGGGTAGATTAAACACTAGAAACTATGTTCTAAATAAAATTCATTTAATATTTTTGTAATCGATACGTTTACTTTCACATTCAACCCATATTAATTTGGAATTTTATTTTGTGAGATTGGATTTACTTATTTGTGACAGAGAAAATCTAAGTCATCCTGTGAGCTAAGATGAAATAAACTAGAACTGTGTTGTACTGGTACTTGATCTTTACCGACACAGATGTAGGTATCAATATTTTAAAGATCATAGTTTCTATGATTATGAACAGCGCAGACGAGGCACAAGTTACAAAGCTTACACAAAGCGAATATGGTTAACGAAAGAAATACCAATTGTTTTAACGCAGAAATTGTCCGTCTTATACATATATATATAGACATTATTAAAAAATGAATATAAGTTTTAAAATCAATATTACTTCTTTCCTAGAAGTGTTTAGACGCATTTTAATTATTTTCATTTTACTTTAAATAAAAAAAAAACAGTTACACAATTAATCAATTTATTACATCAATAATATCAATGTAACATTTAAATTTTCTTTCACAAACTGTCCATACTTATATTAAACCTACCAATACAATAATATTTTATGCTTCTTAAATGATTACATTTATGATTTTTCATAAGAACTAAAATTTCTTGATCAAATTTTCGCAACTTAAAAAAAAATATATATATAAGCAGGTGTGCATTATAATATAGCTACGTAATTCTTATAGACCTAAATATTGACTTGAAATCAATAAACGTCACAACCCTTACAATCATGCGATGTTAAAAATAATAAGATACATTATAAACATAATTATTGTACTTACACAAAACAATTTGTGTAGATTGTTATAATTTCCCTTGATTATACGTGTTGAATATTTACAGTTGTTACAAGTAATTATAATTATTTAAAATGGCGTGGCATATAATTCATTATCCTAGGCCTTTTTCCATAAAATAACACATTTAAAAACTAACAAGACATTTATTCCTTATTTCTACCAGACCGACAGTATTACAAACAATCGATAATAAATACAAGTGGTGAGGTGGCTACCAACACCAAGTTCTTAAATTTACAAAACCCTTAGCTATATCCATAGAATCAGACTCAGTTTGTAAGGGGCTGTTTATACTATCATTTTGTAAGATCATATCTAGAGTCAAAAGTATCGCACAGAAACGATAACCGACGTCACTTACTCATTCCTAAGTTATACAAAAAGTAAACTTTTTACCAATATTAAAAGAGCATCACTAACACCAACACTGATATTACATCCAGATATGATCCTAAATAGCTACATATAATATGCTAACGTAATATAGCCCTAAACATATCATTTCCCGTTTTTAAATTTTGACAAATTATTTTTTTTAACAACAGATAACTTTAAAAGGTTTCAATATAATAAAATAAGATACATATATAAATTGCACAATGTAATATGATTATCATATTATATTAAATATTAATATATCACTTAAACATTAAGATGCAAAAAATAAAATAAAACAATGGAAAGTGTATAATTACAGATTCGCGTTACAATAGTGCCTGCGCAGACGAGGGGCATTCGACCTTATTTTGTGTTTTTAAAAAAACTATCTGCAAATCCGTGTCCCACGTAACATCGTGGAACGGTCTATCTCGTGATCTGATCTACCTTTATCCTATAATATCGGAGCCTTCAAACGTAGCGTAAAAAGCACTTAATGAGCCGTCTTAGTCCGACCAATCGTTAATAGACCTTATAATCTTGGTGTTCGCTCATGACAGTGTAGTCACATGTTGTGTTGTAAAAAAAAAAGCGATTTACACAATGGGAAATTTTATCACCTGCGTACTAAGTCGCTCGTCTAAGCAGGGCTTTATACTTACAAAATAACTAGTAATAAATCAAGATACTCATGAATATTCGTTGTACAATATAACAGTCATCAACAATATCTAGACAATTGTTACAATAGATAGACATTTTTAATCAGGTTTTCTACTGGCAAGATTATTTACCTGCATAATAGAGGAGTTCGTTGGGGAATCAAATTTTATACGCACATTATAAGAGCATGGGGATGTATGACTACTAATTATAGATACCAGCATACAGTGAGTAGTTATGTAGGTACTTATGTTACTTTGTCCGGAAGTAGCAACACCAAGTCTATTTATTTTTTTCTTAATTTGTTCTATATTCTAACATAATATCTGTTTCTTCAAACACTTCGTAAATACAGTTTGCATGTTTTTTATTGTAATAACAAGTTTAAAAAAGTGTGTCAGTTATTTTTTTTATTTAAAAAAAAAATAAGCAGATTTCTACAATCTTGATAGTTTAATTACCAAATAAAACAAGAAAGAAAATATAAAAAAATGTAGTGGAACATAGAACCTCCTTTTTTGAAGACAAAAAATTTGTGCAAGGGCCAGGCAATTTGATGAACCTCGTTTATAACTTATGATTAAGAATTAAAACATGCAAGCAAACAGCATATACTTATAAACAAAGATAAAAACTTCGGCAAGTTGACAGCAAAAATATAGACTCATGGTAAGTACACGTTTAAAGCACATATCAGATACATGTACTACATATGTATTTTACTCATAAAATATTCATTAATTATAAAAATTCAAGTCAAATATACCATTTAGTATTTACGAAGTGCCTTCCTAATATAATTTAGCAGTTAACAAATACAGTGAGAAAATATCTCTAATTGATAATATTTTGTTATAATAAAAAAAACTAAGCTGTAAACAATCGGAGACTAAAATTAGATATTTGTAATTAGCTAACAATATTTGTTATCAAACATACCGGTGTTCTTACGAATTGTGTAAAATAACAAATTAGATTACATAGCTACATGTGACCGTGGCAAGTCCTGTGTAGGTATGCCGAGGAATTTTGTGTTTTGCAGACAATAGTCCCTCATCTGTCAACCCCTAACTCTTACCGTAGATCTAAAAGCACTGAAATATCTATCCAAGAATGTAGCATTAGTAATTCAGAAATCTGTGATAATCTCATTGCAATTACTGTTTTTATGATTGTGCGTATTATTTTACATTTTTTCACAACCCCTGCATATAACAATGTTATAAAAATCGATAGCTATTACTAATTTTACCCTGCAGTAGCAGTTCATCTTGTTTCTTGTTGAAACAAGAATCCGTAATTTACTTACTTGCCAAACATTTATTCCTTATTTTGATACCTACCCTGACATGATTGCCATAAATTCGAAAAACTGTTACAAATTCGCGAGTCTAAAATGCATTTGTTATAGTTAACTCCATAGTATCAATTTAATATTAAATAATAACTATAGTGCACCTTATTAGTTCCCCACACAAAATATTGTATTAGTACTTAGAGATACATTACACTATCAATATGAATCAATTTTATTATGTATTAGCTAGACCCCGCGACGACATCAAAGTAAAACTGAATTTTATACCTCTTATTTGAGAAAGTATTGATTCTTCAGACAAACTTTAGTCAATTATTTTTAATTTTCAACAACGATCTTTATATTGTACCAATTTTAATATAATAGTTTTCATTTTCATTTTATCCACACAAAGTAACCTACGATCTTCTCCAAGGCCAATCTATACAAAAATTATCAAATATTGTATTACCATTATTTATAAAGGTAATAGACAGATGGATAGGCAAATTGCTTTTGCATTTACAATATTAGTATAATAAATTTTAAAATTACAAATACAGGTGATCTCATTCTTAGCAGGTTAAAATTTTGTATGTGCGTATTATGTAGTATGGAGGATATAGGCTACTTTTTATCTAAGTCAATGAACATATCCCGGACAAGCAGACGATGTCGCGGGCAAAAGCTAGTTTGTAAGAAATTGATTTAGATATAATCGTACATATTTAACAGTGTAATACGTGTGTCTTACATGAATCACGCCCTAATCGATATCGTACTTACAGTTAAACAATTATGTATTTATATTTAGTCATTATATTTAGCAAGGTGTTAAATACATCCATTTACCAAAATTATTAGAATAACTCATCCACAATCATCATAGTAATCTAAATTCACAAATACAAGTTTGGATGGAAATTGCAATAAATGTATTATTATTAATTTATTCATTAGAATTATTAGGTATCTTTTAAAAATTTTGATATTCTTTTCGTTTTTGTTATTAGTTTTAATAACAATATCGATTTATTTGATTGAAAACCACGAAACAGAGTAAATTATATTTCCAATAATTCCTTGTTCTCAAAATGAATTTAGATAGACTTTTGTTTAGTGGACATTATTTCGATGTTCGTCGGGATTCGCAATCATTGCTTGCTTCAAAGTTGCAATGTTTGTTCTACACTCATTAGTCTTTTCATGTAACCTTATTTCTTTAAATTCAAATATACTTTGAATTTAGAGATTGCAAAGCGAGAGGACCGATTCAGAATTTCTCGTATACCAACATTGACATTATTTTTATATTGGTAAATGAAATACGTACATACTACTACCACAGTGCTCCATTCTAAGTTGCATAGAAATTCTTTTTCCATTATTTCAAAACATACGTAGGTAAATAGATGTAGAAGTACTCATTCAGTTTTGACAGATCTCAGACTCATCAAGTTCAGACAGACATTAAAAGAACAAACATGAGTTAAAAAGACAATATTACAGACTTTATTAATACAGGCGTATTTAAGGAGGTGGCCGGGTAGTCCGTGCCTACCGCAGAATTGTCCAAAGCCCATCTCAGAGCACGAGCGAAACTTCGCAAAGACATGGCCGAAAGTACATATCCGCCTTTTTTAAGAGGCCATCCATTTATTTATAATCGTAGGTATATATGTATTACATCACTACATATCAAATAATATAAAAATACACAAATAAAGCATGTGTTTTTATTTTCACTGCCTTATCCTATCTTAACAATTTTTTCATGATTAGACTTTCGAGAAGTCATAAGATCTTATATTTTTAGGTTATTTGACAAAGAAGAATCATATAATTATGGATGGATGAAATAAGATACAATATTTGCACAAACACTGCATTATTTCTGAGGAGCAATAAAGATTTAATTAGTCTTTTAAGAGATCCGATAAGATGCTATCGAAGTTTTTTGAAAAACTGGCTAGTAGATACGTATGCTAAACAGAAAAATAGGTTTCTTATTTTTCACAAATTATTATTCACTACGTTAATCGAAATTAGCTGAATTGATTTTGAAATGGTGAAACCATCATTAAATGGGATTTAACGCCATAAAACATAAAAAAATATAAAGTGCGAAAAGAATATAAACACAAAAAATCCCAAAATTTTTGGAAAATGGGAAGGTTTCGAAACTATTTTGGATTCAATTACATATTATTTACTCGGTATATCTAGTATATAAATAAAAATATAAGTTAAACTTCTAGTTTATTGAATATAGAACAAAACAATCGAGTTAACGTTGAGTTTATATTTAAATGCAAGAAATATTTAACCTTCAGATTTTCAAATAAAAACTCGTAACTCTTTAAACTATTAAAATTCGCGCGGAATTTTAATATAATATATTGTGCACATAATTTTAAAATACGAACAAATAAAAAGAAATTTAAGACAAATGTAAAGTTGACGCCATTTCGGCTGAATATTTTAGAATTTACGTTACATAACGTAACATGTCTTGAAATTAATTATTCACGTGTACGCATACACTATTATTAATCATCATCATTCGATGTTTTAAAAATGACTATAGATAAAGAGTTGCAAGTGTTTGCAACTTTGCGCATGTATATAATTATACATGAGCATTAATAATAAAATATATAAGCGCCTATTATAAATAATATAAATAGCAAAAAAATACAAGTTCTATGTGATAACAAGCAAACCTGATGAAGGCCACCTAGAATCTGTAAACAACGGTTATTTAGAAATCGCTGTCCATAGATTTTAGAATCAGCACAGACGAATGGACAATAAATCAATAGCATACTCAGCATCGCATCGGCTGGGTCGTGCGACTCTGAACATCTTCGTACCGTTCCGCGCGTTAAAAATTTTCACGGGCAATGTACTACGCTATCCTTTAAAAACATCATGAAAATCACAGAATATACTGTTGACCATGGATCCTCCCATACGTATACCATAATACTTCATGTCTAACATTACGATGTTTACTTGTATTTAAAATTGTATGAAAATAGATAATGGGTAGGATACAAGTATTTAACCAGCGATAGACTATGAGGTTCCAGTATCAGATTTTTTTAAATGACTCCTTTCCTCGCAAGTTTATTTACAGCATCATTGTCTAAGTAAATTACTGTCCACGAGAACATCTTACTTTATTTATAACAGATACCTAGTGTAATGTGAACTATATAATGGATGAATTTGAGTTTCATTATACATTTTAAGATAGATAATATATAGCTAGATAATATAGTAAATAGACTAAAATGACAATTATTAGCACTAAAATAAAATCATCTAGCACAAAAAGATAATTAGGTGGCAACTTAATGGTGCAATAATATGTTAGAGTATATTGCTCTTAAATATGCAACAATCTATGCATTTAATCAATCTAAGATTATAAATGTTTTTATAATATGATATGGGGATGAGCAATTGATACACATAACTAGTATGGTAGTATATATACATACCTAGATTTTTTATTTATTAATTATTAAAATAAAGTGAGAAATTGGCATTTCAAATGCAGGGCAGAGACCTTTGGCACAGTAACAAATTTAAATATACATTGTGCATCCAGGCATTGTTCATGACTACAAAAAATTAATTATTTATTAATATCATCCAATACATTATTAAGTTTTCTATTTCTTTCTTTGAAAGAACTACCAGCCAGGTATGCCAGATTCAATCAGTCTTATAATTTTGAAATTAAGGATTTCAGGATCTTTATATATTGTCATGGTGTAGAAACATCAAAACAGTGGAAATGGAATATGATTGAATAGAAACATTGATTCGAACAATCTAAATATCTAAAATATAACCAAATATTACACAAAGTGTAACATTGAACTGTATTTCAAATTGACATTTATTATCCCTAATTTTTAAATAAAGTGTCCTAAACAATGCCTTTCTAACACTTCAGTCGCTCAATACAAATTTTACCAAAATTACATTTATGTAAACATACTAATAATTATAATAAACTATTTGGTCAAATATACTATTCATCAACCACATTATACTTAGCAAGGTACATTATTAGTCTTAGGAACATAAAATCACAAATATCAGACACCCCTAAAAGCTATAAAAAGCACAGCTCAGAAATTGTAGTCCTGTAGTCCACTATGCCTTTTCAAATTTTCATTACTATTGTCATCTGGTTTTTTCCTTTTTCTGGAATCAAATTTTATGCCAGTTTCTTGGACAACTCTCTCACTATTCTTTATAGCTGTTATTATATTTTGCTTTGAGGGAACCACAAGTTTCAATTCATCATTTGTAGACTTAGGGGAGGATGACTCTACTAGGTGCATAACAATCCGTTCTAATCGCTTTGGATGCTCAACAGGAGTTTCATCAAATGACTCATAACTATCATTTTGTTGTTGGTCTATATCTACTATGACTGAATACTTACGTTTCATTTCATCCATCATTCGTCGGCCATATTCTTCACCGACTACACTGTTTACACATACAAAACTTTGCACATTCTTAGACTCTTTATCAATTTCAAGAAATCCCCTTGTCCTCATATATATAAAATGGCCTGACCTAGACATAAGTCTGTAATAGGATTCCCCAAACTCACGGCTTTGATCATACATTTGCCTTAAAACACATATAACCCAGCGTACATCTTCTTTATGCATGAAAACAAATGCAGATGCTCCTGTCACTTCCTCAGTCATGTAACCAGCTGCCAAAGAAATACTGTGGTCGCATTGTACTATCCGACCATCAATCAAATGTCTTGTCCAATACTCAGTGTAAGCAGTTGGAGGCATCACTCGAGCAGGCAATGCATTTGATAATATGTGGATCATTCCAATAAACACAACATCATTCCCACTAGATGAGAATGTATGATTGCGTCTCACTCTTTGCCTCCTTATAGTCTGCTCATCCTGTACTGTATTTGCTGTGGCTCTGTCTGACCGCCTCAATACTCCACTTATGCGACATCGCTCAAACCGTTGTGGGTCTGATTTAGCACCCGCTCTCATAATGCGGATATTGAAATTATGATGCTCCTCAAACAACTGTGGGTCACAACCACTTCGCAGTTCAGGTGGATATATATGTTGTTTAAGAACATCCCTATCATCATTGTGAACATAATTATATAAATCTTGACCCAACAAATCCACATGGCAATATCCTAATTTCTCTTGGACATTTGGAGATATAATAAAAATCCGTCCACGACATGTCACTGCAATCATAATGCCATCAAAGAGATCAAAATATTTTAGGAATGCAGAAGACCATGTCTCTAAATGAATACATTTAATAGTGTCGCCAAAGACATGTTCATTGCGCAACTTGTTAACTCCGAGTCTTAATACACTGGTTTTGTCAACTTTACGCTGAGATTGACTAATATCGGAGAGTAATGCAGTTATCTGCGATATCTGGGCGTTGTACAAACTACGACGCTGCTTCTCAGCTATAATACGGGATTCACGATCACTTGCTTTAATAGAAGGCATCTCCGGCGAATGGGATTCAGAGGAAGAGTCACTGCAACCGGCAACATGTAAATCGTATCCGATCCCCGAAGGCGGCGGCACAGCAACAGCCATACCAAAATCCATAGAAACACCCAACTGACTTGCCATTGCTGTGTGCACGCCGATTCGCGTGTTCGCACCGCTCGGAGATGTCATGGCAATCCGGAATACTATTTCCCGCTGATTATGTCCTTGTTTGTCATAATTACGAACACGATCAGTATTTACACTGCTACACTATTTTGAGACACCAACAAATACTTGATCTATCTACAGCGTTTGTATAGAATTATAGCACAACAACAACACTAAAGCCATTTATTTATCGAATTTAGAATAATTTAAATACGACGCAGCTGCGTAAAACTAGCGATCACAAAAACATCAGCGAAGCACACAAAGTCAAACCAACATTACAAGAAGTAGATACGAGTACAAGTACAGTACATCCATTGGCTTACCTATTCGCCAATCACAATCAATCGCAATCGAACTCGGTCATTTCTTGACATTTGGGGCCATTGGAATCGATTCTGAGGCGCCATTCTGTAAACTTATATCTTAAATTAATATTTTAATTCTATAGTTTCAAAAATTTTGTTTAATTAACCATATAAACAAAATTTATAATAACGGTTACTTGAATATATTACAAATTTAGTTCATAATTCACTATGATATCAAATTCAAAAATTAATTCTCGCAATAAGCTTAGAGAATGATATCTCAGAATCGACTTCAATATAAGCACACTCACATGCTTTATAATGCCAAAGATATAGAACAACTTGTTTCAAATCTATATTTTAGTTAGATAAATAAATTATTATATTTAGGTACTTATATTCTGTGTTCACCTGAGAGGGGCAATTTATTCTAAGAACAAAGAATTACATAGAAGGAATGATAAAAATTGTAAATTATAGGGTTGCCTCCTTTCTTCTTATGCAAATATAATTAGTAAAAAGAGGACGAAAGATACACCATCAGTTACTATTTTTCTCAATTCATAACAGGCTAGTGTATAAAAAATGTGTACATAAAATTTTTGTTTATTTTAATATGTTAGTTATTTGTCAATAGCAAAGTAAGGCGGGAAAACTTGTAACGGGAGGGCGGAAATTTTAAATTCATTTTATTTGTTTAATATTTATTTGTTGCTTCTCCTAGTTTCTTTTACTTATTTCTCCAATTTAAGCCCTCGTGTATTGTTAGAGGATATGTGCGAGTCAAGCGGAGGCAAGTTAAAAAGAAGAAAAAAAAAATACTTCCATATCTGATGAAGAGCCAGATGCTAAGATGAGTATTAAATTTACTCTCTCAAAAAGAGGACTGTTTAAAGATCAAAATTACCTATATTCTGACACTACTAAAAATGAATATTTTATCCTGTTGTCTCCTATTGAGGGCAACAATGTAAACTTATTGCAGGTCAATTCTATTCTGAGGCCTGTACCTGGTGTATTCTATATTCGTACTATGGGTCCAACTGCATTCAAAATATGTTTTCGATCAATGAAACAGGCTAACGAATTTTTATTAAATAAAGATTTATTAGAGAAACATAAACTTCAGGCTAGGATACCCAATAATCAGCTGGAATCTCAGGGAGTTATAAGAGCTCCTACTGAAATATCTGAGGAAGATCTCTTAAATAACTTAAAATCTACTGTAGAAATCATCGGTGTTAAACGTTCCAAAAAAAAGAAAGAAGATGGAAGTTTTCATCCTCTTCCTACAGTTTTAGTAACTTTCCTCTCTACGCAGCGACCTGATCACGTAACGTATGATCATATTTGGCTGGATGTGCGTGAATTCATTAGACCTCTACTCCAATGCTTCACTTGTTACAAATTTGGTCATGGAAGCAGTTCCTGCAGAAGTAAGCAAGTTTGTTCCATATGTGCCGGTGCCCATGATTATAGATCCTGTATCAACAAAGGGAATCCTAAATGTGTTAATTGTAATGGACAACATGTAGCAGTATCTAATAGCTGTCCCACTAAATCGATGAAATTGTCTCAAATCAAAGATAAAATTCTAGGCAAAACATCTTATGCATCAGTGACTTCAAAATCGGTTAACTCTGTAATTAATTCAAATACCCCTGTGTCTATTAACAGCCCAACGCAAAATAAATCTCCTCAAAAAAGGGCATTAGTTACTGACATCATTAACTCAGACATTGTACTCAACACAATTACTAAGACTGTTATTGAGCTAGTTAAGAAAGCTCAAACTAATTCGGATACAATTTCATCTAAATTAATTAAGGAAATACTCATATCTAATTTTTCAACATGACCATTACATCTTTAAAGGAAATTAATATTGTTCATTGGAACTCAAGAAGCTTTCTGTCTAAAATATTTCAATTTAAAAACTTTATTTACAACTTTACATCACATTTTGATATCATTTTACTAAATGAAACTTGGCTTGATTCTAACAAAATCTGTAAATTGTCTGGTTATACTACATTAAGTAGATTGCGGATAGGTCATTGTAAATTTCCTGCACATTTGCAACGTATTAATTTATTGGATAATTCTATCTGTAAATAATGCCAAAACATTTTTTCTGATTTGGATCATATTTTTTTTTTGTTTGTCCTAAATTCTCATTTCAACGGTTACTTTTTATTTGTCAATGTCAAGATTTATTAAAATGTCAAAATATTCCTACTTCAGTGCAGGATCTACTAAAACATACCATTTTGTACCAAGAAATTTTTAATTATATTACTTCAACAATTGGTGAAATTTAAATATGTAATTGTAACTTATACTTTTCTACTTAACTTACTTTCTTAGTATATTATAATTAATTTATAACTATAATAATTTTTGTAATTTGTCTTGTAATTTTATATTGTTACCTTGTAATTGTTACTTTTTGGCTGATGGCTTTCGCCAAAGTCACAATAAATGAAAAAAAAAATGTCAATAGCAAATTTTACATTAATAGATTATATATTCGATACAGTTTATTTAGAAAGTATGCAAGCAGGTGGTATCTGAATTTGGTAGGGTTGTATGGTCAATAATACCAAGTGTCATATCTTGATGAATTTGACTTGTACGAACTGGTCAAAAGCCTTTTTATATGTTTATCCCTCTCAAATGCATTGGCAATGTTATAAATACAACAACCAGAGGGAGAATTTGTACAAAAGTCGATTGCTTGGGTACTTCTGTCCTATTCGTGTTTCAACCATGAAGTAGGTGTGTTTCGGTTTGAAGGGTGGGATATGGCAGTAAATTTACAGGGTGCAGAGGAATAACACCTGAGTCCTCAGGAATGGCAACGCATGGAGGGTATCATGGGCGAAACAGTATACTCTGTTATGTCCATGGTACTGCACATGATTATAGGCGACGGTTACCACTTTCCATTAGGTGGGCCGTCAGCTTGTTTGCCATTTTAAGTTGTAAAAAAAAAACACTACGTGAATTATTAATTATGTATTCTATTCCAAAATCTTTAAATTTACTTTGGTTTTAAATGGTTATTGAAATTTCAGTTTGGTACAAAGAATTAGTTTCCAGAGCTGTTAAAAACTTTTAAAAAAAAATATGCAGTGTTATCTTATGATTAGGCTGTATAGGCCATGCTCTTTGTGTTGTCAATTTTTGTACGAATTTTAAAACGACGACAGCGACTATCTGTTAGTCCCAGATTATAGCCCGCGAAACATTACAAACAAATAATACGAATCAAAACAGCAGTAAACCGGTTTTGTTTGAATCATCGGACAGAAAGAGAACATCAATAAATTTGTATCATCCTAATTAGTGAAGTTATACCTTATAGGTATGTCTCGTATTAAGAGGAAAATAATTTAAATTTATTACTCTCGTTTTTTCAGCTTTTGGAAGTGAACAATGTGGTTACAGTCATTTTTATTTGTTTTAACAATTATCAATCTAATAATAGCCGATGGTAAGTACATAGTTAATAAAAATTGCAACTTTTTAACAAATTACCAATAGTTTTTTTAACATATTACCTATTATATTATAATTTTAGTTGGCGATGAATGTGTACCCAATAGGCAGATATCTGACGGTATTTGTACTCTAATCAGCAACTGTGAGGTGGCAATAAGGTCAGTAGTAAATTGATAATGATTTATTCTCACAAGATACACAATTTAGAATTTGTTTACCATTTACCCGCTTACTTAAACATAATTGTTGTTTACTGAATATAAATTATGATTTCATCCTTGTGATAGATTTTAAATTCATACATTTTCCTTGTTCTGTTGTCAGTGTATTAATATGAAAAGCAAATAAGAAGGTGATGATTAACACTTCTATTGGACTATCAAATGCTTGCAATATAAAAAAATATTTTTATAATTATAATAAATAATAATAAAATGTATTATCTAATCAATTATCCATTTCTCATCTTTTAATACCTGTCTTTATAAATAGAATGTATGACTTTCTTAGGGTATTTGTGAGTATGTATTTTTTTAGACCTCCAAGACAAGTGGAATAGAGATTGTTGGTAATGGGGATTAGCAACTTCATTACCTTATATCTTGTCAGATCGTCCTCCATTTAACTTCCTCTAAAAACCCTTGTGGTAATCTTTCATGATTTTGGTTTCAAAACATATAATGCAAACTTTATTTAAATAAAGTTATTATTAAAATAATGTTATCTTACTCATATAATAAAATTGTAACTAGACACTGCTCGACCCTGAGATGCCATTTCTCTAAACTTATCTCTTGACCTTTTATTTGGATTTCATATTATCCTGGTCTTATGAACCATTATAAATGAAATTTACAATAATTTTGATTAAAATCTGTAAGAAGTTTTGTTCATATTAGTCCTCACAATAAAGATTTCACTGTGATATCAAATTGAAGTTTTTATTTTAGAGATAAATTTAGAGAAATGATGCCCCAGAATTGAGCACAATGTCTGTAAATGGAAATATTTAAGACAAATTGTATTTGTGGTTTTGATAAGCAAGAAGCCAAAATAATCATTTTGGAACTTTTATCTGTCCATATATTTGCTCTAGCATCATGCATAAACTCCTTGCTGAAGGTCTTACTTAAAATATGATCAATATTTATCTAAATATACTATTGAGAAGTGCCTTATTTTACCTGCTTTCAATATCTGAATTTGTAGCTAAAAGTCAATGTTTTACAAAATGCAATAAATTAATTATATTTCAGGTGCATGTTTTATAAAAAAAATTGCTGTTGCAATAATTTAAAATTTTTTGTTTAGATCGATTAAAAATAAAAATCATCATTCATTTGAAAGATGCGGTTTTAGTGGTCTGACTGAAATTGTATGTTGTCCTCGTACTACTGATAAATTTGGTAAGATTTTTCATAATGAACATCACTTTTTTCACTGTTACAACTACTTATCGCTGGAGGGAGGGAATAATCGTACTGAAGAGAAATGGCCTTATCATTAACAATATATCCAGTCAGGCCGCCTTCACACGTTTCACATGTCACTTCTTGAACATTATGTTACTAACATTACATTCTGGGTGGATTTGTTTAGTGTTCCAACTAACCTAATTTCATGCTGTAGCTATTCTATAACTGTTCTATTATATACTATTTCAATCAGTTAATAATTTATTTGCATAAACAGGTCAATTAAAGTCTCTGTCGTCTCTGTTTAGGCTGATTACAACAAGGGCCAAGGGCGTATATTACATTATATTTCAGATGTTTTAGATATTTATTATGATAAATGTTCCTTTAGTATGTTATATTTATAACCAATCCTTTAAAAGTACTACTGAGAATAATATTATAAATTTCAGGACCACAATCACCACATAATACTAGAAATTCACAAAGGATAGCTGATAGAGGTAATTTACATGCTTTTTACTATACCTACAAATAAATACTGTGAAAGCGAGCTTTTTCAGGTAAAATGACGATTTCAAATGTAAGATCGACGTCGATCGATGTAGGTGACTTAGAATCATCTTTATGGGGAGACAATTGAATACAATTGTCTTTTATTTTTCAGAATTAATTTTACACTTTTGTTTCAAATTACTTAATAGTTCTAATAATTTAGTGAAGTTGTTATATTACCTATGCTAGTTTTTATCCGCGTCTTCATCTGCTATAAAAAGTAACTTTTATGCTTGTCTGTCTCAAATAGTAAATGTGTTGCAATTTTCATGACGATTGGTTAAGATCGGTAAGAAGGTACAAACAATGATGTTCGGGTGTGGCATAGGGCACTAATCTCAAAACTACCTTCGTTTGGGTTGCCTGCGAGATTGTGCAGTTGGGTCGCCAGCTTTCTTAAGGAACGTAGCATTAAGGTCGTAGTCGACGGAGCATGCTCTGACTTAAAACCTGTGAATGCTGGTGTCCCGCAAGGCTGTGTACTATCTCCGACACTGTTTCTTCTGCATATCAATGATATGTTACAGATCAGTGATATTCATTGTTATGCGGACGACAGTACAGGAGATGCATTATACACCGGTCATGCAAAGATCTCGCGGGCACATACCGATTCCGGAACACTTGTGTCTGAAATCGAAACTTCATCGATAAAGTTTCGATCTGGGGTGAACGCAATCTTGTTCACTTTAACCCTAAGAAGACACAAGTCTGCGCGTTCACCACAAAAAAGACACCGTTTGTCGTATCACCTCACTTTCAGGGCACTTCCCTTGATAATAAGTCGAGTCTGGGGATTCTTGGCGTCGATATATCTAGCGACGTCCAGTTTTGCGGTCATCTGGAGGAAAAAGCTAAGATAGCTTCCAAAAAGTTGGGGGTGCTCAATAGGGTGAGACGGTATTTCACGCCAGAAAACCGCCTGAAACTGTATAAAGCTCAAGTGAGGCCACACATGGAATACTGTTCTCACCTGTGGGCAGGAGCGCCACAGTACCAACTCCTTCCGTTAGACCGCATTCAAAGTCGGGCAGCTCGAATTGTTGACGATCGGCGTCTTACTGTCCGGCTCGACCCACTGAAACTGCGTAGAGATGTTGCATCTCTGTGCATCTTCTACCGAATTTATCATGGGGAGTGCTCTGAAGAATTGTTCGGATTGATACCTGCTGCAGATTTTCACCATCGTACAACCCGCCATAAACTAAAATTTCATCCCAACCATCTGGACGAGTGGCGGTCCTCCACCGTGCGTTTTTCAAGGCACTTTCTTCCACGCACAACCACTCTTTGGAATCAACTTCCAGCAGCAGTATTTCCGAACCGATACGACAACATAACCTTCAAGAAAAGAGCATATTCCTTTTTAAAAGGCCGGCAGCACACCTGCAATGCCGTAGGTGTTGTGGGTGACCATGGGCGGCGGTAGTCACTTACCATCAGGTGAGCCGCATGCTCGTTTGCCCCCTGTGTTGTAAAAAAAAAAAAAAACAAATTTACTTTCACATCTGGAAGTAAACTCTATTCATCACAAAATGTATTTTGTCAAAATCGGTTTCGAACTGGGAATGTGATTATCTAACTACAATATAAAATACAGAAAAAATTATATCCAAAATCGCTAACAAAGATTTTTACTTTCATTGGGAACTAGTTTTCGTCCGCATAGAGTTCGGTTATACTGAAACCCCTCTTTTAATATCATTCATACTTACTTTCTTAGGGAAACGGTACTTTCAAAAATGTTAACACACTTTATTCTTAGCAAAAGATTAAATTTAAATTTCGCTTTCGTAACTTAAAATTTACAAATGTATGTATGCATATTTTCATCTGAATTAAATCATCCTCTATCTCACTCCTTTAGTTAAACAAAAGATTAAAGGCATTAATACTTCTAATTTCAAAAATAACAGAATTCCTGTACAAAATCCCCGTTGAATCTTCGAAACATATTAATCTTTCTTTTGAACCAAGAGTCTTAATTGAAATTTCAAGTATCTAACTTAATAACTGATGATATTCCATACAAACTTTCAACCCACGTTTTACCCCTTAGGAATCGAATTTTGAAAATTCCTTGTTATATCATTTTAAGAATCTAGATTGAACAGGTTGTTGATATAGTCTTTTATACATATAAATAATTTTCGTTTAGTATACATACTAATATTATAAATGTGAAAGTATGTTTGTTATTTTCCCCAATTAGCGTCATAACGGCTTAATTAATTACTACGAAATTTATTATACACAGTGCATATATATGATACACTATACACATACTTTATGGGACGGTATCCTTCCTTTCCCGTGGGTGTCATAAGAGGCCACTAAGGGAACGTCGAGGGATTGACAGCAGCATTCATCCTAAAACGTAACCAATCGCCAACCCCCCTATCAAACATGGCAACTACTGACAAACCCCTTCTTTATAGGGGAAGCCTATGTTCAGCACTGGACAGTTAATGGCTGCTATGATGGTACGTGAGGCTGAGGGAGACAATAGTTATTTTTTGTCTCGGTCAGTGAACATATCTCGGTGACGTGGACGAAGTCTCGGGATATTATAATTATTAATTAACATTTTAAATTCTGCTCTTTCTGTCAATTTCTCTATAAAATACTTGTTATTATTTTTTAGAATGCGCTAAAATATTGAAATCGAATATTGTTCCACTAGAACAATATATAATAGGCGGAGAGACTGCAGCAGCAGGAGAGTTTCCACATATGGTAAGTCCGAATCGTTTCCTATAAGGTTTTATATAGGCAAATTATAATTCTTTTTTTTTAGTGTAATTATATAAACTGAAAAAAGCAAACTGGATAAAATAGTTCCTTAATAATGGCATTTTCCATCTTAATACGTAAAATGCAACATGCATTTGACATATTATTACAAATTCGATTGGAAATATAATTTAATGTATAAGTTGGGTTACTTAATTGAGTATGCAATATTCAATACCAATGTTATTAATTAATTAATATATTGTGACCATATAGTCCCGACGTAGAATAGGTCACCCCTTCCTTTCCCGTGGGTGTCGTAAGAGTCAACTAAGGGCGAGGAATGGGCAGCAGCGTCCCTCTTAGAACATCTCCAAAGCCTAATTGTAGTTGCCATACCGCCTGCCAAGCGTGGCAGCTATTGGCAAAACTTAATTTATGCTACAGGCATTCTCTACCATTCAATCTTTAAGATATGCAGAAATACTCGATGGCGGTTTACAATATTAAAGTATTTATGTTAAAGTATGAGATGGTAACTACATACATACAAACATTCATAAAATAAACATACATATTAATATAGTATTTATAGATTAATACCTATATACATATATATATATATATATATATATATATATATATATATATATATATATATATATATATATATATATATATATATATATATATATATATATATATATATATAATGAATTTTTACTTAAATACTTGTTTTGAGAGATAATTCAATAAAGGCAAATTTATTAGATAAACCACGTATGCTTTTGGGCAATGAGTTCTAGAGTCGTGACGTTTGTAAAGTAAAAGAGTAAAACATGAAATTAAAAAAAAAAAAACCTTTTTAATGTTTAAAACATTTATACACATTATGTAAAGTTTAGTTTGGACGGATACATTAGTAATATTATTAATCGATCCACACTGACACTACATTGTTTCTACATTGCATTCGTGAGAAGTCGAAGCAGGCCACTAGGTAGTTTATATTATAAAATTGAAACTGCCATTTTTCTTGTAAAGATGCGAAACAAAATTTATTTTACTGATACCATTACTGTTTTTGTTATAGAATTAAACCATTCTAATTGCGTTTGTAAGTTAACGATAATTGTCTCTTTAATTTTGAATTGCAGGTAGCTCTTGGGTTTGATCGAGGCGAAGGTTATATATTTGACTGCGGCGGAGCGTTGGTTTCCAGTACATATGTAATCACAGCAGCGCATTGCGTCAATACCAAAGACATGTAATTATATCTCATTATATAAATATAACTGTAGTATTACATCTTACTAATATAATAAACTCGTGACTAGACAATATCTGTACACGGGAGATATGTTAGAGCAATTTATATGAGGGATCTTAATAACAGCAATAGAAGCCAAAAGATTAATTCTTAAAAATGTTCTCTGTCTGTGTATTTGTTCCGGTATCACGTAAAAATTACTGCATCAATTCAATTGTTGTGCAACCCATAAACAAAATATAGTCTATGCAACACCATTTGTTAGTAGCATTCTTGTGTACGATAGCATAGTATGGAAACCACAGTATGCAACACACACTTAGGCTGGAAAGAATACAAAAAAATCCTTTGGTACCTAAGACGTTTATCAGTCGAATCTGCCAGGCGTATATCGTATAACAATAGGTTGCATGCAAGATGGCTTCCTTGGAGAAACGTACGAGTAGAAATTTCTTAGATCTCGTCCATTTATTAATACTTTTAAGCAACAAAAATGGTTCTCAGCTTTCAAGTGCCTTTAGTTTTAGGGTTCTCCGAACTATACCAAGAACTCTAATGAATCTACTGGTTCCTCCATTCCGTTTTACTGTCTTGAGGTCGAATTCTCCAGTGGCAAGATTAAGTAAACCAAATTACCAATCATGTTATAAATTTGTTGTTAAATATTATGTTTTTTTTTGATAACCCTATTTTTTTTTTCTTTTTTGCATGTGGAGTTTACCAGTAAATATAAGTGCAATGTTTGAAGTATACCTGTATTGCAATGTTGCTTTACCAAAATATCATTGTAATTGATGTCCTAATCCTAAATAAATAAATAAAATTAGATACGGTTTTTACAGTTGTGTTCCTGAAGGTCTAACTTAAAATCTGTTAGACATATGTTTTATCGTGATACTTTATCTAGAAGTGATTTCTCTATATATCATAGGATTTCCTTCATCTGTAATCCAAGCGCACGAAGTAGCGGGCGAAAAGATAGTTAAGAATAAAATTGTGTTATAGTAGAATTTTTCTTTTAAATTATTATAAACTCAAAGCTTTATCAAGTACTTATTATGTACTTGAAGAAGCTTTGAGTAGTTTTTTGAGCTTTACTATTAATGGCGTTGATTGTAACGCCATTAAAAAATCTTATTTTTTTTTCACAGGATCCAACCCAGTATAGTTCGTGCCGGCGTTGTGGAGATCGGAGGTAGAGATTTTAATGAAGAGACTGATATAAGAATACGGAATATAATCTCACACCCTGAATACACACGTCGGCAAAAGTATCACGACTTAGCGTTATTAAGGTACATACGTCTAATCGATTACAGGTATTTTAAACGGAGGAGTAGGTAATTTTTATTTTTAATATTCAATTTCTTTTGGTGAACCAATAAAGTGTATTTAACTAAAAAATAAACAAAAATAATCAAATATGTGATTATAGTATATTTACATTGATTTTTTAATAAACGAATATATAAACATGTTTCATTTTGTCTATTCATTATACAGTATCTATAAAAATGAATTAGTAAATTACGAGGATTAACAGAGAAATGGAATAAAATTCATTTTCTCAGTACTTTATTACAAAATGGTTTATATTATTTTTTTACAATTTATGAAATATTATAAAAATTACGTCAGTTACACGTCATTTATATGTAAAAAAGATTTTAAAATTTCGCACGAGTGTAAAGTGTGTAATCTTTTAGCTTATCAACTTCAACGATATTTGAATGATTTTATTGTAAGTCGAGTGACTGGCTCCATATATTTTTGAAACATGTCCTTTGTTGTTAAAGATTTAGTTGTCATTTAATTGCTGCTTTTTACGTTAGATTGGAGAAACCTGCAAGGTTTTCAAGCACTTTAAATGCTATCTGTCTTTACACAAGTAGCGAAGATCCTGATAAAGCTTTAACAATAACAGGCTGGGGGAAGACCAGTACTTCACGTGAGTTTTATTTATTTTTATTTTATTTTTTTGTATACTTCAACAAAAAATTGTACGGGACCACTGTATAAGTAAATAAATAGATAGATCTAGATATATCGCACAGTAACAACTATTCCCAGAATAAGTAGAGCTTCAATTGTGAATACTAGGAAACTGATAAATATATAAAGTTGTTTGTAAATTTATATGTACATATTAGCAGTTTGCGTTGTACAGACAACAGCAAAAAAGGCATCCAAAAATATTTCATCTAAGTAGCACATTAAATGTACCAAACATTAACTGCTAATTATCCGTGATGAATCTAACTCCATTCGTAATCACATTTTACGTCAGTACCTACTAAAAATGAAAAACTGTTTTATCTAAATGATTAACAAAGGTAACAAAAACTACTAATGCTATTGGTGCAATAAAAATAATTTTCAACAATAAAAGTAAAAAAAACGTATTTTATGTCAAAAATTAAAAAATAAGAACCTTGTCATACTCATTCAATATAATTATCATCATATCAGCCTTTAACCGCCCATTACTGAACCCCCTTGGGAGGAGAGGGGGACGGGTGTTGCCAGTAGTTGCCACGCTTGTCAGGTGGATTGGCAACCGTAGTCAGGCTTTAGAGATGTTTTAAGAAGGTCGCTGCTACTCATCCATCTCCTTCCCTTAGCTTTTACGACACCACGGAAAAGTATGACGGGACCACACGGCCATATAATCAATATATACTAAGATAATTATAGTAGAGATAGCATCCTAATGAATAAATAATAATAATATATAATATTCATCTTTTATTATATTTTGGTCAGATCAAACATTTGAAAGTAACTGACGCAAATCACTATTAGAACTGTAGAGTCTGTTATCTTTTCCAGGTGACATTAGGAGTGATGTTCTACTAAAGACGAAAGTATCAATTGTGCCGCGGGATAAATGCAGTAGGAATTACACATCGGACAAATGGCGCAAGTTGCCAAACGGAATCACCAGCGGACAGCTGTGCGCCGGCGACGCCGACGGGCTGCACGACACCTGCCAGGTAATGGAGCTTGTGTTGCACACGCTCTTTAACACTTAATTATATGATATACAATTGCTTTATCGTATTATATATACAATGTTAAAGCGAGATAGGCAAGTAGGACGCCAGACACCATATAATATCTTTCGTCCTCTTTTTACTAATTATATTTGCATAAGAAGAAAGAAGGCAACCAAATGATTTACAGTTTTCATAATTCCTTCTATGTAATTCCTTGTTCTTAGGGGACATAATGTCTAATAATTATGTACGTGTAAAAACATTTTGTTGCAAGCAGTTATTTAACTAACGATGTAAGTTAGTTTTGTTTGTTCAAACCTTACAAGCTGATTTAGAACCACTTTTAGATATCCAATTTATCTAAAATTTTGCATACACCTTCTAGTGACGATATAATATTCAATATATATTTATTTAAATGCCTTTATACATTCACTTTTAATATAAATATTAGGTTATAATGAAAATGACAAGGTATACAGGCGGATTTATTCCTTGAAAGATTTCTTTTAGACAACCTTGAGAGAATATATTGTAATATTTACAAAATGGTCATCTTCACAAGATGGCAGATGGTATGGAAAAAAGATGGCTAATTAAATTAAATAAAATTAAATAAAAGCTTATTTTAAATGGACCTATTTATTTATTTATTTAACTCTTTATTGTACCAGAAACATAAAACAATACAATGACAATTGAACAATTAAAGTAAAATACAGAAACATAAATTACAGATGAAAATATTATATATACATAAAGGTACAAAAGGTGGTCTTATTGTTAGGGCAATCTCTTACCTTGAGTTAAAGGAGAACAGATAGAAGCGGGTAGGTGACGCAAGAAATTAATATTTTTTACGTGCACTTATTGTGTTGCAGGGTGATTCAGGCGGCCCGCTACAAACTACCGAACCCGTCTATAGTTTAGTTGGCGTGACGTCCTTTGGATCCGGTTGCGGCACGCCCGTTCCTGGAGTGTACACGCGCATATCTCATTATTTAGACTGGATAGAGAGTGTAGTGTGGACGAATTAAATATGTTATTTATAAATACTACTAGTTAAATTACTATAGCAATAAAATTTAACAAAGGCCATTCGAATTTTCTTTTCTTTTCTACCGATTTCAAAAAGGAGATTTTCAATTCGGTTGTATTATTTATTTATTTATTTTGTAATACATAGGTAACAATGGATGGTAAAACAAAATAAGTCCTCTATAATCAACCCCATCTATATGTTTGTTAACTCATAACTCCGTCAGTTATAAATTGATTTGTAAGATTCTTTTTTTATATATAAAAGGATATATTTATAAATTAATCCTATATAATTGTTTTTTTTTTTTTTCATAATCGATTCAGTGGTTTATTTTTTAAATTAAAATATGTAACTTGTGTTATCACAATTAAAGACATTTTATATTGAACACGATTTAAGTATTATACATTGCTTATCTATACTTAGGGAGACTGGGGATACTTGATCCCTCCTTTTGTTTTTCATACCTAATTTCTTTAATATAGTATTTTATTATAATTATTATAGTATTTTAAATATCTTGGTACCGAAATACGTGGAATTTATTTGTCTATTAGTAAGTGCGATCGCCAATGATGTCAATGTATAAATCTAGTAATCATTCTGATGAAAGTAAGGATACGGAATTGTATCAAGTGTCCCACATATATGTCAGACTTGATCCCCCCATCTGGATGACTTGATCCTAGGGGACCAAGCCTCCCATATTTGGGGTCATATGGTACTATTACAGAGGAACTAAAAGAAAAGGCATAGAAATGTTATTATAACATTGATTTATTTGTGACTTGTAACAGTTTAACATAATAAATAACATAAGCCGTTCTGCCCTCAATTTTACTAAACTTTAATCAATAATGTAACTTTCTTTAAAGGACAAAATTAAAAATATGGAACAAATTATGTATAACATCAAAACAAAATAATGTCTTCAGATCTCTTTTTCATTTATTCAATTTTGAACTTCCTTAATGATTTCGGGAATTTAAAGCTAATCACTCGTCTTGACGATGATTTCACTTTTAGAGTTGGTAGTTTCTTTACCACTTGATATTTAGCTATAGCACTAATTAGACGATGTACTCCAAAATGATATCACTATAGTTCCACTAGTGTTTTTTATATTTATTTACATATCAAAATTATAGTTATAAAACATTACACAAAGATATACAAGAATGGTATTCAAAAATTCAAATCATTCTTTTTCTTTTTTTAAATATACTATATGGCTTCTTTCCAGCCATGACCACAAATGTCATCTACAGAAGGCCACTTGAAAAATCGATCATTAATCTTTTTAGCAAATTTAATGTCATATCCTTTTTGGCTTTCACTCAGAACTTGTCCAACATATCTATGTACTAGATTCTTTTGCGAGACTATATTAACTATTATCCAATCTCCACTGATGATTGAGGCATTAGTGTTATCTTCATGATCGGATTCACTAGGAAAGTCATCTGTTTGTTCTAACATACTTAAGTCTGAGTCTGGAGATAGCGGCAATTCTTCGTCTTCTGATGTTGTTACTTCTTGCTCCTGTAAATTTAAGTTACGTTTCACTACTTTGGCCTTAACTTTGCAAATCTTCTTTTCTTTTTTGCGTTTTCTAGCTTCCCATTCGTTTTCGATTGCCAGTTTCTCAGGTGTGTCGGTTAAAATTCTAGTATTACCTTTTTTTCTTCCCTTTCTCGAGCTTTTTCTTGGCCCTGCCTTTGAATGTGGTCTTATTACTTCAGGACTTACAAAGGCGATCGATTTATTGTACGAATTTTCAAAAGCTTGGCTGTTAATGGCTGTACATGCTGAAAGCAAACGAGAAATCGTATGTTTTGGGTGACGTATGATATTATTTTACTTTTCATTATCAGATATATCTGGAATATAGAGACATTGTTTTTTTAAGCCGTACTACTGCTTTAAAAGCTCTTTTGTAATGCCTGTTTTCTGTAAAATAAAAGAATAAACTAAAATATACTCACGAATATAATCTGGTACGGATTGGTAAGAGACATATTGTGGCCTATTGTCATTACGTTACGTCAGACCATTTTATTAATTGTTACGTTTTATTATTTGTTACGTTAGATCATTTTATTATTTCAGCTTTTTACTGTCCACTGCTGGACAAAGGCCTTCCCATAAGAGGAGTTTAGCCGGTAGTTGCCACGCATGGCAGGTGGTTTAGCAAACGCAATCAGGTTTTTAGAGATGTTTTAAGAGAGACGCTGTTGCCCATCCCTCGCGTCCCTTTAGTCGACTCTTACAATACCCACGGGAAAGGAAGGGGTGACCCATTTTATATGCCGGGCACACACGACGATCACGTGAGATCATTATATAAATATATTTATACACGATAATTCAAAAATTTTCTTCTAACTGTAATAGGGTTTCAGAAATTTATTTTGGAATTGATTCAAATTGAAAAATTTTATGTCAATCTATGAGAATAAACGTTAAAAAAATTTATCGATTCCACTCTTTTAATCTTTTCATGTGTAGATATCTCTAGTCTAAAAGATTGATCTTCAATTAAAAGGATCATGTCCGGAAATCCGAAACCTATAGTACAGTCCAACACGTATTTAACTACTATTATTTGGATGTATGTATACTAAAACGTAGTATCGAATGATAAATACCTCTAAGTGCTGGATCATATTTGACACTCATAATGGTTACTGCATCTGTGAGTTCCTTCCGTTTGTCATTAATAACCATATTTCCAAACGCTCGTTCCTTGATTGGATTTATATCAGTAACAAACAAATGACTGACAATATCTTTATATCTCTGTGTATTAATTATAGGTTTGCGACAGAAGGGGCAAGTACGTATGGCGATGCTCTTACTGTTTCCCATCATAAGGTTATCCATGTCGTCTACTTCAAGGACATGAGGGCAGTCCTCAAGCTGTACGAATCTGCAATATAGAAAAAAAAAATACGTGTAGTGCCTTTACAGAATAGGGAAGTTATTATTCTAAAGAATAAACTAAATCTTTAGTAGATTTGAGTTAGACCTTTTATATTACTATAGTTTTGAAAAATTAAAATTGTAATTTTAAAGGTAAGTTCTAAATTAATCCCATTTTATACCTATTTAATCATATTTTATTATTGAATATATAACCAGTACTTTATCAATCGCTTCGAAAAAGTTCTTAATTAAGTGGAATTTTTATATCTGTTATCTAAGAAAACCGCCATTTATAAACTGATTAGGAAAATTCTTTTTTTTTTATTTGAAATTATTTAGTATGTACTTTCAGATTGGTCCTATAGGAATTTTATTAAAATCGGTTCACGTAAGTTAATCTAGTTGTTCTTGCATTAATATCGATTTACTAGTTTTAGAATCAAAATAACTGGTTTTGCCACGATTGAAGGCAAAATACATATTGTGTACTTGGCATCTTCGTCGAACTCGTCGCCGAGGAAGTCCCTGGGGAAGGTGTCCGGGCGGCAGTGGGCGCAGATGTCCGGGCAACGCTCTCCGCACAACCCGCGGCAGAGGTGGCCGCAAGCGAGCTGACACGAGCGCTTGCATTCTTCTTACATTAGATATTACTGCTATTGATTGAGGGATTTGTGAAAATAAATTAGGGATTGATTTCTTAACTTTTGTATATAATATTATTCAACGGAGGACAGTAGACAGTAGAGATTTTACCCGCGACGTTGTTTGTGTGACCGGGATTTCTACTGACTGGGTTAAAAAGTAGTCTATAACCTTCTTCATCACATATAGTGTGTATATCAAATATCGTAGTGATTGATTAAGCCCTTAAAACACTATTATGTAACAAACAAACATACAAAGTCACTTTTAAAATATAATATTTTTAAGGATTAAAAAATAACAAACACCAAAAATATTGATTCCAGCGCCATCTAGTATTTCTTGTACAATTTTGTTTATTGACGAACGACTATAATACACTTTCACCTATTCCCTGTTACGAAGGATAACGTCGCAAAAATGATAAAACTTATGAAAAATAAAACAAGTGTTGCTTTTGATGATATACTACCAATCTTAATAAAAAAAAATGCATATCAGAATTAGTACTCATTAACATAAAATTAATATTTTATTCATTTAAGGAAGTACGTTTCCCTTATAAATTAAAAATTAAAAAAATAGGCCGATTCTAAAGTAAGAAAATCTAATGGTCCAAATCAATACAAGTCAATTGCTTTTTTTTATATTTCTAAAGTGTTTAAGAAAGTAATGTTCAACTGAATATACAATTTCTATAAAAATTTCGTGTATTAAATCAAGATCAATACGATTTTAGAAAAAAAAACGGTCAACCACACTAGTTTGTCATTAAATATATACAACAAGCTTTACATGTAATAAATGATGATCAATATACACTCGGAATACTCTGATTACTAAAGCTTACAACAAGGTGAATCAAAAAATCTCTTGTTAAATTGTATGAATCAGGTATTCGAGGAGCTAGTTAGTTTCGATCCTATCTTAAAGACAAATAACAATATGTACAAATATGTATAGTAAAGTATACGTATGGTAACATCCCAAATTAGGTCTGCAAGCGGCTCCATTCCATAAGTGCGCTGTCATAAGAAGCCCTTATAATCAAAAGATATATAAAATGATTTATAATTTATGTAAATATTTATTTTAATTTCTGTCTTGCACTATTACTGCCCACTCACTACTTCCTATGCCACTGCGTTAGTTTGACTGGAAGAAATCTCTTTTAGAGATAAGTTCGCCTTTGCTAATATTGTTATTAACTTACTGTTGTTACCGTATGTTTTAGTGCAATACCACGGACTAAACCCTATATTAACCGGGGGGAAAGGGATTGTTAATAATGGGGTCAAATAGCCCTATTAGTAGCAATATACCCTGTCAGGTCGACCTCCACGTGGTTCCCCCTGGAAACCATCGTAACTAATTCTAGTTTAATTTTTCAGGATGGGCTAACTGACCTACTTTCATCTTCATCTGTCATCTATCACCGGTGTCCCGCCAGTGTATACCGATAGCGCAGACGGGGTTACCATATCATAATCACTCATTAAAAAAAAAAACCCATACTAACCTGCTTCATCTTCACCTATCTTCCCTCACAGGTGCCCCGCCTATATATACCGATAACTATTTCATAATTGAATAAGTTGAATGTCTGAAGCTGAGCTGAATAAGTGTGAGTAGTCCGATAGGCGTTAGTTACTACTTCTAATTTAGAATCTTGTCTGCCTGTCGTATTGTCTATTGTATTGGGAAAATTTATCTAAATTGTGATTTACTTAAGTTTAGGAAATTTTGAAATAATACTTAAATGCCTGGTCTTTAACCACGTCCTTACGTGGTTAAAGACCAGGCATGCTGTTTTTATAGTTGTTTCTGAAGTTCTTAAAACCTGATGTATACACCTGTCCCCCGATTTACACGGTACTTGTTTTACACGTTTTCGCTTTTACACGGTTTTCCAAATAAGTTTTTTTTTGTTTTTATCGCACTCTACTAAATGCTACTGTGTTTGAACACGTGCGCTGTGTACACATCTCACGGGGAATCCCGAGCTTATGTGCTGACTCGCTGCACATGCACACTGTGTCTGTATTTCTTCGCATAAAATTAAAGTTTTATCTACGGAAATTGTATTTGAGTGAAAGTTTCACAGTGTCAGAAAGATTTAATTTTTCATATTCGTAAATTACAAGTGGATGCATAATTAAGATTTTTATAAATTAACATAAATTAAAAAAAAAAATATAGGCTTATAATGTCGAAAGAAGTTAAAAGAAAAGTTATTTCTTTAGAAACTAAAATCGAAATTTTGGATCGCTTACGAAAGGGAGATAGAGTAGTAGATGTTGCAAAATCATATAACATGAACGAAGCTACAATAAGAACTATTACAATAAAAATATTGAAAAAAATCACCTACAATAAAAATATTGAAAAAAATCACAACTGTTAAATAGCAAAATTATGCATTTTCTGCAAGCTTTTCGATTTACACGGTTTTGACTTGAAAATTTTTAATTTTCGATTTACACGTTTTTCTCAGGAACGTATCTACCGTGTAAATCGAGCGATAGGTGTATTTAATCATCATATGCCATGTATAGTAGTGGCCTATTTCATTAATTTTCCTATCTACTTCTGAAATACACGCGTATAATGTAGCGGCAAAAGCATAGTAAGTATTTCATAAATTTATTTAAAATTATGATCTCTTTAATGTACAAAAAAAAATACAAAAGTATTGAATAACAAATAATATACGATCCCTTGATAATTTTTAATAATAATATACAAAGACAATAAAAAATTATATCTTTATAAAATCACTATATTTAAAATTTAAAAGTATGGTGTAATAAAAAATTAGTCACAGTCAGTTACGTAGAGACGTAAGAATGAAGACTAGGGTAGAGAAATATAAGGACTTGGATATAAAGGTAATTAGTTAACAATCACAATTTGCCTTAGGTACAACTCAAACAGACAATCCACAAGTAAAGATAATCACTATTCAGATAGACTATCTAATCAAAAACAAAAATTGAAATGAGGAATGATAAAGCAAAAAATTTATAATGGTTACTCCTACATAATTCTTCCTTGAGTGTGGTAGAACTGATAGATATGTTGCTATATTATGAATTTTAATTCCCAATTTAATATATTAAAATAATTTTATTATGAAAAATCGTTAAAATTACATATATAAATAATAGAATATAAATAAAATAATGCTTAAAAAATCTATACGAAATACTCATTTAATTTTATCGTAAATATAAAGGCAGGAATTAATAATGTTACCACCCTTATAACAGGTAAAGACTGTAGTATTGCAACACTCGTAATTTTTAACGGGAAACCCAGTATTGTATATGTTTATATTTATGACAAATAACTAATGCAGAGTTTACATGAGCATATTTTATTACAACCAAAATTATGTCAGAACAAAAGTGCAACAAATTTTATTTTTTTATTACGAGAATACTTTCATTTGTAATGTATATAGATATTAAGCTTTATATTTACATTCCTAAGAGTATACACAGAATAAACTAAATAGGGATATTATACATATATACTGTCTAAAGAACTCTTTCCTTAAAATGTGATATATATAATAAATTTGTAAAAAACAGCATTATAATCTCACACACACACACACACACACACACTTCTTTCCAATAAGAATTTTTTTGGCAAGAATAACTATTAATTTTGAGCGTCATATTTGAATTTGAATGTACGAAGTAGCTATTTGGTACTTATATACATTTTTTTTTCTAAATACATAATTTTTACATTAAATACGTTCCCCATACCACGATAGCTTGTAATAAAATGTGATCTTCGAAATGTGGGCATAACGAGTATTACATTCACTACAATGACAAGCATTGAAAATAGTTATTATATTAGTTATGAACATGTTATTATTATTATATATATATATATTTATATTTATATATTAAAATTGATATAATTTTAATTTAATATAAATTTAAATTTAAAATATAAACACTAATAATACAAACAAAATAAAATAAAGGCTATGTAATGGTAATGTATGTAAATTTTTAAATACACAAATAACATAATTCAAAATTGATGTTAAAATGCATGTTTTACGCTCGTGTAGACTTGATATAAACTATTTCCTTCAGTACTACCAACAATGCATATTGCTAGTGATTGCCGAGTCCTCCTTATTTAATCGTTGAGTGTTTTGGTACTCGTTAAAAAAGAATCGAATATGACTCCTAACTATTCGCCGTTTGTTTTTAATAAACTTACAAAGTGTGACGTTAAGAGGAGCATTAATTTTGTAACATTTAATGCAGTAGGTACCTATTGTATCAGTCGTAATATGATTAATCCGATTATCGATGAGATATTGTCTATAAATAATCCTCAATAGCTCTATTGTAACTTGTGTTTTCCCAAAGTACTGGAAAGAAGCATAAATTATCCCCATTCCAAAAAAAAAAAACAATCCTATCTCTTTCTCTGACTTGCGACCTATCTCTATCCTACCATTCCTCTCTAAAATACTTGAACGCCTTATTTATACTCAACTGACAAATTTTCTTACCCAAAACAACCTATTGAATCCTTTCCAGTATGGCTACCGACACGGTCATAGTACAATAACAGCACCAGCTAAGATTATTGATGATATTTGATCGGGTATGGAACACAGCCAACTGACCATCCTAACACTCCTAGATTTTAGCAATGCGTTCAATACCGTCGATTTTGACATCCTACTGAAACTGTTACGCTCTCTTAACGTATCTCTGCCTGTAGTCGAGTGGTTTCGTGTTTACACAAATTAACAATGTGTCTTCATTTTGGTGCGATACGTTTTCTGGCGTTCCGCAAGGTGGCGTCTTGTCTCCTTTCCTTTTTTCAATTCTTATAAATACTACTAGCGATCCGCCCCGGCTTTGCACGGGTGCAATAGTGATACTAAATGTAACTACCTACTACAGAATGTCTTTATAAATAACATTTACAGCTTTTAAGGGGGAGTACGGCCTTCGACGCGCTATTATATAGGCACGCGCCGTCAGCCGGGCCGGTTCCGCCGCACGGCTATGTTCCTGCATTTTAAAACTGTAATATCTTCGGAAATATTTATTTAAATTACATGCTGTAAAAGGCGATATTGATCTATATTAAGTGGACAATGTATTTAAGGTACTTAATTGGATAAAAAATAATGCTGTATTGCTTAAAATCTCTTCGTAAATAAGCCATTTTTCCCGTAAAATGGAAAGGATAAAAAATGGTTATTGTGGGTTTTCTTAAGAGATAGACATATACCATCGCGGACTTTTTTGTTGACCTTTTTAAGGTGTACAATACTGTAGTACATTATTTTGATTTATCTCGTGGAGTTCAGCTAGCGTTTGCAATGTAAGCGCAAAAAATGTGTTTATTTATGACATCACATTTGAAACCTTTAAATTTATCAGTGTTTCTTTACAATATTATGCATGTATTACACATATAAACCTTCCTCTTGAATCACTCTATCTATTAAAAAAACCGCTACAAAATCCGATGCGTAGTTTTAAAGACTTAAGTATACATAAGGACGGACAGACAGTAACATTATTTTATACTATGTAGTGATGATGATGATGATGATAGTGATAGTAATGATGACTAAGTATTAGGTACATACTGTAAGTAATATCAAAAGAACTAAAGATTAATTATAAAGCAAAATTGCAACAAAATTAGTTAACATGAATTGGTCTTAATTTAGATTACAAAATTTTACCTAAACAAATAAACTATGTATTTAAATTTATTAAATGTATGGAATTATAAATTTAATTAATAATGTAATACGTAATTATAAAAAAAAAATGGCGTCGACGTTTCACGATATCGTGGACGTCCACGGTAAAGAATAAAAACGTCTAATGGGGATTAAATTGTTAGCAATACGGATATTGCTAGCAATACACTCTGTCAGGTCGACTTCCTCGTGGTTCCTCTGGAAACCATGGTGTTTAGTTCCAAGTAAATTCATCACTTTGGAGTAACTGATCTGCTTTTTCATCCTCAACTATCATTCCTCACTGGTGCCCCACCAGGATTACTCAATTATCATCCATTTAAATAATATATATAATACAAATCGATTAAAAATATGATTTTTTGGCGATGATCGAATAATACTAAATGTTTATTGGTCTCTCTCTAGCACATATCATTTGGCAACACTTTCACATTACTAAGTTGAATGCACTGATTATAGTGACTACATATTGGAAGGTTCGAATCTTTACCACCCATATACGTTGTTCTCTTGAAAACTATAACAACTTCTAACAATAGACTGTTCTTGTAATTGTGACATCATTGTTTATTTTCAATAACAATTAGTCTTTATATCTGAATAGGTAAGTACATGCTTACATGTTTTGAAATATTTAAGGATTTATATTAAAAAAGGTAGTGAAATGCCAGTTGGTTTCATAACATTAGAGATTCCGTTCATAATATAATTAATAAATAAATTTTAGCCGACTTAAAAAAAGACAAGGTTACTAATATTGGAAGATTACGTGTATTGAAATTTTATTAATTTATTTATCTCTTTATTTCATTAAAAACATAAAAATAAACAGTGACATATAAACAATTCAACTGAAATACAGTAGCATGAAGTACAGATTAAAATATACATATAAAGGTTTTTAGACAAAGGTAAGGTAATGTATGTTTTTATTCGAGGTACAGGAAGCATGACTGCACGTCACCGAGAAATATGAATCGTTCTTTGAGGTAGTAAGGTGTGAGAGGATTAAAAAGAATAGAATAAAGAAGAGAAAGAATATGCCAATCACGGCGTCGATGTATTGGGAGCCACTTGAGCTTGTTACGGTTCTTCTATAGTAAAATAGATCTAATATGGTCATGTCAAAAGGGGAGGTGGCACAACATAATATTTGTAATTGTCAATCTAATAAACTCCTTGATAATAAGGGGGCCGAATGTTACAAATCGCCTATAGTACAACAGGTTTAATACCATATAAGTATATGAAAGTGCATTTTCATTTGTAACAGAACTTATGGCTGGACTAGGTATATATATTTCATATATATTAGTATAACCATATATATTATAGTAGTGTTTATATGTTATATGTGTATTTCTTATATATTATTATGTATAATTATTTCAGTCTGTCACTATAATTATGTCACATATTTTTCCTACCACATCTGCTCTTCATACGCTTTCTATTTTTATTTAATGGTTAGCTGCGAGGAAAAGGAAGTTAGTAATGGGATGAAATAGCTCCATTACTAGCAATATACCCTGTCAGGTCGACCTCCACATGGTTCCCCTAGAAACCACCGTGGTTAATTCTAGTTGAATATGTCAGGATAGGCTAACTGACCTGCTTTCATCCTCATCTATCTTCTCCCACTGTTCCCCCGCCAGTGTATACCGATAGCACAGGCAGGGTTACCATATCATTATTACCTATTAAAAAATTGGTTAGCTGGTAGAGAATGCCATATGGCATTAAGCTCGCCACTTGTACAAAGTTTGATTGTGTAATAAAGGATAAATAAATAAATATACCAAAGAAACTAGGAGGAACTAATTCGTAAAATTGGTTTCATAAAAAGCGGTTCAATATTTAGTTATTAATAATATGACTGGCCAAGATTGAATTGAATTAGTTGTTTTTTTTTTATTTTGTATGAGAAAATCTACTTTTACTTTCTAAATGGATGCATATAAGAATGGATTTATATAAGTATTTGTAAATATTACAGGAATAATAAAACGATGTTTCTAATTAGCACCGTTGAGACATTATCAAAAAATCTATAAAACTAATTTAGTTATGCTATTCAAATTTTAATTACAATTATGTCACAAAATAAGAAATTACGAATTTTGATATTAGTAATTATAACTATTAGGTTTCCATTTTATATGAGAAATGCAATGAATGTTATTTTATTTCATATTTATGTACAGAACTCTCAGCGTGTGATTTCAACTCACACTTGAACGGACTTTCCAGTATTTCGGTATAAAAATTAGGCATTCCTACTATTATTTTAAACCCGAAAGTTTGTGAGGATAGAAATACGTTTCTTACTATTTCACGCAAAAACTATTGAACTAATTTGAATTCAGCCAAGATAAACAAAGAACGAACGTTACCATCCTTAGATTTAGTATGTAGTACGTTACACTACTATATATGACAAGATCCTCCAATTTAAGCTTGTGTTAAAAAAACGATTACAACAATGTAAAATCCGTTATTTTGATTTAAGAACTAAACTAGTGAATAATGGCGGTCTAAGCCCATCAGAGGACCTGAGCAGCAAAGCTGAATAAGTTTAAGAAGAAGTTGATGTGATTTTACAAGCTTTTCAGTTATAGTTCACATTTACATGTTTTTATGTTTATTTAGTTAAAAAAAAAGGATTTTTCCAAATCAGATTATAACTGCAGAAGTTAATAGCAGTCGTAAAAAGATACAACCAAATTGAGAACCTTATTTTTGAAGTCGGTTAATTATTAACTGCCATCTTAAATACTAATTGGCATATTCTTAATTTTTTTAATAAATTTAAAGTATTTCTAATCTATAATGGAATTCATACATTAATAAACATATAAAAGTCTAAAGTACTAACTTATGTAGATATATTCGATTATTATGTAGATATAAGTACATACCTAAAATATAAATACATGTATGAAGATAAGATAACCCTTGTTATGTCCGACAAAAGACAATGGCAATGTATGAAATGTGCTATAGTATCATAATCTGTTATTATCTATAATCTGTGAATACAGATGACAACTACAACGTTTTCCATTCCATTAAGTGAGCAACACAATAATCCCAAATAGCTGATTTTTTTATTTATATTTTTTTTAATAATAGTATAATAATCTCATCTGCGCTTTTGGTGTAGTACACAGGAGAAGGGGGGGGGGGGCACCAGTGAGGGTTCAAATAGATGGGTGAGGATGAACGTATCACTAGCAATAGGATTGTTAATCCTATATTATTTTTTATGCAACTTAGAATGGCAAACAAGCTCACGGCCCTCCTGATGAAAAGTGGCAATCGTCGCCTGTAGAGATGAACAACACCATGGATATAACAGTATATACTATTTCTCATTCATGTTATCGCTATGAGATAATGTCCTGCATTTCTATACTTTTTTTTTAACAATTTTTCAATTTCTCTGATCCATATTTTTCATTATTATCTGATTTTAACTTCGAAAAATATTAGAATTAATATATTTTGTAACAAAGTAATGCCATTCTTGAAATTTTTTAATAACTTCAGATTTATGTGAAATTAAATAAAGTATGACAAAATGAGTGCAATCTTCTACTAAAGTTACGAAGTATTTATGATTGTTCCTAGTAGATGTGTTGAAAGATCCACATTCCTCCGTATGGATTAATCATAATGGCCTATTGATCAACTTTTAATTTAACAATATACAAAGACATGTCGTTATTACCGATTCTTAGTAAATTATTATTTTTAAATACTTTACCTTTACTATTTGAAAAAGAAACGGTTAAATCTCTATTTTTCATTATAAAAAAAGACAATAAATTTATTCTCTTAAATCAGGTACATAATATACATTTATTACATGTTACGAGTACCTGCATGTATCTCACTTCAACGGTTTGCAATATAACTCCATTCCTAGTTGCTTCAATATTTCAGGCATATTTGTTTCTATATAATTTGAAAAGAAATCTCTATTAAGACGGCAACGTGCGCTATTTTGTACTTTCTCATGCAAACTGACTTAAGCGATTTTATTGATTGTGTTTCAGCTGTTCAAAGGCATATAATGACGGCATAACATGGACGACGACGGCGAACATTTAAATTCATGTAAGTTGCTTTCTATCTGTGCACATCATATAATACCTATACAATGATAGTTTGTACAGTCGTTAAAACAGCTACTTACTTAGCAGTTATTTAAGCCGCGGAATCATTACTCTGTACATAGGCAAATGCACAACTATGACCGTAGGTAATATTAAATATAGTCTGTGCATTGAATATAGTTACCTCTTACCTTACGATACGAGTTTTGTAACTTAAACGAAGATTTTTAACTACCAGCTCTCTTAGTTTAAAAAGTACTTACTGTTCGTCATTGGTTAAATAATATTGTTTGTATTTGTATAAACGAGCCATATGAAATTAATGGAAACGTAAACTTTCCAGATAAACAAAGCAGTTATCAAAACTCTGCTCCACATTATCAGAGAAGACCTCATGAAGCACCAAATCATGGCATTACTCGTCCAAGACAAAGGCAACCACTCTGGACTCCACATGCTACAAACATCCGAGCACCACCAATGCCAGGTGGCTCTAAAAATTTGCAATTTGGGCAATCTCCAACAGGCACTTCTAACTCAAAACACCATCGCACGTTTCGAAAAGCACCACAAGAATCAAAGATCCATGCTACTAGGGAGCCAACAGGTAATATTACGTACACATATAAAGTTCCAATGTTATTTAAAAGGGCTTACCTAATATGCTAATGACCTTGACGATTTGACCGCATCATACGATAGAATAAGTTCACAGTTTCGCTTAGTATTCTTTTTGAAATAACATTCCCTTGACCAGGATATATTGATTGACCGGGATAAATACATATATCGAAAGTGACTAGGATCAAGTACGTTTTGGAGTGTTGCCGTTATTAATAATAATTATTTTAGTTTTTTTTTTTTTTTTTTGGTTTGTTAGTAATATTTCTGAACAAAGATTTTCTTTAAAATTTGATTAAAAATAGAAAATCAACAGTTAACCAGGATTCCTATAAAAATGTGTAAAAACGCTAATGGAGTTTTTAAAAAACCATTACAATTTTTGTATTGAAACCGAAAAATATTGCATCGATATGGAATAACGACATTATTTAACACAAGAAATGATGAGAGCTGTCGGAATGTTGCAAGCTTCTTCCTGGCAACGTACTGTGGCTGTCGCTCTTGGAGAGCGTCACACATATACACCGCATTTGGACACACTATCGTATAACAGGCGTGATCAAGTGACATAAAAGACGATCTCACATCCCCACTTGCAGACAGGACCGGCACATTCAAAATACTGCTTGACGAAATCTTGCCACAATAATGTTGGCTACGAGGCTCCATAGCTCTTCAGGGTTGCTGATAAACAAACAAACCATCCTAAATTATTTGCGTAAAGTGTAATTATAAGGCCCGTTTGCGTTCGTGAGTCCATTACTCACGAACACAGAAATTAAGAAGAAGAAGACTGGTTTGCTTTTCTGATGAGTCTCGTTTCAGTTAGGCCAGATACGTACTCGAGTTTGGAAGACATCTGGATGTCAAGAACGTTTGAAATTTTGTCAGGAAGTTCATTCATATGGAGGTGGAACTAGAATAAAAACCCTAAAAAACCAAATTCTTTGTTTTTAAATTGTCCAGTAGCCATTAATGAGTACAAGCTTTGCTTAGTATGGAGCAAGTAAGTAATATATTCAGTAGTATTTGTTTATCTAAAATATACTATAAATTGAATATACCATAGTTTTACAAAATTGAGCAGATAAATTATTAAAAAAAAATATTTCTATTAAGGCAGAACCAATTATTTTGATTTAAGAATTTAACTACAGAACAGATTTTGATAAAATTTCTTTGGAACCTAACTAAATAAATATCTTTCAAAAAAATTCAAAATCGATTTAAAACTGAGTGTTATAAACAACGTAAAAAAACAACAACCGAATTACGAACCTCCACCTTTTTTGAAGTCGGTTATACCCTATGATACTTTCAGATACTTTGAACTCTATAGCTACCTACAATAGCTTACCGTTCCAATACAGTACATAAATGAATAAACAATATCATATAGATAGGAATCTTCAATCGACATCGAAAAAGTTTTGAACTTATGTTTGTTACCTCATACCTCCGTCAGTTGTAAACCGATTTGGAAAACTATTATTTTATCTGAAAAGATATGCTTACAGATTAGTTCCATAAACATTTTATGAAAATTGATTTAATAGTTTAGTTTTTAAATCAAAATACTGGTTCTGCCACAATTGAAGTCGATATTTTTTGTGCACAGAACATTAACTATCTCATATATTATTAAAGCATCATCACATCAGCCGTTAACTACTGAACATAGGCCACCCCCATAAGGGTGGTTAAGCCCGTAGTTGCCACACTTGGCAACTGCAGTTAGACTTTGGTGATGTTTTAAGAGGGAGGGCTACTGCTTGAATATCTTCAAATTATTGAAGCATATTCTTATTAAAATATATAAAACTAGCAAACTTTTCTTTGCCCCCCACTCAGTCCATTATTTCTTATCTAGTTAAAACTATCCTATCTCTCAAATTCGAACACAAATATAAATATATAAAATTTCATTAAAATTCGGATTTGGTGTTCGGAGATAGTTCGGTCACGTCACCCATTTTTACATATTAAGTAAGAAGCTCTTCCATAATGACATCCTCCGTAGCGTTTCATAAAATAGTGGGGGGCTTCCGAATACTGAGGTCGCTATAATTCTTGCTCAACTCACACCCATTTGCTCTAAAGTGGAAGAAGTGGCAGAAATTGAAAGGGCTCGGGTGACTTGGGTGACTAAGATTTTACCCGATGCGATCCAGTGGGACTCCCCGGCACCCATAAGCGATCTGTTACATCCAGCACTGCGAAAGAAGATTAGTTTCGCCTAGATCACTTCCACCGAAGAACTCACAGCATTCCTAGATTCGCAATGTTATGCCATGTATACAGATGGCAACAAACGAGAGGAGGGTGTAGGAGCTGCTGTAGTCGCTCATCATCTTAATAGAAAATTGTACACTAAAAAACTGAAGCTTCACCCTACTTGTTCTGTGTTCCAGGCAGAGCTCCTGGCCATTAAGCATGCTTGCGAATGGGTTCTCAAAGGTAAGCATACTCAGGCCGTAGTATTGTCCGCAGCAAGTCTTCCTTAATAGAAATTAGCAACCCAAACAGCACCAACTCGCTGGTCGTCGATATTCACGCATCTTTACATGAAGCTAATTCACGAAGCTTGACAATATCCTTCACGTGGCTTCGCTTTCACGTCGGCATCGACGGTAATGAAGCCGCAGATACTGCCGCTAGAGCCGCGGCTATGGGACGCTACGCGACTGCATTCTCACGATTCCCTATGTTCTACGGAAAACATCATTATCAAACACTGGGCAAGGACGCAGACAGACGGATATTTGAAGACCCTAACAAGTGCAGCCACCTAAAAAAGTGGTGCCCATCATTTGATATACTCCAAGAGGTCCTAAGCGTATTGAACCTTACTTTTACATTACACAACTTTTGAGTAACCATGGGTATCAGAAGGAATACCTTTGCAGATTTCATATAACAACTGATGAATTGTGCTCATGTAATAACACCGACATTCAGAACTGTAGGCGACACGTAACTGTATTTAGTCTATTCTCTTTATATATGTATATCGATAGCATTGAATAAACGCGGGAGTAAGCGGGGCAGCGCCTCTCGCGTGAATTTGGTGAACTGTCGTCGTGTCTCCGCTCGAACAAAAACAAGACACGATCGCGCTGCCTCCTTACATTCTCTGTTAATTAATAGTGTTTTCTTCTACATTCCCTACAAGAACCTTGAACACCTTCTGAAATACTGTCCCCGTTTCGCCAGCAGCCGTTTAAATCACCAACTAGCATGCCAACTATTAAACATTTCGGAACCATACTCTCTTCAGCACGTAATCAAGAAGGAAAACAGTACTAATTCATTCAAAACACATTTGGTAAATATAATAGATAGTCTAAATGCATTTAATAACACGTAATAATAAACTTATACAAACTATATTTATATATATTTAACTATCACACACAGTGCTTCTAATAAAAGCTCAAACTTTATATCGTTAAAATAAATTCTTTATATGCAAAAAAAACAAGGGAAAAACGATGTTATATGCATTGGGATTTTCATATATATATATATATATATATATATATATATATATATATATATATATATATATATATATATATATATATATATATATATATATATATATATATATATATATATATATTAAATTTTCCCCCGGATATAAACAAACTTTTGTTCAAATTTAGTTTCTATTTCGTTCGGACTTGAAGACTAGACAATTGGTGCAATTATGTGTCACTTAGGTATTTATTTTCTATGTATGTATGTATATATGTATTCTGACATGTTTGTTAAGAACTCAGAAAGACGAAAAGAATTCTTATGTATTGTTTAAAATTTTACTCCTTAAAATGTCTGAATTCCAGTAAATTCCATCATAATAAAATTAATACGGGGAAATATTTATCAAAATACGGTCTATCTCGAAATTAACGTAAGATTAGTTCCAAATATTACTTCAGGTTATAAATTACAGATTCTAGAAACATACAAGGACAAGCTGTAAATGCAACACAAAGTAACTCGGCTCCTAGCGGCTCTCGACGTCCATGGAACCAAAACGTTCAGAATAACCAGCCCGTACAACGAGACACGAATATATCGTCATCAGGTCAGATAGGACATATATGTATTTTAGATTCATGATTAAGATAAATTGCACGCTTTATTTCCACTGAGACTTACTATAGTAGAAATTCGAATTTACACTGCATTTACACATTTACATACAAATTCATATAAGTCTACTTTTAACTTCATTACATTTAATATACCTAACTGGCAGGTTTTTATCACGATTATTTATTTGTTTGATCGCGTCGACATAAACTTTGACTAGTTCATAGTTTCATTAGCTGAGAAAATGTAATAAAACATATGCAACGTGCACGATACTATAAATGACTGGAATTAATAAAAAACACTCACCATACAGTGGTTTTGCTCTAAAATAAATAAGAGAGTAAATACCGTTAGTTACTTTAAAAGAAACTGACATTATTTATGTGGTTATTTACTTACACATAAAAATGAACAGTGTAAGAAACAACCATATATAATAAAAAGTAATTCGACAATTCAAAAAATTTTTGGCGTGTCCAAAAGGATTATTTGACACTGCGTGTTGGAGGTTTATATATAATATAATATAATAATATAATAAATACAATGATATTCTCATTATTTATTTATTAAATCAACTGGATGAGCTTTGCAGTCTTCCAATACGCTCATTCATCACACGAAATCATCAGTACAATATCACATCAGTATTATATCACAAGAACAGTCATGATGACTTTCAATTTTTAAGACAATTTTAAACAATAGGTAAATCGTGAACGTTCTCTTTAATTTTACTCAACACGTAGATGCGTAACTTAATGAGGAGCTGTTTTGTTCTTTTTGAAGTGAATATTTCTATATGCATGTTGGACACCTTTTGGGATGGAAAAAGCATTGAATTCACGTGACTATCACTTTCAGAAACACACATTATCATTTTTTACCATTGTAAATAATTTCTGTTAAAAAATATTTCCTAAAAAAATATCGTTTAATAACCCAAAAGTAATGAAGCTAAGAAAATTCCACTTGCATGTTTTTTTTATCTGCGACTGATTCTGTGTAACGACGTTTTGTTATTATTCTATTGCGGTGACTAATTTACATGAATGAACAATGTTCCAGGTAATCAAAAAAGGAAACATCCCTTAGAAACTTTGCAGGAAATAGCAAAATCGAATGATATTCTTGCCGAGATTAACAACAAGAAAAATTTTTTTAATAATCTATTCAAATGAGTGACTAATTTTTGAACAATGTTCCAGGTAATCAAAAAAGGAAACATCCCTTAGAAACTTTGCAGGAAATAGCAAAATCGAATGATATTCTTGCCGAGATTAACAACAAGAAAAATTTTTTTAATAATCTATTCAAATCGTCTACTACTAAAAAAGACATTTTTGTCTTGATTGTTGAAATATTGGCAAAAACTTCCGAATCATCCTTCAATGATTTGAAACTAAAAATGATTCTACACGTAGCTAATTCTTTATATATAACACAACTGCGAACCTATTTAATGGATCTTCCATATTATGACAACAAATCTAAGGACGGAAACCGTTTATATTGGAAGAATCCAACCAATTTTTGGAAAAATATATTAAAATTTTTGGAATGCTTGATAAATTTATCTCCGTCGACTTTTGTAAAGCTGTATCGATCACTACTATGTAATACAATAAGACTATGCTTGGAGGAATTAGAAAAAAATCAAGGATATAGTTTGCCAGCAGAACATATGATTAAATTTACAGAACTACAGAATAAATTAATGGAATGGGAGACAAAAAATCTGGTAAGTATTATTATAAACCAGAGCCTGAGCCACTTACCATCAGATGGGCCGTATACTTGTTTGCCATCCAGTTTCATAAAAAAAACTATTCGAAAGTGATTATATGTGTGTATTGACTGAGACTAACAAACATACATGAATATATCTTTTTCATATTTTTAATATTATCCAAAATGAACAGGAATTTATTGTTTAATACTATTTTGATCATTAATTTTGAACACGTTTGATTTAGAAAATAAGGAAAAGGGCTATGCAATTTGATTATTGGCGTATCTCCGAAGATACGCGATTAACATATATTTGGCACAAGTCTAAGTAATTTAATTTCTAATAGACTATAATAAAAGTATTTATATTATTTCAGAACCAAGCGAATGATAATACCAATGAAGAAAAAGAACCGCCGGACGACTTTCGGCTAGTTCCAATAATACCAAATCGTTATCATTTGATGCGACCGCCATTTTTACGTCCGAATATTGTTGACGGAGCGTACAAAGACGTCGATCATTACCTAGATATACAATTTCGTTTGATGCTGGAAGACTGCTATGGACCGCTCCGTAAAGGAATAAGTAATATATATAAAGCTTAATATATTATTATTTAATTAAGTAATTCAACCTCATGTATCGTAAGAGAGTATAGTTAACAGTAGGAATTATTATTCCTAACAATATAGGATATAGTGCTCTCAGGTCAGATCATTTAACTTGATCTTCCCTGGAAATTTCATGATTCATATATAGCTAATTCATCACGATGAGCCAACTGACCTATCTTCATTCTTACCTTATTATCCCTCGCTGATGCCCCATTAGTATATATCAATTGCGCAAGTAAGGTTACCATTTCATTTCCATTTATTAAAAAAAAATCATAAAACAGTTTTCAATATAGGTACATTCTTATGAAACATTTTACACTTTTAAATACATAAAAGCTCTCTATGTGTAGGTACTATATAAGCACTATAAATAATAAGTACTATAATCTGAAAGCTTATAGTATTTATATAGTACCTACACATAAGTACGCTCAAAATATTTAGATGCGAGCACATATTTTGGGCGACTTTGTAAACTGAATATTATTTTGATAAATCTTTTTCATTTTAGTACAATACTTGGAAAATCCTAACAAACGGAAATATGACAATATACGGTAAGTTCTTTCATTTCATATGAGTACCTATATTTTTATAGCATTAAGTTGTTTTCTCAAACATGCTTCGAAATGTGAGCATTATTTTAACAATCTTCTTCGAGATAAATCAAAATTGCCGTACTGGCCAGATACATGCCGGCAGCGGCCGGCAAAAGTTGTACGTAAACTCATATCTGACCTGTAATAAAAATGGAATGACCTTTTACTTTGAAACATGGCTATCAAGGAGGTAACTAATAAAAGGTTTTATTTAAATTTCGAACTGGCTTGCAAATAGAAAGCTGTTTATTGAAAAAAAAAACAAAGGAACATTATGGCGCGTGAAAAATTATTATTGTTCGTTATTCGTCATTGAACTTAAAAAGTTAAATTGTGTTTTTGATTTCCGCGCATTGTTTGAGAAAAGTACTATACAAGCCCTGGCCACAACTAGGCATTGATGGACTCACATATGTGTGCCTCTGCTACGCCTCGGCCCACATTTGCACGTTCGTCCATTAATGCCTTAGTTGCTGGCCGCTGCAGTAATGTACTAATAGATATATAGATATAAAGCGCACTCCAGATTCTCGGAGAACTTAGCTGACAGAAACCTATCCTTAAAATTAACAAAGGTAAATTATATAGGCAAAATTATATTATTCCAACAATAAACTGTGCAATTCACGAAATACATAGGTACATAAGTAAACCTTTGAAGCTGCCTTGAAGGGTGAAACTGATTAGTAAATATATTGTAACAACTTATAGAATATATTTTCCTAATAATATCAATATGTACTTCAGGCAACACCTTTGAATGCATTTATGATAAGGACTCCTATTCAGTTTGAAATTAGTCGGACACAACTAAATTTTAAAAGCAGGACTCATGATATTTATTATTATAAAGAGGAAAAAGACGATTATTTGTTTGTTTGTAATAAATTAATTCAAAAACTACCTAACCTAAATTAACGAAGCGATCCCAATTGGTATTAAATAAATTTAACTATTTAAACTTTCTCTTAAAGGAGGATGAAGTCTCCCCTTATCTCGCCAAATCTTATTAAGGGGGATACAAGGTCCAGATTAAAAAAAAACCTTATGTAATTAATTATGATTATGGATATCCTCTAACGCTGTGTACTAGTAATACCCTTATTTATTTGTTTTTATCACACAAAGTACTTGAATACAATTCTTTATTACAATTTCAGGGTATACAATAATGTTAAGTTATTGTCACCCTACGTATCTGCCAACAAAATTGGCTTATTGGTACAAGTAGATAAATCCTCCAATAGGAGGTTTTTCAAAATCAATTGGAAAAGCAGCAAACGCATGTTATTTGGTTCCCTTTTGTTATTTTCAAAAGATGATTTCAAGCAATTCGCCGTCGCCACAATTATAGACCGGGATGTTGCTTGCTTAAGTAGAGGCCAGGTAAATACTCTTCACATTAATAATTTAATACTGTTTCTTTTTTTTTCTTCACATTATTATTTTAGATGGGCTTGCCTCAGAACACTAATTTTAAACACCAGATAAATATTCATCAGATAATATCACAATCAGTCCACCGTAAAAAAATATATTTTTAATGAAACTTGGAATAGTAAGCTGACAATCCATCCACATAATTGAAAGTGGTAACTGTAGCCTATAGCCATGAATAGTATGATTGAACATCACAGAATATTTACATGCCCATGACACCTCACAAGCCTTGCCATTATTGAGACATTACTTAAAATCAAGTTTGCACCTGTATTAAATTAATTTAAATAAATGTATTTAATATATGTAATTGTATCTATTGTAATTTAGTTAAACGATTCACAACCAGTGCTGCATGACTCTGGCATAGAATGGGCCATCCCTTCCTTTGGTGTCGTAAGAGGCCACTAAAGAACTTAATGATCAATGCATGTGCAGCAGCGCCCCTTTTAAAACATCACCAAAGCCTAATTGCGGTTGCTAACCCGCCTGCCAAGTATGGTAGTTACTAGCAAATCATTATCCCCCATTATAAGGGAGACCTATGTTCAACAATGGACAGTTAACAGCTGATATAATGATGATGATGATTATTCATAATCAGACCTATTTAAAAATTATTTCACGAAATACTCAACTGGTAATGTGCATGATGTTTGTTAACACATTTTTAAATTTACAGTTACCGATAGCTATGGTCAATCAACAAATCCAGCTAAACCCTGGAGATTCATACACTATGATTGAAAGTGAAGTATACTTTGAGCCTTACTACCATGTGTTGAATGTACTTCAGAGCCCCACTTTTGCGCAACATCTGGCTATGCAGAAGTATATTGTTAAAGCAGAAGTAAGTAAAAGGTGGCGTTCCTTATAGGTAACTCAGGATGACAGGGGGGGGGGAGGGATTATTAGTAACGGGGACTAATTGACCCATTGCTAGTAATACAACCTATCAGGTCGAGATCCACGCGGTTCCCCCTGGAAACCATCGTGGTTAATTCTAGTGGAATTCGTCTCGATGGGTTAACTGACCTACCTTTTCATCCTCACCTGTCATCCCTCACTGGTGCTTCACCAGCGTATCCCGATAGCACGGGCAGTGTTACTATTCCATTATCACCCAATAAAAAAAATTCAGGATGACAATGTAAATAACCAACAACTCAAGAATAAACTCTCTACCTACATTCGCGAAATTGTGATGTAGGTAATAATATAGTTATTAATGTTGTGATAAATTATTGCTCAGAAAAAAGTTTCACTCCAAAAAAAGAACTTCTATAAAAATTGTACATACAATATTTAATACAAGAAGTAAGACAACAATACTCTATATGGTACCTATTTTACAAATAATAGTGCATTAATCGTCTGTGTTAATTTTAATAACACTGAGTTTTTTTTTATGTTAGTTTGACTTTATGTTTAAAGTAACTCCGCAGTTTGACTGACGGATAGCTCCATAATATAACTGTCTGTCGTTAGAGATATCAACACTAAGTATCTTAATACTCTTGATAAAAATGATGAGAAAATAAAATACCCAATTTGTGTAACATAATTTGATAAACTTTTCTTATCAATGCACTTATTGTTTTTTTTAAAAGATACTCGTATGCTCGAGTATTTTCGGCATATACACACATAAAAAAACTCTAAGCAACATAATTACAAATTTCAATTTTACAATGTGTTTTCGCATAAAATCCTTAGTATTTTCTTATTTATATTATTTTTTAATGCTTTTTTTATATTAAACAACATTTGTTTTTTTTTATTTATTTTTTAATAATCTTAATTAACAATAATTACGAGTAAGTACTGTATGTACGTAGTACAAAGTAAGGTGCCTAATAAACTAAACTTAAACTAAAATTAAATATTTGTACAAAAATTGCATAAATTAATACAAAGTATGGCCTCCTCTGTTATGGAGAACTTTCTGGCACCGATTGTTCATAGAATCGATAAGACTGTTAATGTTATCCTGCGGCAATTGCTCCCAATGAAATTTTAGTAAGTCCATCAATTGTTGTTTTGTTGTCACTCCATCCAAGTCCTTTAAAACACGTCTCTGAAGCATGCCCCATGCATGCTAGATGGGGTTGAGGTATGGCGATTGTGCAGGCCAAGGCAATACCAGGATGTTTTCCCTTACCAAGTACTCCCGTGTGTGCAAAGCAGTATGCGAACGCGCATTGTCATGCATCAACGTGAAATCGGAGCCAAGTGTTCGTACGAATAGACGGACATATAAATCTGGGCGTACTTTTTGACAGAAATCTTTCCTGGACGTCTCACGTAAACCAGATAAGTAAAAAAGTACATGCGACTGTTCACTCACTCAGACGTCTAAAAAATTTTCTACCTATTAAAACAAAGGTCAATTTAGCCCAAACATTATTATTTCCCCTTATGGATTATGCAGATGTATGTTTTCTTGACGCCACTTCAGAGTTATTTTCTAAAATTGACCGTCTACAAAATTTATGCATTCGTTTCGTTTATGGTTAAAATGCGTAAGTTTGATCATGTCTCCAAATATCGAAAAGAATTGAAATGGTTACCTTCACGTTTTCGATTGAATGTCCATATACTGACGCTTCTTTACAATATCTTGCATAATCCCTCCATTCCTTGTTATCTCCGCGAGCGTTATGAATATTTATATTCAAGAGATAAACCACTTCGCCCTCAGACACGATTACTTCTAAGAACTCCTCCACATCATACTCAGGCTTTTGGGAATTCCTTTACAGTTATATCCATTCGACTATGGAATAGTCTGCCATCCGAAATAAGGGAATCGGCAAGTATAGGCATGTTTAAGCGTCGTCTGTTTAAGAGAGCATTACTTATCACTATGCTGACGTATTATGTATATGTGTATGTATATTTATATATGTTTATATGTGTATATATATGTATGTGTATATGTATGTTTGTGTAAATATATGTGTATGTTTACAGGGTATTTTATGTAATTTATAATGTGTAGTTTGTATTATTCTTTGTGTATACATAACTTATGCGTTTATGCAATATATGCAGATCGTATGACTGCCTATTTTTATTTATAAAATAACACATTAACATGGAAAGGTTTTGCTGGAAGAAATCTCTTATTAGAGATAAGCTCGCCTTTGTACATTATGTTTATAATGAATTGTAATTACCAGTATGTTTTGTGTACAATAAAGAATAAAGAATATAAGGCCTTAGAACATCCTCAACGTAATTTACAGCGTTCATGTTACCATTTACAAAAATGAGCTCAGTTTGTCTATTCTTCATAATACCCGCCCATACCATAACTGTTGAGCCGTTGTATGGATGCACTTCCTGAATGCACCTGTCTTTCAGTATTTCCAGGACGACGGTCCTTCTAGTACCAGGCTTAAACCCAAATCGAGACTCATCGCAAAATAAAATTTTATCCCATTGTTCCCGGGTCCATGTAATGTGTTCCCTACACCATTCATTTTGACGAGCGCGATTCCCGTGACGTATGGATAGGCACCTAATTGGCCGTCACGCTCATAGGTCATACTCATGCAGTCGATTTCGCACAGTTTGGCAGCTAATAACAACACCACTTGAATTTTGTACCCTTAAACCTATCTCTCGGGCGGTTAATATCGGTTGGCATCTTGCAGTCAGTTGTATGTATCGATCTTGCCGTGTGGTTGTACACTTTCCTCGACCTGTGTGCTGCTCAGCAGGATATCTCGTGTTAGTGTAACGCTGATGAAGACGGCAAATAACGCTTCTGTTTACACCAAAACACCGAGATACCTGAGATTGACTTCTTTCCGCTTGCAACATCCCTACAGCTCTTTGCATTTCATCTGCGTTCAAATTACGTCGCTCCATGACGTAAAAAATGTCTCAAAATCCAAATTTGTTCAAAACTTTTTCAAATTATTGTTTAAATCATAAAATTGATACAGAATACTAAATTTTAATAAGCAAAGAAAACGCTATAAAATTCGAACAAATGCATTCGCTTTTGAATTTGTGAAAAAAAAACAAATGATACTAGATTTTTTATTACAACTAGCCAGTATGTCCTCTAGATCAAAAAAGTTTACATAGGTATTACCTACTTGGTAAGAAATGATATAATAATTGATTATTAATTTGAAATAGTATGTGTTGCTTAAACTTTTTTGATGTGTGTATTTTTACTAATTTTAATTTATAATCTTATGTACCTATCTTCTTTTTCAGTACACTTATTACTTAAATATCTAATGATCACTATAAGGAAACTTATATGACCTTGTTAATATAGGTATTTCTGTATTTTTTTACAGCCTTCAACGTCGCCACCAGAATATGTGAAGAATACAACACAATATAATATAATTATTACAAAAACGGATGATGGTAACCACGATTTAATGTCTTTGGATGATAACACTGACAGATGTTTAGATAAAAAGTTCATTGTTTTAAATAAAGATACATGGCCAAACGCACAAGAATTAGGCTTCAATAATAGTCAATATGAAGCGTTTCAACTGGCTTTAACTAACGAAATTGCGGTCATTCAGGGTCCCCCCGGGACGGGTAAAACTTACCTAGGGGTGAAAATAGCAGAAACTCTACTGAAAAATAGTAATAAACAGATACTTGTGATTTGTTATACAAACCACGCTCTGGACCAATTTCTTGAGCATATGTTGAAATTTACACAGTCAATAGTTCGAATCGGCGGTCAGTCCCGAAACGAAGCTCTGGCTCAATATAACATAAACAAGTTACGAACCAAACGTACTGAATATTCTAAATCTGAAACAGTATATTATGATCAAAAACGAATTTTTCAACGCATTGTATCGAGATTGAAAAAAATACATGATAATATCCAAAATTTGAATTATAGCATTCTCACATACGATAATATTAAAGTATTAGAACCAGAGAGTAAAATTCTTGAAAGACATTACGGAAGCGATCCATTACAGTCATGGTTGTTTGAGCACATGACTTATGTTGAAGCCACTGAAGAGATACATGAAAATGTTGAAATTAGTAATAATGTTGACGAAGATGTATATCAAAGAGTGGAATTAAACTTAGACGATGATAATTTTCTTGATGATAATGCTAAACAAATAGAAGATTTAAGTTTTACTTCGTCATTTTCTTTAACGAAAGCACAGAAGTATTTAAATTATTTGAAATCTCAGAAAAAATTAGAAGGAAAATCACAAAATTATTATGAGCAACTTGACGCAGATATTATAAATACATATTCTTCTATAGCATTATTTAATGTTAGTACCTGTCCAATTCTGATTACTAATTAAGTATACTTGTTTTCATTGTTAAAGTTTTTTTCTATAAACTGATATAAATAGATATATCAAAGCGAACATATACTTCATTGATTAATTTTTATACCATAAAACTTTGTGTCTTAGTAAGATTTTCAATAGAAATCCAATAGCTTATTTAATTGTAGTGGGCATTATAATGTTTTCGTTTTTATTTGGTTATCCGTCAAATACAAATATAAACATGGATTCCTCCCTATTTCTGAGTACTAAGATATTATACCTTGTAAGTATGTAATTGACTACCATTATGTTATCCTTCGAAATGTAACAGGCTTATTCGCTTATCATCAGGTAGGCCGTACGCTTCTTTGCTACCTCATTGGTATAATAAAAAGAAAGCACAGCCGTATAAAAATTAAATTTATATTAAGTAAGTAGCTAGGTAGAAATTAAGAGTCTTGGGTCATAATGGCTTAAGACGAGTTATGAAAGCAAATGAAGCAAAAGATGTTTTTAACATGTTTATGAATCTTTCTATTTAAAATTTGCAATCTATTTTTTAACCACTTCTAATAATTTCGTAAGTTTCATCTGCAATACTTTAATTTTATCTAGTTATATTTAAAATATTCATCATTCCAGTTCGTTACAGAGTGAAAAATTTATAATTAATATTATTGTATAGGATATGAAAAGAAAATTCCAAGCTGGGGAAAATGCACGCAAACTCAATGAAAGAAACGTAAAGAGTATGCCGGCCATTGATCGATGGAATACATATTTTACATGGATAGAGAACATTACTCTACAGTTAAAAGAACAAGCTTCGACATTACAAGTAAGAATTATCGTTGTTAAATATCTATTTCTTTTTAGGTTTGCTCTAGATACCTATCTAATCTTAATAAGCTTTTATATTATTGTCATTGATATTATTGAAGTAAATAAATACATTATATGTTTGTAATTTATATATCTACCTAGATTACGTGACTTTGGTCGCTTATGTTAAAATTATGCTGTGGATTATTTTTATTATTCGATCATTTATACAATAAAAACGTTTAATTATATTAAAATATTACTACTATGCAAATAAATAACTTTTTTATAAGCACCTATAAATGATCTATGGTTTATTAATATTAGTCGATAATCATAAGACAGTTTAATCTACCCTCTATTCTATTGTTTAAAATTATTTATTGAAACTGGAATTTTTTCCTTTAATTTCTCTATAATCGCACCCAACTTATTTTTTCCTATTAATACATAGAAAAAATGTAGGTATACAGTTTCATTATATTAGTATATTTTTTTGATTATATCATTTTTTGATTATATAAGTATATGTGTATACAGTTTTATTATATTAGTAAAATTTATACTCATACATAATACTAACATAATAAAAGTGTAACTAGACCATGTCTGTATATAAATAAAATATTTAAGAAAAAATAATATGGGGTCTTAATAAGACCAATAAATGCCAAAGCAAAAATTGTTGAAATTTCTGTTGATATATTTGTTTCGGCATCACGCAAAAAACCACTGCATCAAAATAGATATGGTTTTAACGATTATATTCCTGAAGGTCTAACTTAAAAACCGGTGTGTGTTTTATCCAAATCCAAAGTAGAAAGGAACATAAACGTCAGCAGATAGAACGGTGTACATGTACAATACTGTAACAATTTACAGATGAAAATGAGTAGACAGACTTTAGTTTATACATAACCCATTATATTAAATTGTATATATACACTTAGAAGGATAAGCAATCTAAAGTGACAGTGGGCTGGCCACATAGCTCGAAGAACAGACAACCGATGGGAAAAAAGGTTCTTGATTGGCAATCCCGTACGAGCAAACGCAGTGTAGGACGACCCCTTTCCCCTCACTGAATGGATTGACATCCTCAAATGTATTTCAGGGAGTCAATGGATGCAGGTGGCTCAGAACCGTTCATTATTGCAATCTATGGAATAGACCTGTGTCCAACAGTGGATGGATAATGACTGAGATGATGATGATACATATATAACTAATCTGGCTATAAATACTATTACATAAAAACTTCTTTTTTTCAACTTTTTAATTATTTTAAATTTGGAACACGTTTATTATTTTAAAAACTTCTTTCCATTTCTCTTATTTTTTCGTATTCATTATCAAATTACAATATGGAATAGGCTGCTAAAGAAAATAAGATTGCTGTGATCGCCTTGCACAATGTGTGTATGGAGCCGTCGATCATATTCCAGATACTTCAAAAGTTTGTTATTAGCCGTATGTTTGTATATCATACTGTCAACAAATACGACAACATTTCCTCTGTCGAAGATCAGAAAAGATCGGGGCGGCCACGTGCTATTAGAATTACAAAGGCTGTTAATGCTGTTAAAGCCAGAATTCGTCAAAACCCTATTAGGAAGCAAAAAATCTTATCGAGGGAAATGAACATTCCCGTTAAGACTCTGTCGCGTTTTATAAAACAAGACCTGAAGCTCGGTGCTTGTCGTCGATATACAGCACATGCCCTAAATCAATCTCTACAATTAAAGAGAATGGATCAATCCAAATGTCTTCTGTCGCGATACACAACTGAAAGTCACAGAAATATTCTCTTTACCGATAAAAAAATTTCCTTCCCCATAAGGGTAGTTTTGACAGTAGTTGCCACGCTTGGCAGGCAGGTTGGCAACCGCAGTTAAACTTTTAGAGACATGTTTTAAAAGGAACGCTGCTGCCTATCCCTTTACTATTAAGTTCCCTTAGTCGCCTCTCACTACACCCACAGGAAAGGACGGAGTGGCCTATTCTATGCTGAGGCCACACAGCATACTATATACATGAACATAATTATATACTTACACATACATATAAATTAAATATGTTTATAAGGATAGAAATTGCGCTTTGTGTATATTTTTAAAAATATTTAGGGATTGACTCTCACGGATGGGCATGGGAAGAGAGTTCCAAATTTTTCAGAGTAGACAGTAAAGGATGACGTATACAAGTGAAGAGAGATAATTCATTGGTTTTCCTAAGAAGCAGACAAAAAGCTAGTATATTAATAAAATAAGAGTGACAAAATAACAGAATGGACATTTGACATTAATATACTTAAAAATTAATATATTTTTATAGAACGAATACGAAGAAGAACGAAATGCTTACGAGGATGCAAGAATGTATTTCGATCTCTTACACATGAGACGTGCAAAGGTTATCGGCATTACAACTACCGGAGCTGCCCGATTACACAAAATGCTACAGAATCTTCAATCTTCCATTGGTAAGCGAGCGATTGCTATTGTGTAGTACTCATAGATATCTTAAATTATATAAAATTTGAAAAATTAACTTCTAGAAGAATCAAACAGAGAGTATAACGCTGAGCGGATATATATATATATATTCGTGCAATGATATTTTTATAACATTTGATTTAAAACACAACAACACATATATTTTGTTCTCCTTTTCTATCATGACAGTGAAATCGAAGGATATCACAATAACATTACATTAACATTGACAATTATTTTATCTATAGTGATAGTAGAAGAGGCGGCAGAAGTTTTGGAACAGCACATTGTTGCAGCGCTCAGTGGTGGTTGCCAGCATCTTATACTAATCGGTAAGGGGTAGCTACAACTTATATATAGTAATTCCCATATACACATTAATATTAACATACAACAGAATATTAAATACTTGCATTGCTAAACTGCACCACTGCCATAAGTTTCTACAAACAATTTACCACAACATATTACTATCAAGTATCTACAGTAGTTATAGTATTCGATAGCTATGTGACTCTTGTAAACTATTATATTACATCTCATTTCCGTTCACGTAGGATAGATTACTATCCCGTAAACCAAAACTCATGGTCTTATAAATATTTACACTGTTTTCATAGGTGACCACCAGCAGTTGCGACCTTCGGCATCATACATAAAACTTGCCAAACACTATGGTTTGGAAGTGTCTCTTTTCGAAAGAATGATTAAAAACCAAATTCCCAACCGGCGACTAGATGTTCAACATCGCATGAGACCAGAGATCGCTTCTCTTATCGTTCCACACATATACCCAGATCTCAAGAATCATTCTTCTGTCATGGAATTTCTTCCTGTGCGTGGAATGACCAACAGTTTATTTTTTTTTACTCACGATTATAAAGAAGAGGTAGGTATAACCGTTCCGAAGATCATAGTTTGGAGTTTTTACATATATACTCGTGCATGACATTTTGTAAATTTAGAATGTAATGATAATTTGAAAGTAAAATATGAAAAACGCAACAACAGCAAATTATAACTTGCAGGAAATTGATGATAGTAACAGTCGTACGAACCACAAAGAAGCAGACTTGGCACTCGGTCTTGCGAACTATCTTATGCAACAAGACTACAATCCTGAGGACATCACAATACTGGCCGCGTATTCTGGTCAAATGTTTTACATGAGGAAAGTTAGTGTACCGTATATATATTATAAGATATTTATATTAATACCTCAAGTGTTTTAGTTTAATTTTAATTATTCACGTTTTGTTACAGCAACGTGAATTGTATCATTTTCTATCACGTGTAAAAATCACTGTTGTTGATAATTATCAAGGAGAGGAGGCCAAAATAATTATTCTGTCGTTAGTGAGAAACAATATTGACAACAAAGTTGGATTTTTGTCCATTGAAAATAGAGTTTGTGTGGCTTTATCGAGAGCCAGAGAAGGTAGGCTATAAATGAAAATGCATGTTTTGTCTGACCTTTCAGTATTCCTGAATTTTGACAGCAAATTTGTGTTATTTGGTACTTACTTAAATTTGTATTCTTTACATTTAGAGATTTACCAATATGAAACTATTTTTATTTGGATAAACGTGTGAAACTATTGTGCCATTAAAGCTACAGATTCTGTCATACGCGACGCTAGTTTCATAACAACAATATACGAGTATAATATTCTCATGCATTACCATTCCTGGGGACTAAAATTTTATGCCTCCATGCCCGTGCAATTTTACTATTACATCAAATCAAATCAATTTATTATTTTAATGATATGAGCAAATATGTTAAATATCTGTCTAGTCTTTTGTCTTCCTTATTTCTTTACAAAACATCTATTGCGTTAAGTGTATTGCATAAGGTTTAAGAAAACCTAATAGCACCAATCCTTCTAATTACACTCGACTCCCTCAAAAAAACAAAACACGATCGTGCAAACGCAACTGTTTTACGGCAGAATCATAAGTCAATAACGAATTTCGTAAATATCTCCCTCTAATAATGTCTTGATGCCGTCAAGAATAATTGATTTTAAACGAGTGCTTACCATATAATAAAACACTTCAGCACTCGCTTAAAACGACAATCCCAAGGTTTTCCCACAACCTGGAAATTAAACTCTATGGATAAATACTTATTAACTAGAGATTATAAAATATTATTAGATATAATGGATATATGTATGTATATTTTTAAACCCAAATTTTTAAATAAGTATATAATTGTTTGTAGGAATGTATATTTTTGGAAACATTGATATATTGAGAAATAATAGCGATCTGTGGTGTAAAATCGGGACTACCTTAGAAAATAATGGATCGCTGGGACCTGACTTGAAACTACAATGTGAAAGTCATAGGACCATAACTACCGTTAGTACCTAGCTATACTTACTATTTTTAAGTTTATTTATAGTTCACTAAACAGTAATTAGTTGTAAATGCGAGTCAAATAACAGTTTAACAGATTTTATTTATATATACTATAGATATTAAAGCTTGAATTTTGTGTGACTTTGAGAGTATTATTTTTATTTGCTTTAATGGGATGGGGAAGGTGGTTGCCTCATTAATTAAAATGTGACTAGTTCACAAAATTAAACTGGTCAAACTATAACTGTAGTTTGTTGTGTTAATGCACAGATGCATTTATTTTTCCTCTAGTTTGCCATGGATATGATCGGTCTCACTTGAACTCGGTCTGTAACAAGATGTGTGAAAGGTAAGTGTATTTATTAGATAGCATACTTTAAATTACTATTAATACTACTTCGGTGTGGGGGGAAAGGGATTATTAGCAATGGAGTTTGACAGCTCCATTGCAAGCAATAGTAGTAATAGTCGACCTCCACGTGGTTCCGACTGGAATCCATCGTGAACAACTCTTGTTGAATTCGTCACAATAGGTTTTAGAGACCATAAAGTTATATTTTTTTCGTGGGGAAATCCATGTGATTTTTGGCAATAGACCCACACACCTCGGGGGACCCGCGTTTCCCTTGTTCATTAAATGCATGTGATTTTATATTTTGTTTTTCTGCCAAATGTTTATAACGTTAAAATAAAACTTTTCAATTTCAAAATCTTTTATTCGACTTAAAAAACCACCACGTGGTTCAAATCATTTTATTTATATATACTATAGACTAACGGTAACGTGGCTGCGGTTCCGGTTTATTACTACTCCGCAACAACGCAGGCTAACTGACCTACTTCAACCTCATCTATCATCCTTCACTGGTGTGGGGGGAAAGGGATTATTAGCAATGGAGTTTGACAGCCCCATTGTATACCGACTGGAATCCATCGTGGATGGGGTTGCCATAGGCTGACCTTTTTTTTATCACCCATTCGGGGGAAAAAAAACGACTTAAACCGGTGAGCGTGGCTGCGGTTGGTTTATTACTACTCCGCAACAACCGTAGGGTCACGCCATTCACCCTATCTTGAGAGAGGAGACCTGCTCTTACCAGAATGGACCACCTCCTTCCTCCCACAGTACCCATACACCTCCCACAAGGTGTATGGGTCTGCATGTATATATATATATATATATATATATATATATATATATATATATATATATATATATATATGGCCGTGAGGTCACAGCATAGAATAGACCACTCCTTCCTTTCCCGTGGCCGTAGGTATATATATATATATATATATATATATATATATATATATATATATATATATATATATATATATATATAAAGCGGGTTTTGCCAATAGTTACCACGCTTGGCAGGTGAACTGGTAATCATAGTAAGGCTTTTGGTGACGCTACTGTCCATCTCTTGATAAATTCCCATAGTCGCCTCTTACGACAACGGTGGGAAAGGAAGGGATGGCCCATTCTATGCTATATTATTATTTTGCATACATTTAATTTTAAGGACAATTTGTGAGCTGGAACACGCGTGCCCACTTCCATGTAAAGAAAAATGTCAAAAATGTAATATGCCTGTTAAGAAACGTCTACCCTGTGGCCATGACATGATCATACCCTGCTGGCAGGAGCCTAATGAAAGCGTTAAATGCAAAACTTTAATACCAGTCACACTTCCTCACTGTGGACATGAGGTAAAACAGTATAAAATAATATATATTTTGAGTTGATGTTCGGGACCCACTAAAAAAAAACAAAGAATACTTTATTTTATTATTTCCATTGTATTGTGGACCATCAATATGAAAAGAAAAACATTCCAATCAGTAATAATATATATATAGATGCTGCGTTGTGACAGATAGACGACACAAACTCGCACCAAAAGAGTTACTAGTATTAAATATTATAAGTGGAAACATCTGCTTTTATTGTGTACTCTTAGAAGTCGATTCTGTCCAATGTTGAATTATTCTTGTTTGTTTATTACCCATTTTATATGTTTATGTGTAGAAACCATAAGACACGCAGCACCTAGTAAAGTCGTTTAGTAATAAAGTTCGATTTCTATATTTTCAGGTAGAGAAATATTGTTATAAAAATATAGACGAACTAGAGTGTCCAATAAAGTGTACGTACCGTGTAGAAAGCTGCGGACATGTATGTACTCGTTTTTGCCATGTGAAAGACGATCCAAATCATGAGAAGGTAACTATTATTAGGTATTTATTAAATTAACAGTTATAAGAAGGCAGGAGCATTCCTATATGAATGATTTTTTATGTGGTCCTGCTGCTTGGAAGAGGAAGATATGTCAGGAGGTTGACGACTATATGGATGTAAATATCAAGATGATAAATGAATTGTTTAGGTATATAAATATATATTGAATATTCCCCTCAAGGATTTGCTTAAGGGAAGTGTTCAAGAGTTAAATACTTGCAGAGCATATTTTATCTTGTTACTCAATTTATGAGTATTTATTTACATTTAACTATATATCATATTGTAGGTATATCAAATATTATCATCATCTTAGCCATTATCTCTCCACTGCTAAACATAGGCTGTTTAATCCCCCATAGACTGCTTAATACTTCTAATACATATATATTATTAAAAATGTGTAAAATAGGTTTAGTACTTTAAAATTCTAAAGATGTGTAAGTAATTTCACTTTATTTCTTCCAGTATGTTTGTAAGAAACCATGTGCCAGAGCAAAGGCGGGATGCTCTGCATCGCTGGTAGGAAACCGTGGAAACCATCAGTGTTTGAAACAATGCCACGAAACCTGCGACAACTGTGACGTAGAGGTCAGCTTTGTTATTATAAAAATATCTTGGCAAAAATAAATTTATTTAGAATGGCATCTTTTTCATGAAATCTTATTATTTAAGTAAATTAAGCATTAACTATTACAAGGAATTCTGTAACATTAATCTTTGTTAATGAATAATATAATAAATTGTGTATTATAGCTGTGAAAATTGTTTTATCTGGCACGTAGATTCGTGTGTAATGCCTTCTCTGTAGTTAATGTTTTTTTTTTGTTGTTGTATTGAGATATACAAATGCGGTACATATACTGTTAAGCTAAAAAGGTACAATTTACAACATGCCTGTATTGGTGTGGATTCCCAGCAGAAAGGGGGCGTTTTTGCCATTACAGTTTTGGCATTACACATGAATAAAAAGATGTTTCATGGTGGTATGGTTGGGATAGGTTAGGCAAATACTTAATTATGTTTTAACAAATTTGTACAAAAACAAGAAAGAGAAATTAATTAGAAAAGGTCTTTACAGGTAAAAAAGAAGAGGTCCAGTTGTACGCATTCTGAGAAAGTCGCTTGCTGTGTGAATGTCGATGATACTCCATGCCGCAAGAAGTGTGCACGCACACTAGCGTGCGGTCACCATTGCAAGAAGCTGTGTTTCGAGGAATGTGGAAATTGTAATGTTAAGGTATGAAGATAACAATCTTTTGTATGATCTACATAGATGTATGTGTTTGGAACTTCTTGAAAGTTCTTCTTGTAACTACTATCATATTTTTTAAAGGTTTACGATTTATTTATTGGAAGTGGTAACCCTAAAACATATTATATATTATCAAATATTATATATACTAATATCTTTCACTATTGTACCATCTTATAAAATTATGTTGGGCAAATCAATTAGGTAATCCAATTGATTGAGTATAGTTTAACATAGAGAGTCAACAGTAGAGAGTCCTATAGGGCATAGTACTAGATATATACGTTACGATAAAAAAGGGATTTCATGTCGAAGTAGTATGAAATTATTTAAAACAAATAAAATTATTAAATACTTAAATTTTTTTACTGCATGTAAAACATCCTATAATTATACTTTTCTCTATCTCACATTGGTTGGTCGCACTCACTCCGTCGGTTTTAGCGTAGGTAACATTGCATCACAAACAACGCATCACAAAGTAAAATCAACTATTTACTAAAACCACTGATATTTAGATATTAAAAATCCTAATTTACTAAAGCGGCAACGTCGCTTTTTTTACACAGGGTGAAAAATTTACATTTATTAAGATTTTTTTTTTTGTAAGAAAAATTTTATGATATTTGCGATACGAAATTCTATCATTATTGTAACGTATATGTGTAATATTATTCTATATCCCCTTAAAGGGAATGCAGATAATTTGGTAAAACCTTCTATATACAAAGCACTCTCAATAGTTGTCAGTAGTCATATTTATAAAATTAATAATAATAATATCGTAAGATCTTGTTGTTAATTTCTACCGGTATAGACTTTCAATATAAATTGGGTTAAATTAATCAGCCCAGATTGACTACCTTAAGTTGCAGCTAACTGAGAGCAGGCAATCCGGGTCAATTGTACATATTTTAATTCATATAATCTACAATACGCGCGCATTTACAATAACAAAAAGTATTTAAGTATGTTTATTGGTTGTCCAGAACATACAGTTCAAACTCTGTTTATGACTACATGCGCTGCTTAATACCTAATAATAATATATAATTATGTATATAATAATAATACAAGGGTTATTTATTATAATTATAAAACAAATATCAAATCTTTTGGAAGGTCACCAAGGTTATCCCGGAATGTGGTCATGAAATAAAAATTGAATGTCAAAAAAATGCTACGCGTATGGATTGCTCAGAAAAGTGTACTCGGATATTGCCTTGCGGTCATATTTGTCCCAGTCGGTGCAACATGCAGTGTGATCCAGCAAAATGTACTGCCCTTGTATCATACAAGTACAGAGCGCCCTGTGGGCATTTATGTGAACTTCCCTGCAACGTAATCTCAACATTTATCAAAAACGGTAAGCTAATATGTATTCAATATTTAAAAAATCTTAATAACATTTCTACAGTAAATATGATACATCTTAAGTTTTTAGTACCATAGATTAAGAATAATAGTGGCACCTTTTTATGTACAACTTAGAATGACAAACAAACTGACGGGCCGTCAGCCATCAGGTGGGCCGTCAGTCTGACGGCCCACCTGATGGAAAGTGGTAATCTTTGCCTATGGACATAAGCAATACCATGGACATAACAGAGTATACTGTTTCGCCCATGATACCCCCCATGCGTTGCCATTCCTGAGGACTTAGGTGTTATTCCTCTGTACCCAGTAAATTCACTAAAAACTATTACTACTATATTAATTTAATATTGTATTTTTTTATTTGCGTGGTAGGTGCTAGCGACACCGAGATGCTATTGAAATATTGCACAGCTCCGTGCAACCAGACCCTAGAGTGTGACCACATCTGCAGCGGCACTTGCTCAGAGTGTTATCAGGGCCGCATACACAAGCCTTGCCAGGATACTTGCCATCGCCAGAACATATGCGGACACACGTAATATACTTACCTACCAGCACAATAATACAATCTGGGGGGAGGGGGGAAGGACTGTTAGTAGGTAATGAAGACTAACTGTTCCATTACCAGAAATACAGGGAGTTCACCCTCATACCCTGCAGCCTAAATGGTCGCGTACAACGCAGTTTCAGATATATTTTGTCCCACGAATACTCAGGTTATGGAATGAATTCCCTGCCGAGGTTTCCCTAAGAGACTACAGCATGGAGTTCTTCAAAAGGGAGTAAAGAGGTTTCTTCGGCAACGCGCGCGTAATACCCTTGGTATTGGAGGTGTTTATAGGCTTACCGTCTGGTAGGCCGTTTGCTTGTTTGCCATCTCGGTGGTATAAAAAAATACGGATAGCGAAAGGGGGATTACCATTCTATTTCTATTCACGCAAAAAAAAACACTATACCTGTAATATACACAATTACATATATATATTCAGACGGAAGCCAAATAAGTGTTTAGCATCTATCTTTTTTTTTTACAACTTAGAATGGCAAACAAGCTGACGGCTCACCTAATGGAAAGTGGTAACCGTCACCTATAGACATGAGCAGTATCATGGACATAACAATACACACACATACTACTTCGCCCATGATACCCCCCATGCGTTGTCATTCCTCAAGTGTTATTCCTCTGTACCCTGTACATTCACGCCATATCCCACCCTTCAAACCGAAACACAGCTATGCAAACACAATTGCTTCACAGTTGAAACACGAATGGGACATAGATACCCAAGCAATCGACTTTTGTAAAAAGTCTCCCACTGGTAAATCTATATTTACAATACGAGTACATTGTAAGACCTTCAGTTGTTCTATAATAAAAATCACAATTTGTCTACAAAGCATTGGATTTAAGTATTTTATGTAACGCATCAAATCTTAGGTTATCTAAAATTAGTCCATACGTTTACTTACCAAATCCTATAATATATTCTACAATTCTTATTAGTAATTATTTATTTTTCTCAAACATGCTTGGAAATGTGAGCATTATTTTGACAATCTTCTTCGAGATAAATCAAAATTGCCGTACTGGCCAGATACATGCGGGCAGCGGCCGGCAAAAGTTGTATAAAAATCCATATCTGTCGTGTTTTGCGGCCAGATAAATTACTGTAATTTAAAAATAGAATGACCTTTTACTTTGAAACATGGCTACCAAGGAGGTAACTAATAAAAGGTTTTATTTAAATTTCGAACTAGCTTGCAAATAGAAAGTTGTTTATTGAAAAAAACAAAAGATCATTATGGCGCGTGAAAAATTATTATTGTTCGTTATTCGTCATTGAACTTAAAAAGTAAAATTGTGTTTTTGATTTCCGCGCATTGTTTAAGAAAAGTACTATACAAGCCTTGGCCACAACTAGGCATTAATGGACTCACGTAAGTGTGCCTCTGCTACGCCTCGGCCCACATTTGCACGTTCGTCCTTCAATGCCTCAATTGCTGGCCGCTGCAGTAATGTACTATAGCTGTTAATCCTATTGATATAATAAATGCGAAAGTTTGTAACGATGGATGGACGGATGTTTAGAACAGATTTGAATGAAATTTTGTACACGGGTAGATTATAACCTAATTTAGCATATAGGATACTTTATGTACTGAACGCAAGCATTTTGAAAATTCTTGTTCAAAGATAACATTCCTTATGTTACCTTTGAACGAGAATTTTCAAATCCGACTGAAACTCGTAATTCTAGAGATTAGCGCGTTTAAACAGACTTTTCCGCTTCATATATTATTTACCAACGCCTCGTCTGCGTGGTCGAGATAAATTTACTAACCGGGATAAAAAATGGCTTATAAACTTCTCCATCGCATATATATGTACATTTCATAGTGATTGGTTAATGCGCTATAAACAGATAAACTCAATGTCTATATAACAACGGAATATTAATGAACTCATTGTGTTTTGTCGTTTCCGACAATTCGACTTCATCCGGAAGTCCAAGGGACGTTTAACCCTTTGCATTATAGCGTCTCACCTCGTACTGCAGGCCACATCTCCTGATGAGCAGCCCGCAGTGCGAGGCGAGGCACTGTGTTAACAAAAACATAGTGAGTTCATTAATCTCTCGTTTTTACATAGAAACTGAATAAAAATTAACATAATCTTTAAAAACAAATTAACTTTCACATTTATAATATTAATAAAAATGAATTTGTTGTTTTTTAGATGCGAAAACCCATGTAACAAATTGTGTCCGCCATGTAAAATGAAATGTGAAATAAGGTGTCCCCATTCGCAGTGCGGCAAACCCTGTGGTGCACCATGCACTCCTTGTCAGGTGGGTAGTAATAAAACGTAATTGTCCTTTTTCGAATTTTAGCTTAGACCGCCTTCTGCGCCGCATTCCCTCATGTAGGTACGTAATTTGTTGAAAATTGGATTTGAAAAGACAAAAGTTATACAGCAAAAAAATAAACAAAAATCAATTTTAAAGGGATAAATTTATCCCTTTCATATGATGCCCCACTTGGACTAGTAAGTTCACATTGAAATTTTTAGTATTAAATTTAAATGCAAAGAAAGTAAAAATATTTTTTCAATTATTTCTACTAAAAAATGTGTGGGCTAATTATATATATTAAAATTGTTCCAATAAAGTAGATAGTATTAGTAGTTGCTGAGATATGGAGTTGTGGCAGACGAACAGACGGACGGACAAAGTCGGACCATAAGGGTTCCTTAGTATCTATTTAGTACGGAACCCTAAAAAGATCATCATGAATAAGCAGTTTACTACAACATCGAATTTGGCGACTTTTTTAGACTTCAGGGTTCTTTATTGGACTTGAGCAACAATACATCTGTTTTTTTCGTGAAAAGCGGAGCGGAAAGGCTAATACTGTTATTTGGAAAAATTACAGGAAAAATGCGAGCGCTCGTGTCCGCACAGCGCTTGCCGCAACCGCTGCGGCGAGAAGTGCAGCCGCGCTCCCTGTAATGAGAAGTGCTCACGGCAGCTCGCTTGCGGCCACCCCTGCCGCGGGCTGTGCGGAGAGCGCTGCCCGGACATCTGCGCCCACTGCCGCCCGGACACCTTCCCCAGGGACTTCCTCGGCGACGAGTTCGACGAAGATGCCAAGTACACATTTTTAAGCAATTTATTGAATGAAATAAAATAAGTGCATACCAGAAAAATCTGATTCAATAATTCAAGTGTAATTTATATTTGACTATGAGGTATTAATTCCAACTTGATTAAATATTTACCTCATTAGATCTCATTAATTAACAATCTTTTCCTCAAAAGGACTTAATTGATTCAAAGTATCCGTGATTTCTTGATATCCCTTAGTATTACATTAAAATTTTAGTATTCACATTTTCTTACGATATACACTGAACATAACTGAAACACTGATTAGATAGATATTATCAACTGTTTCCTTTAATATTTCAGATTCGTGCAGCTTGAGGACTGCCCTCATGTCCTCGAAGTGGACGACATGGATAACCTTATGATGGGAGACAGTGAGAGCATCGCCATACGTACTTGCCCCTTCTGTCGCAAACCTATAATTAATACACAGAGATATAAAGATCTTATCAGTCATTTGTTTGTTACTGATATAAATCCCATTAAGAAACGAGTGTTCGGCGATTACGCAGATATTGACCAAAAACGAAAGGAAATTTCAGAAGTAATCATTGTGTTGAATATAAAATACGAACAATTAATAATGAGTATGTATTAGACCTTCATTTTAATGTATATCAACATATCAATATGCAATGTCTACCTACCTATTGTAATTTAATTAGGTACCTATTGGAGTTGAAAAGTCATTATGTAGTACTTAGGTATATTCTAAGATATATACTTAAGTATATTATCATTTTTTTCTTGAAAATAAACCAAACTAACTAAAAACAAGCAAACAATACAAATTAGCTATTTTTAGAATTGGCAAATACCGAATTGTCTGTTTATTCATTTTTGGTTAATTTATGGATATTTTCTAATGTTAATAAATTGACTAAAATTTAAAACACCTCTTCATAAATCACAATAATTGGTTTCAAATCTAATGTTTAGTAAGTTATAAATAAAATTAATATAATTTTCTTCTTTATATATAATTTTCCTAGTTAGGTAGGTACCTCTAAAAGTAATGGCCCGCCACCGCCCAGACTTAAAAACTTTGTCCACCCAGAAAATCTATTAGCAATTCTTGCACTACACAAAAGATGAATAAAAAAGGCTGTGAAAAATATATATTATTATAAGTGACTCTCTAACGGACAGACAGATAGGTTAGCGACTTTTAACCCTATCAATCTTATTTTATAAAATATCACATATATCTTATTAAAAATTTTATAGTCATAAACATATTTATATATATATTTTTTTTACAGAAAACATATATTACCAAAGGGCATTTGAAAAGGGAAAATTGATTTCAAAAGCCATGTCGCTATTAGATCTCAATATGAAATCTATATACTTTGAAATACTAGATATAATGGGCGAATACTATATGGGATACAAAAATAAAAATATTACTACATTTGAGAAGGAAGTCCAGAATCAAATGGAATTTTTATGTCACGTCATTAGCAACAATGTTCTTAAAATAAGTCGCCAACAACAAGATGACATCAGAAATGAATTAAAGCGCTTGAATTCAATTGTTCAACTCGCTCAAATCATGCATCATCCTAATTATTTGACAATCAAAAACAACTCTAGTGTAATTCAGGCTACTACGGTTGCAAAGAAGACTATAATAACTAAGTGCATATTTAACAATGACGCTGCAAAAAAATCTATTGAAAATCTAAAGCAAGTATTAAAGTCGGATATAATTACAATAGAAGAACGAAACATGGTAGTAAAAGCCATGAATATGAAAGCGGGCCATTGGTACAAATGTCCAAATGGTCACTACTACTGCATTGGTGAGTGTGGTGGTGCCATGCAGATAGGGAAGTGCAACGAATGCGGAGCGCAGATTGGTGGTCAGTCTCATAAACTGTTGTCAAGCAACAAGCATGCCGGAGAATTGGACGGCTCTAAATTCGCTGCCTGGTCGGACCAATACAATAACATGGGAAATTTTCTTTTCGATTAGCTTATTTTTTATATATCTACGTAAATATGTAGTGTTCATACCAAGATAAATTATTAGGTTAGTCTGAATTTTGAAGTGAGAAACAATAATGAATTTGCCACCCCTAAAACCTGCCGCCTGAAGTTTCAGCCTACTAACCTGTTTGTAAAAGCACCATTGTGCAGAGTTACGCATCATTATATTTTTAATTACCTACTTATATTTAGTAAATTTACATTAGGCATTTGTATTCTCATCATATGTGTGTGCTATTTTAAAAGTTAACTTTTTGGTCAGGGCTCTAAAATAAAACAGTTTTAAATTATAAGCATTATTTTGTTTTAGTGTTTTATTTTTTATGTGATTTTCAAAAGTAAAATATTTCCAGTTTGTCTGATTTTTTGGACTACGTTTTACACGTCACGCCGCCTAATCTAAATCAATTTTCTAAATTCTTATACATATGTATATATAATTCTATATATTTTTGTATATTGCTAGTAATAAGGCTATTAGTCCTGTCATTAAACAATATTTAACATAGAGAGGTCTTCTAACAAATCTCCTTGGTAAAGACCTTGTCTTTAACTGTTAATAATGGAGATTAAGAACAATAACGTAAACAGCCAGTTCAGATGAATAAACTGAAATAGATAGCAGATTATTTTCCCGCCATAGGCATATAATTAACGATTTTTAGTTTTGACGCCGCGCAATGTATTAGAATTTTTACGATCCACACGACGCATGATACGCACAACGCGCGCTCAATGGCGCTTTTCCGTAAGTTTGTGACGCTTTTTAATGGATGACAATTAAATGGTACACTGCCCGTAATAACGGTATATACCGACAGGGCACCAGTGAGATATGATAAATGAGTATGAAAAGACAGGTCAGTTAGTGTGCGGGCCACCTTCGACTGACCCGCTTTGGATTGGGGTTGTATGTTGTGGTGCAGACTGGAGAAATAAAAATAGCCAATCTTCTTATGAAGTCCCGTTGTGCTGCTCAGAAGAATTTTCTTCTTATTATCTCGATCGGAGAGAAGTCTTCTGGTCATGCCGCCAACGGCGTAGGCGGCCTATATTTATACCCCGCCCGGTTGCACGTTATCTATTACTAACCAATACAGATGGGCAAAGCACCGGGTTTAAACCCGGTGCTTTGGTAAAAACCCAATAAACACCCATAAACTCCCATAATCACCCAAAAAAATAGGTTTTTACGTATTTTTTTGAAAATATGTAAGTAATACCAATAAATTATTTTTATAAATTGTATTGATCAATTCTACAATATTAAATAAAACGTTAACTAATAATATTTCAGGAAATTTTAAAAATCTATATATAATAAAATGAAAGTAATTAATTTTCAGTGTTTTCATGTTGCAGTTGATCAACATGTTGGCCTTTTGCTTCCCGTAGATACTTTAAAATTTCTTCATAACACCTCGTTCGCACACATGGCCGTATATATTTAAATTCTTGAGCCACTAACAGTCCGAAATACTCATTTCTTTTATCCTCTTCTCCATAAATTAAGCATTTAGAACAGTTTGTTTCTTCTTTCAGTAAATTTTCTTTTACTTTATCCTCGTTTTTTTTCTTTGTTGCGACAACGCTGGGTAAATCATCTGGACACTGGGTCTCACTATCGCCAAATATATTTGGAGATCGGCTTCGGCTACGGCTTGGCAGACATTTTTTTCTTTCTACAATTTTAAATTAAATTTATTAGAATAAATGCTTCGAACACACGCGATCTAAGTACCTTTTGTGTTTATTATACCTTACCTACCTAGGTATAAAAAGAGTACTTACGTAGATTTTCTTTTATTAACTGTTTTATACGAAGATCTTGATCTCTCAAATTAGCATCCATTTTACTTCCAGTGATTATCAACTAAATTAATAATCCACAAAGTATTAAATAACGTTTTTATGAAATATTTAGCACAAAAACAATACCCTTTAAATATCGATCGTCAGTAACTGTGGCTGACTTACCTATATTCTAGCAAGCAGGACTGCCAGATGTGAAGGGGAAATCCCCAATAAATTGTTGCATGTGACTGATGATGTGAGCATGTTCGTTTCATAATAAAAATGTTGCCAGGTAACCAAAAAGTCGTATGTTTTTGTGCGAATTACGATCATAATCTTTACGATCGTACATTAAAAAATAGACAAATAATAGTATGAGTACGATTTAAATCGTATATCTGTCAACCCTGCTAGCAAGACAGCGACAAAATCACGTTGCATAACAATGTAGCCCAAGCTTATATCTTATGAAATATACGGAAGAGATACGGACTTAGAAAAAACAGAAATGTTGTTCTTTGTGGAAGTCATTGATGAAATTCTATGTATTTTAGCCCGCAAACTTTCTTCAAACAAAAACAGCGCCATCTAGTATCGAGTTCTGTAATTATCTCTTTGTTTATGGATTTGAAGTAAGACCGCCACGCATGCAATACATTATGACTGGGGATTCCCCTATTCGTCGACGCTGAATATGAGGCGACGACAATCACTGTCAAACGTGTTCACTATTACTCTGACTCTGGTAACGTGACTTCCTGGTAACGTGTTAGGTAGGAAAAGCAGTAAAAAAGTGCATATTAAGGGAGCAGATTTGAAATAATATTTATACTTAACAAGAAATAATTAAAGGTAAGTGGATTTTTGAATGATACAATTATATCATGATCACTTAACAATTTTAACTTAAAATTAGATGTATTATTACAAGCTTTTATTTAGCTTGCGTTATGTAAATAAAAGTATGTAGGTATGTTCGTATGTTGATGCAATTATCCTCAATCCTCAACCGACTGGGATAAAATTTTCCATACACGTTTATTTTGGATGATAGTGCATAGTTAGCTGAGAGTCGTCATTGGATAATAATGGTGGATAGCCTAAGATGTGTACTAGATATTTATTTTTAACATAATATGCGTAAGTACCTAATCGAATTAAAGAAGTTGCTGAGAAAAATACAGAACAATACGATAATAAACTAGCGTCTGCGTTTAATCCTCCGAGGAGATGTAATTTTACAAAGGTTTTTTGTATTTATTTTATTATTTTTTTAATAAATTTATTGTAAATAACAAGAAATAATCATTGTAAAAAAATAGGCACTCTATTGTTGAATTTTCGTCAGACCAACTAATCATCGTTCATTTTTTTAGGTTCAATGGGGAGACCTAAAGATTTACGCATATGGGAGCACTACCGTACTTTACCAAACAAGTCTGTTTCTTGCAAGCTTTGTAATAAGGTCTACAAATTCAGTAATGCTGCCAAAATGCTTCAACATCTTATCACTTGTCCAAAATCTCCAGAAACATTAAAAGACTCTATGAAACTTATAAAAGATAGCTCGTCCAAAACCAAAATGTCTGGACTGTCAGAGATAGAGACAAATGATTCTTTTATAAGCCCCTCGTCGTCTGCTAACACTACAATAAATGCTGAGTTTCAAGACACCGATGATCATATAAAAACAGAATTAGCGAGAGCTATATTTGTAACAGGGACGCCATTATCGATGGTGCAACATCCTTTATGGATACAATTTTTCGAAAAATTGCAACCAAAATTTAAAATACCTTCACGTAAAGCTTTAGCGACAAAATACTTAGATAAAATATATAGAGAAATGCGTTTTGAGTTAAATGAGGAACTAAATGCTTGTAGTTACTTACACCTTCAGTGCGATGGCTGGTCTAATTTAAGAAATGAAGGAATAATAAACTTTCTTATATCAAAACCTCAACCTGCATACGTTAAAAGTTTGAATACAGAAAGTAATCCTCACACTAGTGAATACCTTAGCCAAGAAGTTGAAAAAGTAATGAAAGTGTATGGAGCAAATAAGTTTCTTGTACTTATTGGCGATAACGCTAGAAATATACAAAAGGCATTCGAATTAACAAAACTCAAATATCCACATGTTGTTCCTCTCGGTTGCTGTGCACATATCCTTAACTTGTTGTGCCAAGATATTGTAAAGATACAAGAAGTAACTGTGTTTATTATGCAAGCCATAAATATAATAAAAACTGTTAAAAGGAGTCAACGATTAAGTTCCTTGTTGATAAAATCAAGGCAGGGTGAAGATTCTACACAAACACTAAAATTGCCTTGTGCTACAAGATGGGGAAGTCATGTTACTTCGTTAAAAAGTTTGAAAGCAAATAAGATAGCTTTGCAAATATTAACAGTTAGAGAAGATGTGGTAATTTCAAGAGATATTAAAGATTTAATTCTAAGTGATGATTTCTGGACGAAGACAGGGGAATGTATAAGTATTTTGGAACCAGTCACTGAAAGCATATTTTACTTAGAGAGCGACCAGAATCGTTTGCATCGCACATACATTACATTTAGAGATGTACAAGCTAAGATACGTTTTGCATTAAATGAGATTTCGACATTGAGCGAAGAAAGCAAACAGCAGATTCTAACATCAGTATCTTCAAGATGCAATATGGCAATGAGGCCAATACATTTTGCAGCATATATTCTAGACCCCAGGACTCTAGGAGTCGAACTTACTCAAGAGGAAGAACTTAAGGGTATGGAGTTTATCTACAATTTAAGCCAACACTTAAGTTTGTCAAATGTAATGGCAGATTTGGCGTGTTATAAAGCTAAAGAAAACTTTTGGGCCAGAGGATTTGTATGGAGCTCATTAGATAGCATTGAGCCCCTAATATGGTGGAAAGGTATTTGTGGTTCCACTGAGTTAAGCAAAGTAGCGATTCGTATTCTATCAGCTCCCTGTACTTCGGCAGCCACTGAGCGTTCCTTTAGTATCCAAGGCTACATACATAATAACAAAAGAAATCGACTTACAACTGAAAGAACTGAAAAAATTTCATTCATTTGTTATAACTGGAATCTTAAACATAAAGCTGAATGCGAGGACATTCAGTTTAATGAAGAAAATACCTTAGAAGCTTTCATTGAGCAAGTAAATGAACATAACAGTTTAGACGAAATAGAGCCTATCGAACCTATACAATTCATCGCTTGTAATAACTCTGAATCTGACAGTGATTGACTGTAGTTTTACATTTTACTTTCATCTCTTTCTTAATAAACTCAAAATCAAATTAAAAGTTTTTTATTCTGTAGGCTGCATAATAATATTGTCTATGTCCAGTATAGTGGACGTCTTGCGGCTGAGATGACGATGATGAAGTACAAAATCATAAACACCCAAAAATTTGGGTGTTTATGGGGTTTAAACCCAATAAACCCAAAACACCCGGTTTTTACCCACCAGACTTTAAACCCACCCAGGTGGATTGCCCATCTCTACTAACCAACGTTGGTAAGTGGTGCGAGCGAGATAGAGCGAGTGTGAAAGGGAGGCGCGAACTATTCTGAGTAGCACTCTTGGGTGCCTATTTATTTTTCAATTAAACTTAATTCTATTAAATACAAACTATCTATTTATAATTATTCTTATTTCTACTTATGAGAAGTAAAACACGATACAAAGAATAGTTTATTTAACTTAAAAGCTATGAGAAAAAACAAACTTAGATCTATTATTTACAACTAACTATAAAACGTAACAATTACAAGATAAATATCGTAAATAACTATGAATATCGCGAACAGTTAGCTTATCGTGATGAATACACCTAGAATTCAATATGATGATGTCCAGGGGGTACTACGTAGTCGTATTGCTAGTTATTGAATCCTTAGTCTCTATTAGTAACAATCCCTTCCCCTACCCTTCCAATTGCTTGTGGCATTGACCTTGCACAGCTGATTCGCGGTAGAATTTTAATATGTACGTATTAGTGTTTTTGGTATTTAGTATTTCACTATGAAATATTTATATTATAACATAATATCATCATATCATTACGTTTCTAAATGAAAAAAAGGAAGGGGAAAAATTGAATTTTTCTAGAAAGAATTTCCACTGATTTTTAGTTTGAATCCACGGTTTCTGTTTTTGCCAACCTGTCCTTTACACTCTGTATAACGCACACCTCTAGCGAGATGCACCTATACAGCGTTGATTTTTAAGTGGCCTCCATTAACTTACCATAACTTCAGCACTCGTGCGTATTGCTCAATACTTATATTTCAGTGTAAGACTTCATATATTGAATAGAAAAAAAAAACAAATTAAAAAAGAAAAAGAACATTCCAAATACAAAATTCAGTGTTACCTGTTGTTACCAATGAGAGTTGTCAGACCTCATTACTAACAATATTTTCCCCCCCTGCCTATTGCTAGTAAAATACCCTATCAGAACTTTAATAAAATGCAATTTCACATGACAATATGTATATTTAAGTCTAAGACATGAAGGTGTCACATGTTAATATGTTTTTTAAAATATGTACGTGATGAGGTTGTAATCTCTCTCTCTCTCCAATTAATATGATTTACTTACAATATTTGTCTGACTGTTTCTTACAGTTTCTTATAAAATAATCCGTTGGAGCGAGGATGGTACGGTAATACCCGAATATGCAAAAGTCCAATATTTTTCAAACTTATGCGATGTAAATTGTGGACCATTGTCAGATACAATAATCTTGGGTAGGCCGAAGGTAGTAAATATTCTATCCAATTTAGTACATAGTTTTACTGTAGTAGTTTTAGTCATTGGTCGTACTTCAATCCATTTCGATAAAGCATCATCTACTACTACCCAATATTTCCCTTCGAAAGGACCAGCAAAATCAATATGAATTCTTAACCAATTTTTCTCTGGGATAGACCAAGAGTAAATTGGGAGTTCTGGATCATTCGGCCTGTTTTCTTGACATTTATGGCAAAGTTTATCTTTATCTTCATCTATGGAGGGCCACCAGACAACATCTATTCATAGCTCGGATAGCAGATGTGCCTGGATGACCTTGATGGAGGTAGTATAATACAGCTTTTTCTATCCCTTGTGGAATTATAATTCTTCCTCCCCATTATAATTTTATTTTCGATGACAAGTTCTTCACGTTTTCGATAGTAAGGTTTTAGATGACTATTATATTCATTGACATTATATTCAAGTTTAATGTTTGGATACGGATGGAGGACGGGATCTTTTTGTCTACTGTTTAATCAATTTCTCTGAAAGCGTAAAATCAATAATTTTTACCCCTTGCAGTCGTGTACCTATTTTGTATACAGTTTGTTCACCTTCAGACGGTATTTGGTCAAAGTTCTTTCGATATTCAATGTGATAATTATAACGCCCAATTGCTAACGCCCATCTCACCAATCTGTTATTAACAAGTTTAGGCGAATTTCTTTGTGGGCCTAAAAGGTAGATTAAAGGTTTGTGGTCTGTAACTAATGTAAAATGGACTCCTCTTGAGAACTGATCAAATTTATTGATACAAAAGTAGATGATTAATGGTTTCCGGTTTATTACAGAGTATTTGCTTTTTGCAGGTTTTAATGTTCTAGAAGTGTATGCGACCGGTTGTTCAATATTGTGTTCTTTGCGGAAAAGAACAGCCCCAAGTCCTTTTTCGGAAGTATCACATGCTAGATAAAGCATTCGTTTATCGTCAAAAACTATCAGAGGTCTTATTTTTGTTAAGCAAATTTTCACCTTTTCAAATGTGGTTTGTAATTCTTTCGTCCATTTCAATTTTTTCGTGAAGATATTAACTCGTGCAATTCTGAACAAAGAGTATGTAAGTGCGAAATGAATCGTTCATAATAGTTGACCATTCCTAAAATAGATCGTAGTTCTTTAGTATTGTTTAGTATTGTTTAGTGCTGGAGCTTTAGCGATTGCATCATTTTTATTGTCTTAGTTGGATGTATACTACGTGCGTTAATTATGTGTCCAAGATATTTAATTTCGGGTTGGAGAAAAATTCATTTTTTTAAGTTAACTTTGAGGCCAACTTCTGGCAATTTTTTGAATACTGACGTCAGAGTCTTTAGGTGTTCGCTGTTATTTTTCCCTGTTACTGCAATGTCATCGAAGACAACTGTATTCGGAATGTTGTCTAGTAGTGACAATATCCCGAGCATGACTCGAAATGGCAGATTGTGTCACATGCTTTGCAATTATGATTTATGGTTTTGCATTCATAATTACTATATTTCTGTTTATTTTCACATCTGAAGCAGTGGTCTTTTTTGAGTTTTGGGTTGATAACATTATTATTTTTGTTGTTCGTACGTTTATGTTTATTGTCTCTTATTCTTCTAATGTTATTCTAGTCTTATTTATATTTAATGTAATATGATTATTCTCATAATATTTAATTAAATTATCTAAATCTAACTGCAAATTCAAGCAATCTTATTTAGTATTTATTTTACGGAAAATGTTTTTATCGTCCGCATACATAAGATAATTAGAATTAAATTTAAAACTATCGACTATGTCATATAGGAACGCATTATAAAATAATGGTCCTAAATGTGAGCCTTGGGGCACTCCTGTAGGAATTTTCAAAAAGTCGGATCGATATCCACCAACCACAACAGCTTGTGAACGGTTCATTAGGTACGACTGTATCCATCTCAGTAAATCATCCCTAATATCTAACTCAAATACCTTTTATAACAAAATGACATGATCCACACGATCAAAAGCTTTTTCGAAATCAGTGTAAATCACGTTAACCTGTCCACCTCCATCCATATTTGATAGTACAAAGTCAAAGAAACAAGTGAGATTTGTCACCATCAAACTACTTCTGAGAAAACCATGTTTATGATTAGAGATACCTTTTTTGATAACAGGATACAGCAGATTATATATTATTTTTTCAAATACTTTTCCGATTGTATTTAATATAGAAATACCTCTATAATTTTCGACATATGTTCGAGATCCTTTTTTATGAATAGGCACTATATATGCCTTTTTCCAAATTGAGGGAAATACGCCTTCTTTTAATGACATATTAAAAATATTCGAAATAAGAAGGGCCAGAGATGATGCACACGAAGACCAGAATATAGGTAGAGTACCATCACTGCCTGAGCTTATGGATGTATTGAGTGCCTTCAATTGCCTGTCCACTACTGCTACTGAAATATGCATCTTAAATATGGAGTCTTTGCTCTCTTTATTGTTTTGAACTTTAGTTGAGAATCAGTCGAAATTGGTTTTCCAAATACACTTTTAAAAAACATGTTAAATGCGTTACAAATTTGATTGCTGTCTTTGTATTTAGATCCCTCATATGATAGCATGCTAGGGTAATTAGAGCTACCGCGCATTCTTTTTGTATATGACCATAAAACTTTTGGTTTAGTTTTAATACTAGTTTGAATATTACTAATATATGTATTGTAACAACGTTTTTAAAAAATTTTTTGTCTTCTGCGTAATAAGGTAAATTCATCATAGTTACGTCGGTTTCTGTTATTTTCCATTTAGCGTGCACTTTCATCTTTTCATGAATTATTTTTATAAGTACCTGACTATACCAAATGGGATATGAAATATTATTACGGCTTTTAGTTTGTGGTACATGTTTATCTATAGCTTTTTCTATAATGTGATACAGCGCTGTGGTCATATCACCCACATTTCTAAGTGATGAAAACGTACTCCAATCATATTTACGGAAATAATCATTTAATGCGACGTAATCTGCTTTCATAAAATTTCGCTTTAATGATATCGATTCATTTAAAGGTGATATTGTTAGATCGTATATATCTATGGTGAAAATTGGATGAGCTAAATCTAATCTTACCAATGATCTGTCACATGGCTTAATATTTAATGGTAAATTACAAAATGCCAAGTCTAATGTGTTTCCAGCGTAATTTTGTAATATATTATACTGTGTTAAATTCAGAAGACTATCTTCTTAAGACTGACTTCAGAAGACTAGTATACATATAGATTAAAATAATTTATCAACGGAGCTAATTTGGCGAGAATTAGAGCGGCTTCTGCACCTGAGTCGGGCTTGTGGCTCCATGCATTACCATCGCCTCAATTGGGAACTCTTCTCGACGACAACTCTTTGCATATTGCAATGGGACTCAGATTGGGACGCAATATTTGTGAACAGCATCGGTACATTTATGGGGCACTTTTGGATTGCATGGGTCATCACGGACTGAGCTGCTTAAGGTGTACTGGAAGGTTTCCTAGACACCATGCTTTCAACGATATCATCCGAAGGGCAATGCGTAGTAGTGATATCCCTTGAGTACTGGAGCCACCTGGTCTAAATCGGTCGGAAGGGAAACGGCCTGATGGTCTGACTTTCGTGCCTTGGAAGAGGGGGCGCTGTTTGATATGGGATGCAACTTGCGTGAGCACGTTTGCTGTGTCTCATCTGCGGGATACGACTTGTGTGGTTGGTTCGGCCGTAGAAACTGCGGCTAGAATCAATCATTCAAAGTATAAGATTCTCGAACCAGCTTACATCTTCATTCCCGTTGCTTTTGAGACTACGGGTGTATGGGGAGCGGCAGCAAAATCCTTCATAAAAGAGTTGAGTCTGTGCATTGCGGATAAGGGTCATGATCGCGCTTCTGGTTCGTATCTGGCTCAAAGGATATCTCTGACAATCCAACGCGGAAATGCCGCAAGTGTCATGGAGACCTTTGGGTCGGGTACGGACCATGAATGGGACTGATAATTTTTTTTTTGTGATTCTGTGAAATGTATTAGTTTCATATATATTTTATAGATTATGAAGTAAATAAGCTCATAATTCACATTTATTAATAATATGTTTAGATGTTATTGTAAAATCTCTATTGTACTGAATTAATTATGTATTGTGTTGAAAAAAAATACGCTATCAAACATTATTAAAATAACACTAAAGTAATTCAAATAAACCTTTTATTTAATTGTAATTTACTGACATAAATTTTATAATTATATGATATATATTTTGTGGATATATGTGAGTTATATGTTTCCAATCGATAATATTGCAAAAATATATTAATAGTATTAATGATATTGTAAAAGTAAAATCGAGACGTGTAACTTAAATCGTCATTGCTTGTTGTAATAACCATTTCAATATTGAGACCGGCAGTATGTCCATACGTCACCACAATAAATAACTGCAAAACATAAGATAATACACGTACAAAATATTTCAAATTTATGTGTGTTTTTAAATCTAATCGATAAAAAAACCATATTTTTTCTGTGAATACCGACATAGAAATTTGTTCATTTGTAGTAAAGGATAAGAACAACTAGATGTGACTCGCTCAGTAAACATCATCTGCACATAAGCACAAAATTTTTACACTTGTTTCATACAGATAGTTATGTTTAACACTCACAACACTTATATAGTGTTGTGAGTGTTAAACATAACTATACTGTATGAATAAAATAATTAATTTATTTTCCTCTTCATATCCTCCTCGTCTAAAATATGAATGAATGGGCTCGTATCGTTTCTTCTTACATATATTCTCCCGTTTTTTGACCACACATATTCATATTCTTTGATTTTGCCTATTTTTTGCACTTTTTTAGCAATAGTTTATTATAAGGCGTTACATTGTCATTGACGTACACAGGCTGGATTCCACCGCTGACGCCTAAATCTTTTGTTGTCATATAGGTTATATTGCTAACAGTAGCTATGGCTAATCAGTTCGATCTCCATGTGGTGACCCTGGAAACCCTAGTGCTGCATTCCAGGTGTATTTCTCACGAAAGGCTAACTGACCTGTCTTTTCATTCTCAACTGTCATCCCTCACTGGTGCTCTGCAAGCATATACCGTCAGCGCAGGCAGGATTACCATTCTATTGTCATCCATTAAAAAAAAAACAACATGAATTAAATAAATACACTTTTATCTTCGTTCGTGTCGGAAATAGTAACAGAAAAAACGAAATCATTTTTCTGGGGTTGCCAAATACTCTAGTTGAATATATCAACTGAAAATAAAAAGTACGTAAAACAAGACAAAAAAATATTTCCGATCTTACACATCTGTGTTTTGATTATAATGGTGTTTATTCTTACTATTATTGCCTGTCATACCTATTTTTTTTTTTGATGGGTGTAAATGGTATGGTAACCCCGCCTGCGTTAACGGGATACGCTGGCGGAGCACCAGTGAAGGGTGATAGATGGGAATGAAAACAGGCCAGTTAGCCCATCATGATGAATTCATTAGGAATTAACCATGATAGTTTCCAGGGAGAACCGCGAAGAGGTCGACCTGGTTGGGTATATTGCTAGTAATGGGATTCTCAGTCTCCATTACTAACAATCCCTTTCCCCCTGCCATACCTATTAAGATAGTAATTACTTGCTTTGTCATTAAAACCGCAGGTACTATATTTAATATGGGAAAAAATAATTATTGATAATGGGGTCTAACAGTTCCATTGCTAGCAATACACCCCCTTAGGTCTGCAACGTAATTCCCGTTTAAATCTGGGGCTTTATCATAAAATGAAATTCCGAATTTTCGGACGGACGGAGCTTAACATTAAGGAGCTTAACTATTACATCGGGTATCCCTCAAGGTTCTAATATTGGTCCGATACTCTTCAAGATATCTGTAAATGACATTATTTCAGGTTTTGAGTCGTCTTTAGCATGTTTGTTTACAGATGATTTAAAACTTGCAAAAAATATAAGATCTGTCCATCATTGTGCGCTTTTGCAACCGACCTGGATAGACTAATTATGTGGTGTGAATACAACGGCATGTCTCTGAATTTCACGAAATGTATTCATTTAAAATTCACTAGAAAACACTAAAAAAAATTACCTTTGATTATATAGAGTTTGCAATGGCAAAAGTATCAAGAGCTTTGGGTTTTGTAATTCGCAATGCCAAAGAATTTGTATTTACAAATTCCTTGGCAAAAACTAAAATAAAATTATATTATTCATTAGTTCGAAGCGTCTTGGAGTATGGTTCGATAGTTTGGCGACCACATTATTCAACCCATATTTTAAGATTTTTTTAATGGATGATAATGGAATGGTATGGTACACGCGCTATCGGTATACACCGGCGGGGCACCAGTGAAAGATGATAGGTGAGGATGAAGTAGGTCAGTTAGCCCATCGTGACAATTTTAACAAGAATTGTTCTTGATAGTTTCCACGGGAAACCACATGGAGGTCGACCTAATAAGGCATATTGCTAGCAATGGAACTATTAAACTCCATTGCTTAACAATCACTTTCCCCCCGGCATATTTTAAGATTAGAGCGTATACAAAAAAGATTTTTCTGGCATTTGGCTTTTTCAGCTCGACAATCTAAGACCTTGGTGGCTTACAGGGACAGGCTTGTCTATTTCAATATGGTATCTCTTGATAAGCGTAGAATATTAATAGATTTAATGTTCTTATATAATCTGTTTAGGAACAGAATTGACTGATCGCAGCTTCTTGCCAAATATCATTTTCGATTGCCTGTGCACTATCCTCATAGTTATATCAGTCCAATATCCGTGCCGTTCCATAGAACTGTTCTTGGTGCCGACTCCACTGTACCACGTCTTTGCAAGCCTTTGATATTCACTTCGATACGGAAGATATTTTTTATAGGAAAGCATTACAGTTAATTTGAATAGCTAAAATTTATATGAAGCAATCATTTAAAGAATCTAAAAAACTATACCTATCTCAAATACCACAAGAGTTTGTTATACCGTATTATTATTTGTTAATTAGCATGCTGTGTTTCCTTTAAAATGATTGTGCACTAAATATAAATAGACAGTAATTTTAATATTAAATCTTATCAATGTAACAATTACTGGAAGACCAAATAAAGATAAAATAAAATAAACATTTCGTTTATCATAAATTCTACTATAAAAGTCCAAAGAGACGAAATTTTGATATTTTTATTATTTTGAAACGGAAATCATGTAATTTTAACATCGATTTTCTGTTTCGTTCGGGCTCGAAATTTCGGAAAATATTTAATGGTAGGCCCTCAGCTTTCATCCTCACCTGTCATGTCTCACTGATAGTGGAGGCGGGGTTCTCATTTAATTTTCACCAATAAAAAAACGATGCTTAATGTAGAGGTAACGTAAACGAAATCGTATCTAATTGAAGCAATGTTGACATTTAAGTAAAAATAAAAAATCACATCTGGCAATCATTAACTCTTAAATACTAGTACCCAGAGCCGTAAACCCTTAATCAAAAACCTAACCTTATTTATTGTTTACAGTTGACAGTTGTATTTTACTCGTGTTAATTAAATGTGATGTTAACTTGTTAGTTTCTGTCTTTAATCTGATAAATTAGTTGTAAGTGGGTATTTGTTATTGCTTTAGTTTACATCGCATAATTGTAATAAATTAAAATGGATAATCGTGAAAACGTAGATATAGATGATGAAAAGCAAGATTCAAGACCAGTAGAAAATGCATGGTCTATGAAAATTCCTAAATTTACACCTGAAGATAACCCACATGGTTTACTTGAGGAAAGCAAGTTTGCTACTTTATTCCCAAAGTATAGAGAACAATACCTAAAAGAATGTTGGCCCCTGGTCCAAAACGTGCTAAAAGAACACCATATAGTTGCAGAATTAGATCTCATCGAAGGAAGCCTAACTGTTAAGACAACAAGGAAAACTTGGGATCCCTACATAATTATTAAAGCTAGAGATCTTATGAAATTGTTATCAAGGAGTGTTCCATTTGAACAAGGTGTTCGAGTTTTAGAAGATGAAATAGGTTGTGACATAATAAAAATAAATTCATTTGTTAGAAAAAAAGAAACATTTCTAAAAAGGCGTCAACGTTTAATTGGGCCTAATGGTGTTACACTCAAATCTATAGAATTATTGACTGAATGTTATGTACTTGTCCAAGGCAACACTGTCTCTGCTGTAGGGCCATATAGAGGCTTAATTCAAGTGAGACGTATTGTGGAGGACACAATGAAAAATATACATCCTATGTACAATATAAAAAGTTTGATGATCAAAAGAGAATTAATGAAAGACCCTAAATTAAAAAATGAAAGTTGGGAACGCTTTTTGCCCAAATTTAAAAGCAAGAATGTCCCAAGAAAACAACCGAAAAAGAAGACAGAAAAGAAGCCATATACACCTTTCCCTCCACCACAGCCCGAAAGCAAGATTGATCGTGAGTTGGCTACAGGGGAATATTTCTTGAAAGATGAACAGAAAAAAGCTAAACATCGTCATGAAAAGGCAGAGAAACAGGCTGAAGCCAAGCAAGCCCGTAATATGAAGAGACAAAGAGATTTCATAGCACCAGAAGAAAAAACCTCTTTTAATCCTAACCCATCCCATTCAACAGAGCCTACTGTTGATATTAATCAATTTAAAGCAAAGATGAAGAAATTATCTAAACAAAATAGAGGATTGAAAAAAACATAATGTTGAGATTAAAGCAAAAATAAATTTTATTAAATAAAATTAAATATCAACAATCTTTCATTTTTTTATTTTCATTAACTTTAATTCAGGTGTAATTATATTTTTGGAAATATATTTTTTACCATTCATATATGGCTGTAATACTTGTGGAATAAATATTTTTCCTTTGGGGTCTTGATGGGTTTCCAATAATGCAATTAATATTCTTGGTATTGCACAAGCAGTTCCATTCAATGTATGAACATACTTTCTGACATTATTGTCTGTATACTTAATATGTAATCTTCTAGATTGGTAGTCTGTACAATTACTACAGCTAGATATCTCGCCATAATTGTTGCGGCCAGGCATCCATGCTTCTATGTCATATTTTCTGGAAAAGAAATTTTATTTCTGATTACTCTAAGAAGCCTTATGTAATAAGATTCAAAATGATCGAGTTTGTGTTTTTCTCTTTTACATTTTTACAGACTTGTTTTTAATAGGTACAGAGACATAACACTTTAGTCCTTAGAAATTGCAATGCTTCATACATTATCATGGGCTACATATATATACTCTGTTATGTCGTTAGTATTGTATATGTCTATAGGCATTGGTCACGAATTTCCATCAGGAAGGTCATCAGTTCATTTGTCTTTCTAAATTATATTAAAAAAAAAAACAAAATAAATAAAATAGAATTAGTGGTTGAATTTAAACCTACCTTCTTTATTTGTTGGTTTATTATATTTAAGAGATACTGCATACCTGTAAGCAGGTGCACCTAATTCAAACGGAGGCATATCTAGTACTCTCATATGGAATCCAAGAGGTAAAAACAATTCTTGTTGAACTTTCCGGAGATACTCTAACATGTCTTCTGATTGTTCAGGTGTAGTGACAGCAAACATTTCAACTTTAGTAAACTGATGAACTCTAAAATATATGTAAACAATTAAATTGAATAACCACAGAAAATTACATTTCATGGTTATAAAATACAGATTACATTAAAAGTACTATTATAATCAGTGGCGTAACAATAGGGAGGCAGGGCTGAGAAAATGCCACGGGCCCCCGACCAAAAAGGGCCCCAGATCAAGAGGACGCAAGCTCGGAAATAAATATATACTTTTTTTTTTTTTACATTGTACCTGAGTATTTTATTTTATTTGAATAGTATTTTTTTTTACTGATAGGGCCTCATCAAAAGAATTTGCCACAGGCCCCAAATGGTATAGTTACGCCACTGATTATAATATATACCTATATAGCCTTTATATGCACAGGTCCCCTTATTTTGGTAATAATCAATAAACCTGGAATTCAGTATGATGGTTTCCAGGGGGACTACATGGAGGTCAACTGGACAGGGTACATTGCTAGCAATGGGGCTGGTAGTCCCCATTACTAACAATCCCTTCCTGAGTTTATAATATTAGTATAGACTAGCTTTTTGCCCATTACATTTCAGAAGTAGAAAAACCAACAAAATGACTACTAGATAATGACATCATCATCATTATTAGAAGCTATCAATTGCTGAACATAGGCCTGTCACATATTATTGCACAAAGAATGATCCTGCACCACTTGCATACAGGGACTATCTACGACACACTTGAGATCATTACTCCATCTCATATCAGGATAAAACATATATTTTTACTCTAGCTATAATTAACATTGAGTTTTATTTATATGTATTATTGAACTCTTACAGAGTTAAGCTCGCCTATTGTACATCTTTATTTAGTATATATGTTTGTAATTTTTTGTGTACAATAAAGAATAAATAAATATTATTCAATATAAAATAAATAAGCAAACAAGAGTAGATAAGTCTCTAGAAGCTGTTTTACATTAAACAACACCAAATTTTAAAGTAGACCTTCAGGAGCACAACTGTGAAAACCACATTCAATTTGGTACAGTAGTTTTTGCATAATGCCGAAACAAACACAGACATAATTTCTAAAAATTATTAAAATGACTTCTATTGCTTATTATTAGTAGGACTAAGAAACCTTATATCAAATTTTCTTAAATATCTTCCAAGTACAGACATCTATTTACAATTTGTTTGTATTAAAAAGATAAATAATAAAATTTAATACAGTGCTTGTGAATATGTAAAAAATTGGAATATCAGTAAGTATACTAGTAAGTTACATATTTGCATAATTATATTGAATGACAAGTACCTATATATCCCCCTTTCCTCTATGATGTTAGAAGTCTCTGCACGATAACATCTGCTTACAGCAGCAAGTTTAAGAGGAAGATTGAATACAGAGTGTGTTGAATTCATTAATAAACCTGCTAGTGACATCTCTGCTGTGCCTGATAGGTACAAATCTGGTCCATGGTGAGTAGCATCTAAGGAGTATATCTAAAAATTAATTAAGCTCTTATCATATTTTAATAAAACTGCTTTTATTAAATTGATTTTCTATTAAAATTAAGTAATAAAAAATTTGATGTATATAATTATAATCAAATGTTAGAAAAAAATATGTTCAAGTTGGATTAGAATAGTAATGAAATTAATGGCTCACTTAAAAGAAACTGGTAAAAATTCTCATTGGATCAATTTATGGTTATTTATGTTGACACATGAATTGAATAGTAGATGTAAAATATTATTTTAGACCATTCCTATCATACTGAATTTTTATTTATTCATGATTGCCAAGCAAATTCAACATAGTGTTGTATAATAGATTACATTAGATCACAACATTAGTAGGTCTTAATAACCATTAAATTCTAGTATTATTGTTTCTTGATAATTTAGAAGTATATAATTTGATTTCCTCTTTTATTTTTATCAATAATATTAAGTTATAAATTTTCTTAGTTTATGTACTTTACATATACATATATATTTTTATAGTTAAATATATTGTAATTTCTATATAGGTATCTGTCCTTTTCCTTATATTATCCATTATTCAACATTTCTGATCCTTATCTTAAATTCAGTCATCCAAAACTCCTTTACTAAAATGCTATTTCCCAAACAAACAAAAAAAAAGAAAAAAAAAAAAACATTAAATAATGGGGGAAATAACAATTTAGATACTAGTAATGGAGACTAGAGGCTCTATTACTAGCAATATATCATGAGAAATCAGCGCCTACTGTAAACCAATATAGATAATTCTTTATGTATTCATCATAATGGGCCAACTGTCTTGCTTTTATCCTCTCCTATCATCCCTCACTGGTGTCCCACCAGTATATACTGATAAAACAAGGGGAGTTACCATACCAATATGTTTTAAGGCCATCCATCTCCAAAGATTATTTATAAAGCAATTGTGAAATATATATGAAGGAAAATAATATAAAATAATTAAATAGTACCCACCTGTGTTCTATCACTATTAACCGACATTCCACAACTTTCTAAAACATTTCTAGATAAAATGTCAGGGACAGACACTAATTGGAAATTCTTGTCTAATAGCATTGTTATTGTATATTTAATTAGTGCTTCTTCTAATTCTGCCAATTCCCCTAAAAAGTAATAACTCTTGTGGCCACATGTGTGGCCTAATTTATCTGTCCTCATCAAATTTAAACGTCTTGTTATGTCACTGAATTCCAACGGTGTATCCTTACCAAAATCTCTTTTCTGATTAAGTTCTTCTACTACGTGTGGAGAATCAGCATACTTTTGAACCGAAGGGTGAGTTCTATTCGGTAAAGAACTAAGTTCTTTATATAAATCTTGCTTTAAAACTTCATGAGAGGTATGACATGTAGGAAAAGAATTTAACTTATTAAACACTTCTAAAACGCGATCAATATTACCGACGCCTTTTCTTAAGTTAATATTATTCCTAATTTCTGCAATATTTTTAGAATTACAATAATAATCAATATCAATATCAGGAATTGAGGACCACAATCTCGCAAATTTTACTTGATTTATTTGAAATACTTTACGTGACAACATGATAATTTAAAATTTATTCTTTTACCCAAACTATAATTAGGATAATGATTTTTATTTTCTAGCTAGGATAACGATATTTTGTTTTGATTTTTAATTTTCATCTTACACAGGATTACGAATGTAAATTTTTTTAATCTATGTTACCATTCCCATCCAAGTCACCCATCAAACATTAAGAAACTGTAAAAAAATGTTCTAGGGAGTTAAATAAGTTAATAATGGGCAACACTAGCCACTTGCCAAAATTAAAATAAGTATCTGTGTTCCCCACAATAAATGTTGCCTCATGACCTCATGACATAAATTAATAAGTACTATAAACAAGTTAAACAAACTTAATGGTCAAGCAATAGGCTTGAAATTCAGCACGATGGTTTCCAGGGGGGACCGCGTGAAGATCGACCTGACAGCGTATATTGCTAGCAATTAGACTAGTCTGCAATACTAACATCCGAAATAGAATTAAATTAAAACATAACTGTTACTGCGAGAACCCTTTATTTTTTAAAAAATAAGGGGTTTAAAAATTCTTATTTATGACAATTTTATAGCTCTTGAAATTACCTTTCAATTGGTTTTTGGATGAACCGTGATGGATGTGGAATGTTACAAGAGACCAATAATGTTATTTAATATTTAAATATTTTATTACGTACAATGTTACAACGATTATTTTAGTGACAAGACACAAGTCAGTTTATTTCTCTATTTAATTGAGCTGTAGGTCTATGGCCGTGTACAACCTCTTTCTTACACTCCTCCTCACGGCATAGTATCTACCTACTGTAGGAGTCCCAGCTCTTGGCGACAGTATTCATATTTAGGACGAGGCAAAGCTTTTGTAAAGATATGTTCCTATATATTTTGTTGCACCATATCTCTTATAAAATGTTGGCGGATATCGATATGTTTGGATTTGGCGCTAATAATAGGGTTCATTGCTAACTGTTGTGCGGCTTGATTGTCGTTGTGAATAGTAATTCCTTTTTGTTTGAAGTAACCCAAATTAGTCAGAATATTTTTCAAATGAACAGCCTCTTTTGTACATTCGCTCAAAGACATGTACTCGGCTTCCGCCGTTGAGAGTGCTACAGTCCTTTGTTTTCTTGACTCCCAACTTATGACCGCACCGTTCTTTATAAAACAATATATAAAAAATTTTATCTCCATTTATCTAATTACTTTATAGTGTTCTTTTCCATTACGCATTGAATTGACCAAGATAGCTAACAGCATGAGCTGTTGGTCGCGTACTGAAAATCTGGATGTTCTTCTTTCTTTAATTTTAATGCTGTCTCCATAGGAGTTGCCACAGGTTTTGCATTTGCATGGAGAATTTCTTAAGGATATCTTTAAGTATTTCTTTTGACTCATAGTAGTTTTTTCTTTATCCTGTTTAAATTCTATACCTAAACAGTATTTCAACTCTCCGATGTCTTTCATTTCGAACTTTCTCTCTAGTGCTTTCTTTAAACCGCATATCTTAAAAATTAACAGAGTTATTATAAAATATATATAAATATATATATATATATTTTTTGCAAAAAATTTTGGAGCAGAGATTTGGTATGATGATGAAGATGCTTATTAAATACACATATTTGGGTGTGTGTATTATCATACATGTACTGAATTGAAATAAATAAATAAATTATTATTAATTTTTAAAATTACTATTTGTAAAATAGGATATAAGTTTTGAGTTTTAATTCACAATCGTATATAAAATCTATTCAATTTACGTAACGTGTAACTGTTCTATGGCCACATTTACATTTTCACACACAAATGTAATCACATTTTCGTCTCGTTTTTATGATTGCATTATCAGTCTGTTAGTACATAGCAACGGTCAGTGCGTTATATTTACGATTCTGTTTCAATATAATCTTTACTGTTCTTATTGTCTTCCTAACCGTTCATGTTTACAAAATGGTGTCTCTATTCAAACCAAAGATTCAGACTAACAGTTAATCCTATTAACACATCTACCATGTCTACTAATTCCATAATATGTCAAAACTCTAGAAAAGATTAAAATTTATTTTAGTAATCATACTCTTAATAGCCACAATTGATTTTATTTAATTATATCGTAAGTTTAGTAGCCCAAAAAATATTCAAATACAATTATTTGTTTTTTTTTTTTTTTATTCAAGTTAGAATGGCACACAAGCTGACGGCCCACCTGATGAAAAGTGGTAACCGTCGCCTATAGACATAAGCAGTACTATGGACATAACAGAGTATACGGTTTCGCCCATGATACCCCCCATACAGAGGAATAACACCTGAGGCTCAGGTATTATTCCTCTGTACCCTGTAAATTTACTGCCATATCCCACCCTTCAAACCGAAACACACCTACTTCACGGTTGAAACACAAATGGGACAGAGGTACCCAAGCAATCGACTTTTGTACAAAGTCTCCCACTGGTATAAAAGAATGAGAGATTAAATATTGGGTATTACAATTTGCTATTGCGTAAAACAGCTAAGTCATATATAAAATTAATAATATCTATTTTGTCTATTCCAAATCTAATTCATGGTTCCATCCTTAATTTTTCCAGATGCCTATTCACCCCATATACAGATTCTGCATCTAAGTATTTGGGACATATGTTAACAATGACAGTTATAGCCTACAAAGTTGGAAGTTTCTTGTCCGGTTTGGTCTTTCCCGCCAATATTACTTTAGTTTTTATTTTTTTTATTTTATTTTTATAATTTCCTTTGTTTATTTATAAACAAAATAGAAATCTAATTGGTTTTTATATTTTTGAAGTCTTTTGTGAATTGCGTTGTTTATTATTGTATACCTAATTATTCTAAAGAAGAAATGTTTCGTGTTCACTTTATTTAAATCATTGTTTTGGAGTTCCCAGGGATTTGTGTTATAAATCAACATGCCTTCTATTGTTGAGACTGATGACACTGGTGAAAAGTGTAATGTTTCTGGTGTCACTGTTTCATCTAAAGATGATAGTTGTGGACCTAAAAATGAGAATAGTGCTTATTCATCTAATTTATCAATAATACCGTCTCAACTGTACGTATCTATAATTTTTTACATACTATTACAATTATCGGTATTAATATAGAATTTTCGTCTTTTACTCACATAAATGTGAGTATAGAAGTTTATTTTTCATAACATGAACTCAGATAGACCATGCTTTTTATTATGTATAATAATTCACAAATTTATTTAACCTCATGATTTGATTCTCTATGCGTACTCCACCATTGTATAAATTAGCTTAGGTGTTTGCACCATTCATTTTGTAGCCAACTGTAAGGAATTTTTTAATTTTGTTGTATTTTTTTATGCGACTTAAAATGGCAAATATAGCCCACCTGATGGAAAGTGAAAACTATTGCCTATAAACATGAGCAGTACCCTGGACATAAGAGTATACTGTTTCGCCCATAATACCACTGTAATGTACAGATAAATACTATAATGATGGAAAATTACGTATTGTAGTTAACAGTGAACAAAAAATATTGTTAAGTGATAAATAAGTCATTAGAAAGTATCATAACTAAATAGAGCAATTACAGCTTTGTTCTCATCAGAACATAGGATGTTTGCTATTGATTAAGTAATGTGTTGTTGTAAACTTTGGATATTTATCTAATGGTCACTATGCTAATATAATGTTTGTAGTCATATATAAGGACCTCCCACCCTTAAGAAATTCAGTTGTTCTACAATTGTCAAGCTGTTCAGTAGTTATTCTCATAGTGTTAATCTCTAAGTAAATTTTAAACTCTTCATTAAAACTTATAAATATTCTTTGGCAATCTTTTCTTCTGACGACCCGAACATTACACAACTCATGCATTCCCATTCCAGAGGACTTAGGTATTATTCCTCTGTACCCTATAAATTCACTGCTATATCACATCCTTCAAATTGAAACAACACAACTGCTTCACGGTAGAAATATGAATGGGACAGAGTTGCCCAAGTAACAACTTTTGTACAAAGTCTCCCTCTGGTAAATCTGATTTGTCATCTCAGAGAACTCAATAGAACTCTTGCTTAAAAGTATTTCACTCTGTACGCTATAAATGATTTTATTGATTTCAGATCTCTACAACAGTCTACATGTAATGCAAAACAGTTGACTATTAAAAGTATGTTCTCAATGAAGAGGGCTCGAAGTCCAACAGACAATCAGGAAAAGAGTCCTAATCAGGTGAAAAAACTGCATCTCTAAGTTTTAGTTTAAAAATAGTGGCATAGGTATTTTGAGTGAAGTGTTTATTAATCTAGATAATAAGAATGAAGGAGAAATTTGGAATAACAAGCAGAAAATAATTTTTAGAAAATAGTAATGCATGTAATTAAAATTATTTAACATAATAATAAATAAAAACATTTCTGTTTTTATCTCAGATTGAATGGGAAAGAATGCTATTTAGCACTAAGGCTACTTTTCGACCATGTACTATGAATAGTCAATAGTTTATTATAAATTCCACAAAATTACATCAATAGCTCCGTCCTTATAGTAAGACTTCGGGCAGCTCTATTTGTTGTTGACGATTAGCGCCTTACTGTTCGTCTCTACATTGAAACTGTGTAGAGATGTTGCGTCTCTGTGCATCTTCTATTGAATTTATCATAGGGAGTGCTCTGAGGAATTGTTCGGATTGATACCTGTTGCTAATTTTCACCATAGTACAACCCGCCATAAACTAAAATTTCATCCCAATCATCTAGACGAGTGGCGGTCCTCCACTGTGCGTTTTTCAAGGCACTTCTATGCACAACCATTTTTTGGAATCAACTTCCAGCAACAGTATTTCCGAACCGATACAACAACATAACCTTCTAGAAAAGAACATATTCTTTTTTAAAAGGCCGGCAACACACCTGCAATGTCGTTACTGTTCTGAGTGATCATGGGCGTCGGTAGTCACTTACCACCAGGTGAGCCGCATGCTCGTTTGCCCCGTGTTGTAAAAAAAAGACTCCTTATAGCAAAATATTAGGTAAATTTTTTACTAGCTTAAGATTGGAACCCTGGATTTAATTTATGTAAATGAGTATTGAAAAATATGATTATATTTTTTTCTACCCACTTCAAAAAGAAAGAGGTTCTCAATTTGTTTTTTTTTTATATCTTATAACTCTGTCAGTTCTAAATTAATTTGGAAAATTCTTTTTTTATCTGAAAGTCTATACTTACAGATTGGTCCCATAGAAATTTTATTAAAATCGATCCATTAATTTTGGTTTGAAATGAAAATAACTGGTTTTCCAACAGTTTAAGTTGGTTTTTTTTATGTGGAATAATCTTAATTATTTATTGCCTGTTAGTGCTTTAACACCTTAATCAATCACTGAAATTTGGTATCTATATGGGATGGATAAGGACAAACTGCTTTTTATCACTGTCAGTGAACACATCTTGGTAATACAGATGATATCACAGATAAAAGCTAGTTGTAAATGTTTAACTAAAATTGCATAGTAATTAATTTTTCATTTTTTTTAATGCAACCTAGAATGAAGAACAAGCTGACTGCTCACCTGATGGAAAGTGGTAACTGTAGCCTATAGACATAAACAATATCATAGACATAACAGACTATATATCTATCTATCTGTCTATATATATATCTATGTATCTATCTATATATCTGTTGCCCATGGAGAGGGGAAAGGGATAGTTATTAATGGGATTTAACAACCCCTTTGCTAGTAATATACCATATCAAGTCTACCTCCACGTGGTTCCCCTGGCAACCATCATACCTAATTTTTGTCGACTTCGTCACAAAACTGACCTGCTTCATCCTCATCTGTCATTGCTCTCTAGTACCCCGCCAGTATATACCGATAGCGCAGGGGGGGTTTGCTATCATTATCACCTTTTTAAAAAACTGCTTTTATCCTTACATATCATTTTTCACTGGTGCCCCGCCAATCTATGCCCATAGCGCAAGCGGGAATATCATTCCATTATTATTCATAAGGAACCTATCAAACCGACCCACAGCTATGGAAACAACTGCTTCACGGCAAATTCACGGATGGGACAGAGGAACCTAAGCAAATAACTTTCATACAAAGTAGAGACTGACTGAGTTCCTCTGGCAGAAATTGAGTTTAATCGGGACTTAAATTTACACATCTGCTATAATAATTTCTCTATTGTTGTACAATTTTTACAGAAAAAAATAAGAAGTAATGTTGATCAAAATAAAAATGAAGTTGATATGATAGAAAAGAATCCTGGTGCCATGATAGTAGCAGAAACTGCAAAACTATATTCTATCAATGAATCTAATGTGGATATTGATAAAGAGACTGGAAAAAGTGATAGTATGACACAACATATTGATGATAATACTGATAAATCTGACACTAGTGGGAATAATGTTAATGAAATTAAACAAAATCAAGATGGACTATATCTGAACTCAGAACTAAAAAGTTTCGATAATATTTCAAATGTGGAAAAATGTGATATTTGTGGGCAATTTCTAAATAATTCTGATATTATCTATTATCAAGGACATCCACAAAATGCTGTGGAAGAATTCATAGCATTGACAAATGATAAATTAGTTTTAACGTCTGGTGAGAATATATTTATTTTTACTAATATTACAGAAGTGTAAGAATGAATGAAAATGAAAGGTTTCCATTGGCCAAACCGTAATAAATATTAGTTACTAATTTATTTAAAACCTTTTTGATTTAAATACATTAGCCTTATTTTTCCAGCTTCTTTTATAAGTGAATAATTCAATTACATATTTGTAACACCATCAGGAACTTGAAGGAATCCCATTGATCCAATAGATTTATATTTATATCAGCTCAACATGCATACCATATATATTATATTAATACAACAAATATTGGTGGTGTTTAGACAGGTCCTAGTGTTGTAAGATAAGCACTTGACATTACAATACATTAAATTATAAAACATTTATGGCTAATTTAAATTAGTTTTACAGAAAACAGTATTAGATGTAGTTCCATTATAATCAATACAATTTTAAATTATGTTTATGTTTCTTATATATTTTACAGGTGATGAAGGTGATATTATGGAAAGACCTCAAACTAATATAACAGGATTCTCAATTTTTGATGAACAAGGCCATCTTTGCCCTATAGATTGTGGTCTTATAGAAAATGATGTTCGTATTCATATGTCTGGATATTTAAAATCAATTTGTTCTGATTCCCCGGATATAGATGAAGAGTCCATTCCCGTTAAAGATGTGGGTCCTATAATTGAATGGTAAGTATTTGATAAAGTAGATTGGTAATATGGGTTATTCAGTAAATTAATTAGAACTAAGAATGTAACACTGCTGAAAAATAACATGATCTTCATCCAATTGTTATAATGTTTTTACTATATAGGTAAGTTTGTGAATGTGTGAGTAATAAGTCCTTACGACTGAAACCCAAACTTTTAAAAGATACATATGCTGTATATTTAAATGAAATAAAAATAATTTTATTGTAATGACAAAAATGTATGTAAAGTCACTGTTAAAACAAACAATATTAATATAATGATTTATTGGTATTTTAGGTTTATCCATGGATTTGATGGAGGTCAGAAAAATTGTATTACATTATCTACTGAATATGGAGAATATAATTTGTTAAAACCCAGTGATGATTACACACCTCTTATGAATAATTTGTATGAAAAAATTTGGTTGAGTAAAGTTGTAGTAGAATACTTAGAGGAGTATCATTACTTACAACCAACATATGAGGATTTGTTGGAAGTGCTTAGAGAAGCCACAATTCCAGAATTGAATGATAAGCAAATGAGTGAAGAAATGCTTCACAAGCATGCACAATTTGTATGTGATCAAGTAGTTAATTTAGAAACTGATGAAGATGATGAACCTTTAATAACTTTACCATGTATGCGAGAATTAATTAAATTAATGGGTATAAAGTTTGGAAAACGCAAATTTAAAACAAAAATAGACTATAAAAAAGTGGATAAAAAGGCATGGACTAGAGCCACTACAACGCCATTAGTAAGAAAGACTTTTGAAAGCTTTTTCACTAACCAACTAGATAAGACTAACTATGAATTAGTCTTAAGAAGAAAAAGATGTGGCATTTGTGAAGCTTGCCAACTGCCAGATTGTGGTGAATGCAATGCTTGTAAAGCAATGGCTAAATTTGGTGGTCATGGTCGCACTAAAAAAGCATGTGTTCGTAGATTATGTCCTAATATGGCAGTAGAACAAGCTAACGACTCTGAACCCGATGATGATGAAGAGTATGAAAAAATGGCTGAAAAGAAACATCAAGATAAAATAGATGATATTGTGCCTGTTAAGTTGACTGGAAATAATAGAAAAATTAAATGGATTGGAGAACCCATTAAAGCAGATGCAACTAAAATTTATTATGAAAAGGTGGAAATTGAAGGCTCTGAACTGCAGATTGGAGACTATGTTATGGTAGAGACATCTCAACCAAATATACCTGCTTTGGTCGCAAGAGTTGTGTATATGTGGAAAGAAACAGTTAATCCAAAATTAGGATTTTTTCATGGAGAAATATTTATTAGATCTTCTGACACAGTTTTAGGTGAAGTAGGCGATCCTAGAGAAGTATTTCTAGGAGATAGATGTTGTCATGGAGCTCCACTCTCTTCAATATTAAGAAAAGCTTATGTTGAAAAACATCAAACAGCTACTGATTGGTTTAAGCTTGGAGGGAAAGAAATTGTCGATGACAATTTTGAAGATGATGGAAAAACATATTTTTATAAGAAATATTATGAAAGATTTACCGCACGTTTTGAAGATCTTCCAGAAGATCCACAGTGTCCTAATGAATTAAGAAAACATAGATTTTGTCCATCATGTGAACGTAAAACAAAAAGAGATTCAAAAAATATACCCAAAATATCAGGTAAATTACTACAAAAATCTGAAATTGTGACTGAGACAGATAGAACTGAATGGACTATGGTTACGTGGCAAAACTATGAATATAAAAAAGGATGTGCAGTGTTTTTAAGACCAGGAACATTTAAACTAAAAAACAGTTTGAATAGTTCAAATAGCAGTATTAGCCAGAAGATAGAGAAAGTAGATGAAGATATTTATCCTGAATATTACAGAAAAAGTGATAATAATTTGCGAGGTTCAAATATTGATACGGGTGAACCATTCTGTGTAGGCTATATAGCAGCCGTGATAGCTGCAGGCGATGGACCCCTTATTGTACCCCAAGATATTTACCTTAAAGTAAATGTATTGTATAGACCTGAAAACACAAATTCCAGATTTCCCCAACATGAAGATCTTAATGTTGTTTATTGGAGTGATGAAATACGAGAAGTGTCTTTTTCTGCTGTAGTGGGACCTTGCCATTTAATTTATGAACCAAATGTACCCCAAAATTGTACATTACAAGATTGGCTAGAAGCTGATCCAAATAGATTCTACTTCAGAATGGCATACAATAAACAATCTGGTCAAATTATAGATATACCACAGCATGCGATGAGCGTTGGACGTGTTGATAGAGGAAAAGATAAAGGAAAAGGCAAAGGGAAATCAAGTAAACCTATTAATCAAAATAACACTAAAATTGAAGATATTAAAATAAGGCCTTTGAGAACTTTGGATGTTTTTGCTGGCTGTGGAGGGTTATCAGATGGTCTACATCAGGCTGGTATTGCTGAGTGCAAATGGGCTATAGAAAATTTAGAAGCTGCTGCACATGCATATTCTCTTAATAACAAAAACTGTATAGTTTTCAATGAAGATTGCAATGCATTATTAAAAGATGCTATAGATGGTGTTACACATAGTCGTGGTGGTTTGCGCCTACCCAAACAGGGTGAAGTGGAATTGTTGTGTGGAGGGCCCCCTTGTCAAGGATTCTCTGGTATGAATAGATTTAATTCGAGGGAATACTCGAATTTTAAAAATTCCTTGGTAGCTTCTTATTTATCTTATTGTGATTATTATAGACCGAAGTACTTTATTCTTGAAAATGTACGGAACTTTGTTGCTTTTAAAAAAGGAATGGTTTTAAAATTAACGCTCAGAGCATTATTAGATATGGGCTATCAGTGTACATTTGGCATATTACAAGCAGGAAATTATGGAGTACCACAAACTAGACGTAGGCTCATCATTTTAGCGGCAGCACCGGGGTATAAATTACCTTTATACCCAGAACCTACGCATGTTTTTAGTCGACGCGCTTGCTCTTTAACAACTACAATAGATGGAAAAAGGTTTGTTACAAATATACAGTGGGATGACTCGGCTCCTAGAAGGACTTGCACTATACATGATGCTATGAGTGATTTGCCACGTATATGTAATGGCGCTAACAAAATTGAAATAGAATATGGTTCTATGCCGGAAAGTCATTTCCAACGTTTGATAAGAAGTAAGGATGAAACGGCAAAATTGCGAGATCATATATGTAAAAATATGGCCCCACTAATACAAGCAAGGATTTGTAGGATCCCCACTACCGCAGGCTCTGACTGGAGAGATTTACCAAACATATCCGTAACATTATCTGATGGAACAAAATGTAAGGTATGTAACAATTACTCATTATTTTATTTATTTATTTCTTTATTTCAGATTATATTCCATATTATGTATTTATACAATATGAATTGTAATTCGAAATAAATACAAGACTTACAAAACTATATTAGTAAAAGGCAATGGTTATGGCTTTATGCATGTTTGTCCACCTCCAACTGCACTGGAGCCGCATCATTGTATATCGTTCCTGTGTTTGTGAGTTGGACAGTTTGACTTCTCTTTAATTACCTCTAGGATGTTGTTTTATTAAATGTTATTACGTTGAATTTATGATGGTTGTGGTATTAGCTGTTCGTTCTAAAAAGTTAAAAATTACGCTTGAAATTTAACCCTTGTCCTTAAATCTAACAAGCGTGAGAGTGGGAAACTAGACAGTTTCGGAATTCATTGTGTTTAAGTTTGAAATCAAATTATTACATAAACGATGATTTCCAGGGAGAACCTGAGAGTCGACCTAATAGGGTATATTGCTAGCAATGAGGATTAAGGTCTTCATTATTCACAATCTCTGGCTCCCGTAATCGACTTGCTGGCTATGTTATAATATAAATGGTGCATTCTTCACACATGAAAGTAACTGATTACCAACAAGTGCAATAATACATTATTAGTTTATTTATATACTTTCTTTTTATCTTTCAGAAAATTATTATCTACTTAAACCTTTTTTCCTATTTCTATTAGGAGAATAGAACCCTAACTATACTTTGCATCATATTTACAATTTGGCGCCTAAGGTGTTTATTCTCATTTCGTTTTACACGAATTTAAAAGTAAAAAAATAGCAGATTAATATTGCATTTTCGTACAAAATTGTATGGTCTGCGTCTTCGTTCTAAATTTAAATAAAGACATACATTACTCCTGATTTGAGAGAATAAAAATTAAATAATTTCGTTTATAAACTACAAAATATGTAGTTGTAATTATTTTAGTAATTTTTTGTCATTTATCTATCTTGTATTCTATGTTAAATATAAATACATTTCAATCAATTACTTACATTTTTATTTCATCATAATTGGAATAAATGAATTAGGATATTCCCTGTAACATTTTGTTTATGTTACTTAGAAGTGATTGGGAGTTTATCGTCGTTATGCGTATTATAATCGGGCGATCGATCGACAGGTGCTCCAGTACCGGTACGAGGACAAGAAGAACGGGCGGTCCCGCAGCGGCGCCCTGCGCGGCGTGTGCGCCTGCGCGGCTGGAGGCGTCTGTTCGCCCGCCGACAAGCAGGAGCACACACTTATTCCCTGGTGCCTGCCGCACACCGCCAACCGCCACAACAACTGGGCTGGGCTTTATGGTGCGTATACCGCCACCACGAACACCATCGCCACGCCAATAAGGAACATCTACATACAGTGTCCGCTTCAGTTAAAACAGAGCTTAATTTATATGGGATATCTTTTCAAAAGCTTTAAAAGAAAAAAAATCAATGTAATATCAAAGTACAAAATAACTACTCCCTATTGTCTCTGTTTATATGTGTTATATGTGTGTGTACCGTCTTCCTAGACAACTTCAAAACCTACTTATGGATAAAAGCTTCCCGTTCTATCCATGGTCTATATATAATACAATGTAGAATTTAGATAATGAGAGCAAAATACCTATAGTTGTCAAAAAGTAAAAAAATCGTATCGTTTGTGCGTACAATATATAGTTTTTCTTTAAAATTATTTCAGCTGGTCAAATATAAGCAAATAAATAAATAAAAAAAATTTTTGCCATTGTTATCTGTCTGCGTGTTATACATATACTATAAGTAAAGTTTGTGTACCATAAAAAAACCAACTTCAATTGCGACACGACTACTTATTTTAATTTAAAAACTAAAATGCTGAATCGATTTTGATAATGTACATTGCGTATTTTCAGTGGTGCCTTTGTGCGAAATTCGGAATTCTTGCTCTCATCCTGGGGCAGGCATGGTTCATCAAGGCCTCCATTTACATAATCAGAGTCGTCAGTTCATTTTCTATTCCTAGCCGTATAAAAATGTTCGGATGTCTGCAGGCCGCGTGTCGTGGGACGGGTACTTCAGCACGACGGTGACGGACCCGGAGCCGATGGGGAAGCAGGGCCGCGTGCTGCACCCCGAGCAGCCGCGCGTCGTGTCCGTGCGGGAATGCGCCCGCTCGCAAGGTTTCCGCGACACTTATCTTTTCGTCGGCTCCGTGCTCGATAAACACCGACAGGCGAGTTTATCTTTTTAGTAGTAAAAAAAACAAGTACAAGAAAAAATAAATGAATATTTTCTTGTTATCGAGATCAATGAATGATTCAATAAAAACAGATTTTTTTTGTAACAAAAATGTCTGTTGTCTTGGATTGGAGAACTTAGGGAATCTATACATGGTGTAAAATTTTCATCTTTCAAACGAATTATTATGACAGTGTTAATTATCACATACACTTGTTTACGACAACTATTAACTTTAGTTATTTCTTCTTTTGTATATATCATAGAAAAAAAATATATAAAAATAATATCTCCTTTTATAGATCCTTTGACCACTTTTATGTTTATAAAATGTTCTGGTTAATAAAATTGTAATGTTTCTTCCAACCTTGACATTGGCATAATCATAAGAGCTCCGATGAAACCATAATTAAAAAAATATACATAGATTTAGGATGACATCGATAATAGAAACTGTTTACAAATTAAGGTTCAAAAACTTTCAAAAATGTTAATAATAAAAAATTAACTTGCGAATTTAATTTTTGGTTACAATTGAAATCACAAGCAGTTTTATTTTTTACAGGTCGGAAATGCTGTGCCGCCACCACTCGGAGCCGCTTTAGGAAGGGAAATAAAGAAAGCTCTAACTAGCACTTTAATTAAAGATCAACTACTATAAATCAATTTATTGTAACTTTATAAGCCCGTTGAAATAAATTATGTTATTGTGGGTATTTGTATTTCATTTTCATTATTAATAATAAGTTGACAAACAAGGCAATGTAAATCCTAATTATTTAAAAGTTTGCTTCTCAGAAGAAATGACAACTTTAATCGTGACATATAGAACAAACGCAAAGAGAATTAATCTTATTTGTTACAAAAGAATTATCAAAATCGGTCCGGAAAATGGGAGGCAAGTTTGCTATTTAGAGCGACAAAAAGCTAGATTAGGTTCTGTATATGGCATGTTACTGAAGAAAACAGATATTAAACGGAATATTTTGTAAAAAATATGTTTGGATAAATTCAAGTGCAATATAAACAACATAAAAACAATATTTATTTCTTTACATTTTTAGTTTTCCGTTTGATACTCTTTACTAATAAACTAAGTTCAGCATCTTGTTTACATTTCTTAGCTTGCGATTCCTCTACAGCCGGTGAGTCTGTGGGCCTCCTACGTAATTTTTCTTCAATAAGTTTTTCCATATTCTTTGTTTTCTTGAAGTTGGGATTGCTCGGATCAATGTTATAAAGATGCGAATTATATAATGCTGAAAATCTTTCATCATTGACATTTATTTCGAAATCTGGCAGGGACTGCTTTTGTTCCATTATTTTTTCTTTAAGTTTCCTTTTCCTTTTTGATTTTTTCGTTAGGTTTTCTGCCTCTTGGATTTTTTTCAAGCTAAAATGTGCTTTGCCATCTTCGTCATCTAATAACAACTCTAATTGTGCTTTTCCCTTTTCGTCTATTTCATCCACGCCATTCTTACTATTGCTTTTATTTTTATTTATCGTTTTACTATTTTTAAATTCAGGTTTATTGAATTCCTCTGCAAAGTAGGGATCATTCATATCAATATCAGAGGGAATATCATCAGACGAGTTGTTTTCTTCATCAGATGCAGTTTCTTCTAATTTTGACTTTTCTTTATTTTTCAATTTCTTTTGCTTTTTCTTCTCTTTTCTCTTTTTCAATAATTTTTCAAAGGGTGTTAAGTTCTTGTTATCTAAAACAATATAAGTAAAACAATTGTATTGAAATGCTTATAATTATCAATGGTCATAAAAGTATTAATAAGTACATATTAACATTAGAATACATGTTTTTTTATAGATGCATATTCTTAAACATAGAAATTGAAATATTTAAAATAATATAAAACCTTTTTCATTACGACATATAATTACATAAACTAGTTTTATCCTTGACTTCTTGCACATGATTGTATGGGAAATTTCAAGATAATTGGTTGAACCTTTAAGATGTTAAGAAGTCACAAACAAGTTCATTATGAAGTATCATTATTCTTTATCGTATTTGTAAATTATAAAGATAAGACCATTGTAATATATATTTATTTATAAATGTAAATATTGTGATCAAGAATGAGTAAATTTCTGAAAGAAATCTCTTAATATTATATGTACCTTCATCAGTTTTCTTTTTTACTAGTTCTTCAGCTTTCTCTTTAATTCCAAGTCCCCAAGTTATTTCCATTTCCATATCTTTATTTTTCTTTTTCTCTTCTTTATGTTCAATGTCATCCAGTAACATTTTATATTTTTTTATGGGATCTTCATCTTCATTGTCCGATTGAGAATTATCTTCTGTGGAATTTTCATCTGAAATATGGTAATAGCAGTAGAATAATGGCTTTAAAATTTACTGAAAATGTTATTAATTGATACCATAGTTAAATCTGGACAAAAGTCCCTAAATAAATAAAGATAGTTAAATCTGCTGTAATCAATGATTATGATAAGTTAAAAAATATATAATATAAAAATAAATTATAAAATTTTATCTTACCTTCACTGCTAGATGCTAGATAATCCTTCAAATCTAAGTCGTCGATTTTACCATTGAGTGCACCTCGTATTACATCAGTTCGGTTTGGATTAGTGGCGTCCCATGTTAATTCAACTTTAGCTTGTTGTAACGCCGTGGTGGTGAATAAACGCGGCCGGTATTTAGTTAAATCGGGCATTTTAGTACAAACTTCACGAGGCTCCTAAAATAATATTATTTTAGAGTTTAATACTATTAAAATGCCCATAATATTATAGAGATTTTTTTAATTTTTTTCTGCAACTTAGAATGGCAAATAAGCTGACGGCCTACCTGATGGAAAGTGATAACCATCGCCTATAGACATGAGCAGTACATAGAACATAGCAGAGTATACTGTTTTGCCCATGATACCCTCCATGCATTGCCATTCCTGAGGAATTGGTTCAATAATTGAGTTTTTAAATTAAAATAATTGGTTTTGCCACGACTGAAGTCGTCATTTAATGTGGAGAAAAAATATTTAGTAAATGAGGTAAATTAATACTCAATGTATGTAAATTTAAGCCTTAGTAAGGATTACCTGATCGAAAGTGACATCATCTGGTATGAATCTCATATCCAAATGTGTTGCACTGCTTTCATACTCCATACCATCGCATTCACTATAAAGTTTGTCAGCAGTGGCTATGGAGTCACATTCAACAACAGCATAATAATACTTTAATCTGTTTAGTTGATAGCGGCGAAGTTTCTCCATGTGATATGTAGAACCTAGTAAATTATATTCAACATTACAAAAAATTACAAAGTACAGTAATACACTCATTGTTATTATAGTTCATATTTATAAGTGATTGCTACTACTCTGGACTAACTTGTTTGTAATTCCATAAAAACAGAACATAAGAACAGAAAATTAATAACTTATGCTCAGTTTCTCTCTTTAGCTTTTTGCTATCATTAGGGGAAAATAGTATAGAGAAATACTATATTCATAATAACTAAAAGATTTCTACCAAGAGAATAAAACAGTTAAATTATAATAGTAGTTAAATTATAGTCATTACATATTTAATGTTTTTATTATTTATTAAGGGGTAAAACATTTGATAAACATATTACAAGTTAAAATTTTAGTAAAGAATTTGCCTAATTGCTTTTCTTATATGTATTGGGCCTCAATTATCTCATACTCAAAGGATTGTTCTTGATTTTGATACTATTTATTTAAACCCTTATTTATAAAAACCTCAAATATCTAATAAACTTAGTTAAAAAAGTGTTTCATCTCTTTATTTTGAGCTATATAAGTCTAGAATTAATAAACTTAGGATTCACATTTTTACATTAATTCGATGTACACTTATTCAGTAATTTGATGTTAGGGAAAATTGAATTAAAGACAATTAACACAGAGTAGTACAGTATCGCGCACAGAAGTAGTGTAATTCTGTAAATTCTTGTTTGCAATTGTTATAGTGCCTATTTCAGGTGTCAGTATTTGTTTAATGTTTTTATATGTTTGATTCAACTATCCCCATCAATTTGTATAAAAGCCCTAATATGTATAGAATATTATACCTTCTTCATTTCCACCATTATCTGATAATTCATTATCATTATCATTTCCTTGTTCAGTTAATTCTATAGGTCCACGAACCTCTTCTTGTTCCATTCTTTTTAGACCATATTCTGAAGGATAGATCTGAAACATTAGAAAATCATTTTTAAATTTTACCTTCATTCCTTCGGACAGTTATTAAATTTCACAAAATCTGTAGTTAATCCTCAAATTATCTTGATTGCTTGAATACTTTTTGTTTCCTTTGTTTGGAATGTTTCTACATACTATATTAGCTTTTTGCCCGCTACATCGTATACATGGATTTCAGGTCTAAGACAACCAATAAAGTAAAGCATTGTGGATGGTGTAGCAAGATAATATATATACAGGTGTAATAGTTTTTGAGTGATATTGGAACAAACAGACAGACCAAATTTTTTAAAATTAATTATTTTACATCTAGTGGTCTTATTAAGACCCCTTAAATTGAGTTTTCTTTAATATCTCCCCATTGTTTTGTATTTTTCACTATCAAAATTGTATTTTATTATATTAATAAATTAAGATTAATGTTTGAATTTTTTGGTATTATATTAAAAGGAGTTGTATATTCAGTAAGAATATTACAATTCCTTTTGATTCCTAAAATGTCAGAACAGTAAGAGAAGAAAAATTGAAATAAAATCATACATTAAGTGATCTGGTAAGTATATTAATATTAGTAATATTGTCTTCTAAGAGAAGAGTTTATTTATGCAACATAAATTGGCAAATAATCAGATGGCCCAACTGATGGAAATGGCCACTTATAGACATGAACATTACCATGGATATAACAAAATATACTGTGTCGCCCATGACAATCCTCATGCATTGCCATTCCCGAGAAGTAAGGTGTTAAGCCTCTGTATCCAGTAAATTCACTATCATATCCCAACCTTTAAATCAAAACAATCGTGCAAACACAACTACTTCACAGCAGAACACAAATGGGATAGTGGGCACTAACAATTTTTGTACTGTCTTCCTCTGGCAAAAGATTCAGTAATGACATGTTAATGCATGGTTATGTAAATACTAACCGTTATTTTATGAATAACACCTCCTGTAGGAAGGAAAGAGTTCAATAGCACCATAATATCAGTTGCTTTAATGTTATCCCAGTCCATATTACAAATGGCAATTCTGTAATAATAGGATTATATTTAGTCATGTTTATTGCATATCATCATAGTAATAGTCATAGAATACTGATTCGGATATATATTAATAATATTTGTCAGTATTACACTATGACTAACAACTAGATATATTATCTTATAAAATTACATACTAAAACATTTAGAAATTTAAATGCATTTGAACTAGTTTAGTTCCAATAAAACAAAATCTTTTATAAGGAAAATTTATTTATTTTTTATTCATTAGTACAAATATATGTACATGGTGGACTTAATGCTAAAAGCATTCTCTCTCAATCAACCATAAGGAAGTGTCAGAATATATCATCATGGAATGAAAATAAGTCCTACATACAGACAAATTATATTAATTAAAAAATGAACAAATCAGTCCCTAATTGAAGATGTATTCACATAAAATAGTCATAAAAAAATCAGATGAATTCTGAAATTCCTCTTTTTAAAGTGTCTTAAAAACTTTAAAGAAGAAATGTGTACCTCCTAGTAGACTCATCAGTTGTACCTGCATCACCATCTAACTCTCCCCATTCATGCTCCAGCTCGCTTTCTTCTTCATATTCAGTACTCTCCTCATCAGAAGAACTATCAGTGAGAAGAATTCCTGTAATTGTAAGAAACAGTTTTAGTCCATGGATAATAATTATTACTCTATAATAAATTTATTACAGGCATATTAGAATTAAAAACTGATATTAATTTTCATTTAAATAGTGAAGTTTTTTATTAGCAAATGTTGGAAATATATATATGTATATGTATGTGTATATATATATATATATATATATATATATATATATAGTTTTCTATTTCTCTATTGAGTATAAATATTTATTTTATTTGAAAACTGTAAAATTGTTATGCCACATAAAATATAATATGATACAAAATAAAATATATATTTTTAGGTATCTTGAATAATATAATAAGGTGAATTGATAGATACTATAAACTAATTTCCACTATATAGTTCGTCAATCCTCTTTCAAACTACATTCTTAAGTATCAAATACTAGTACAAAAACAAAGCTTTTTCACTGATAGTATAAATATATTTTATATCATAATTTATGTGAAATACAATAAATTTATAAATTATATGGGTGGTAGTAGATACTTTACCTTCTCCACGAGCGTAATCTATGTCTAAATCTAATAACCTTTGTTTAATTTTATGATCAAGTTTGCCACGCACTAATTTGTCATTTTTTAACTTATGCCCTTCTATTTTTTCTTGATCATCGCTAGGTGGTCGCCTCACGAATAGACCGGCCGTACCACTGTCCTCTGCTGATGGATCCTCGACAGAGCTTTCATCAGAACTATGTTCAGATTCCTCCAGATCATAATATTTTCGTAAATTTTCTGTAGAGGTTTCGCTGATTGGTCGTCCTCGCTTATCCACCGTATATTTCACTTTAAATCTCTCATCACTGAACATAGATTGAAACCTTTTATCAATTTTAACCTTTCGTTCATGCTTAGGAATTTGTTTGTAACGTGGGTCATTTAGATATTTTGTAAAGCGGTTATCTTTTAGAATATTATCCATTGTTTTATTTGTTAAATTTTATGAAATACTGTGTAATTAGATATTTAATAAAAATTTTAAACACAATAAACTCGTGGTCACATTAAGTAAAAATCAATTATATTTCATTCAATTAAAGTATTTTTAATAAATGAGAGAGAACTTTTTTTAAGTATGTTTGTTCCGTTGTGGAATAGGCTAAGGTCGGAGACCATGCTGCCTAGTCTTCAATATGATAATTTGTTTGGAATAAGAGAGAGAACTTTTTTAATGTGTCTACTTACTACTCTGTGTAATTTTAATGAAAAAAATACTGCTATAATTTTAGTACCGATGTTAACTTACTAATTCGAGTACTAATTATTCGACTGATCAAATCAGATTTATTGATAATTTGAAAATCATTTGTCTATTAATATTATTCATTCGAATACTAATTTCATCCCAATACTAACGGCACCCCACAACTAATATTGTTCGACTACTAATTTCATTTCTTAGTAGTTGTAACGTGCGAGTCGACACGAACTTAGCTGAGTTATTTCAATCACGGGAATGTTTTTTTTATGAATGGGCAAGAGTTTTGCCAATTTATATGTAGTAAACAATATAAATTTTTGATAGTTATAAAGAAAGTAGTAGGAAAGTATACTTTATAGTAACTAATTATTATATGTATATCGGAAAAGAATGTAGTTTATCGCTGTTTTTGAAATGAATAGATTTTTTTGGCTTAGGTTGAATATTTTCTGTGTTTCGCTCATGTCTCTATCATACCTTATCACCTACTGTTTATTTATTATTGTAGTAGTGGATACAGGGGTGGACTATGGTGGTACTAGTAGCACATAAAATAGAATTAGTTAATTGTCAATTAAATACGAAAATAAGTATATTAATAATTTTGTAGTTAAATCATGAAATTAATATTATTCATTCAACATAATCGATTTGCGCACCGCTATTTGCAAGTACTTGGCATGAACCTACAAGTAAATGTCAGATACCTACATGTCATTCATCGAGTTAACGAAATAGCAGTCATTCCGAGGTGTCATATACGTCAATCTATTTAAATTTCAATCACAAAAGGACAGAGAAAGGAAGGCACTTAATGTTTTTTCTTTACACTTGTTCTATTAAACTGAATATTTTATAAATTATTTCTATGTGTTTCTTAAACAAAATAATACTGTATATAATATAAGCATGAAGCCGTTAATAGATTTTGATGAATGCCTCAGGGATTCTCCTAAATTTAGGTTTGTAATCAATGAAAGTTGCTAGAAAGTGAAATTATTTACGTGTTGTGAATTATAATAAATTAAACAAATTATCACTTCAGGGAGCAACTTGAAACAGAAGAAGCTAGCATTGATTCATTGGAACAGAAGCTGGATAAAGTTCTAAAAGCTTGTACAATAATGATAGAATCAGGCAAAACATATATGAGTCATAGGGGGTAAGTGATTTGTGCTACTTCTACGTGTGTAGTGTATTTTTATCATAGATATTATAAAAAATCCTTATAGTAACATAGATTCCTCTTTACTTCGTAATCATAAAATGTATATTTTATTTATTAATAGTGTACTTACCTGTTCAGTAAGCTACATGCTCAGTAAATACTTAAAATGGGAAATACATCTATTAAGAATAGAACCAAATACATTAATAAATTTTATGAATCTCAACTGTAATAATCTATTGTATTGGTTTTTTTTTTTTTTTTGTTTTATTTAATATGTTTATTTATTTGAAGAAAATTTTATGGTAATTATTATTATTAATTAACACAGCAAATGAAAATTGCCAATAAATTTGTGTAATGTATATTGGGGATTTAGTACTAATTAAGCCATATATAATAAATATATTATTAATGTTTAAATTGATAACATTAATCTTGAAGATTACCCTAGATTCGTTATATCTTTATGAGCAATACAATTTTTACAAGTTACATGAATATAAATTTTATATGTAACATATGTTCTATATCAAAATGTCTAGCATTTAGTTTTTTGAAATCTGTAAACAAATGACAATGAGAAAATAGCTACAGCTGGCTGGAAATAGCTACAGCCAGTATTTGTTCCTTTAACTTGCATGAACTTGATGTACACCTCTACATATAATTTGTGCAAGTTTTAATTTTTAATATTTTTTTTTAAATAGTTCTGAACTCTATAAAGATCAGATATCAATCCCAGATCATTATAACCTTATTTATTTACATTAATTAAAGACTATTATATCTACATCCAGCCAATTGCCATGCTTAACAATTGATTAGGTATAGATTCTTATTTATAGATTTTGTTCTGCACCAACATACTGTATTTTCTACATACATGAAAATTATTAATTTTATGAAATGACAACAATCATAGTTTCTTTAATAATATTTACAATTAAGTACTTTATTATTGATTTCTGTATATAAAAATAATACTTTATTATTAAATATAATCTAATATTTATAAAAGCAATATATTGAAATATACATATATAATAAAAAATGTTTATTACAGTACATTCACAAATGCACTGTGGGATTTAAGTGGAGCTTTTCTGAAGATGCCTCAGTGATGGCCACACTCAACCGAATGATTCATGCACTGCAAGAAATGAACAAGTTTCATTCCATACTTTTGGACCAGGCATCGAGAACTGTACTGAAGAATCTCACAGCTTTTATTAAAGTGTAAGTTCTATTAATATAATAAATGCAAGAATTTGTAACGATAGATGGATGGATGTTTGTTATGCTTTCATGTTAATATTACTGCATGGATTTAAATGAAATATAATAAATAGGTAGGTTATATCCTAATTTGGCATATAGGATACGTTTTTTTTAATAGCAATAATAATTATGTTTATTTATTTATCTCACAACTTTTTTGAGTACAATGAGACACTTAAAATAATACCATATATACATCAAAGTTGTAGAGAACTGGTGCCTGAACTGGGTATCCGAAGAAGCCATATACCAAGTCACCAGGACCCCTCTCTGGCATGAAACACTTTATGGTAATATGTACAATGGAGAATTCAAAAGTGGTTAGGAAACTTTATGTATTAATTCATGTGGATGAAGCCACAAGATATAGCTAATATTTTTTATATACATGGACTTAAGTACCTCACAATAGTATTTTGGTAACTGCTATAATTGACTGTAGATATTACTCAGCATTTATCCCTACATCTAATGTCAAAATAGTCATGATTCTTGCAGAAATAATTATATTTTTTCTAATTATAGTTTTTGTTATGTAGCTGTATTATATGATATACAAAACAAATACTTTATTAATGAAAGTGGTTAATTAGACATAAAAGTGATTGTTTGTATTGAATTATTCATACAATCAATTGATAAATTGCTGCTGACACTCAGACACTTTAACATCCTGTTTAGGACTTTTGTCTGTACAATTTATAGAGAGGAAATATGTGATTGTTTTATGTTGTGGAATTGAATGTAAACTCTAGGATGTTTATGATTTAGGTTAATTTTACATTACATTGTTCTAGTGATATCAAAGGAGTCAGAGAAAGCAAGCACCATTTTGATAAAATCTCGAATGATCTTGACATAGCTTTAACAAGGAATTCTCAGGTGAGATAAATATGTTTTATATTTTAGTTTTAAACTTTTTGTATTCAATATCAGTTGCATCTAATTAGTGGTATATGTTACTGTTACTAGATACAGTGTCAAAGTTTATTTAAAAGAGCTTATACTCTCAATAAACTCAAAGTTTATTTTTACTTTGAATGCACATCTACATAATATACTGATATTAAGTAGTTATTGGCTTTAGCTAAAAAAATTTACTTGTTACTTCTTGATAATGTAATTTTTTATAGGTGAATGAATTTTGGATGTTTCTTAAGTATTTTTTAAGTATGTCATTTACTATTACAAACAAAAAAGAAATCAAATCTTTCCTCTTTATAATATTAGTTTAGATATATTTAAGAGGATTTGTTATATTTTGTAATGTAATTTATAATGAATTTTCTAACAAAGTCAATGTTAATATTGTAGGTGTCAAGACATAAGTCAGCCGATGTGGAGGAGATAATGAATCTCTTGGTGGCGACGCGCTCTTGTTTTCGGCACACCGCCCTCGATCACGTTCATAAGATTACTATGCTACAAACGAGGAAACGCCACGAAATACTAGCCACTGTAAGTTAATCATTGATCGATATGCCTGTAATTAAAGACTTATATAATTTTATTATTAAAAGTTTCGTAATTATGCATTATAATAATGTTTACAAGAAAAGTGGTTATTGCGAAGAAAAATGTACGTGTAGACAAACGATTTCGCATTCAGAATTTACATATTTTCAATCCTATGTATTTATGAAACATTTATGTGTTTTGTCACGATAGAAGTAGCTATTTTTTTTCTGAAGCAAAATGTAAGGACTAGAATTCTGCTATTCACATCGGCTTCCCATAACCGGCTAGGCCAAACGTTGTCACGCACACTTTCGCTTTCTATATTTGTTTCGTAATTTTTCATTGCTCATCAGTCATATACAACGTGTATTCGAAACATAAATTCAGACAATTTATTATTAGCATTACCTACAAATTCCATGAATTTGTTTTTTTATAAATTTATTTTAATTCACATTTACTAACTTAAGTTTAACTTCTCACAAAATTTAATATATACATTTGCTATTTATAGGCGGTTATATAAATCAATATTCGAATTAATGTTTGAAGCTTTTGAAATAGTCGCGTACTTTATGCATCAGAGAGCTTGAAACTGGAATAATACCTGAAATTACAAGGTGCGGGCGGAGGCATAATACCGTGATCCATACGAAGGCAAACTTTGAGGCACCATGAGGGTCACAGTGTATTCTATTTGTGGCACTGTTCATGCTTATAATTTTAATTTTCCATAAAAAATAAATATTAAATTCATCGTATATAACGAAGGTTTTAGATAATTTGTAGTATAATGAGAATAACATATATTTAACATATAACTATAGATTTATTTTATATATAACTATAGATTTTGTTAAGTCTTATTTATTTATTTATTTACACTTTATTGCACCAAGTAAAAAGAGAAATAACAAATACAGTAAATATTAATGAGAAGTGATACAAAAGGCGGCCTTATCGCTAAGCAATCTCTTCCAGACAACCTTTGGGTAGAGGACATTGAGAAAAAGACAAAGAGTAGGTGGTGCACTATTATATAAATATTATCATATACAAACATATATAGATACATACATACATATATACACATACATATATAATATATACAGAATTAAATATATACATAACATACACATACTTAACAGCACACATACAACAGAAAAAAATGACGAAGGAAAACGAAGAGAGAACACAGGAAAATAGTACTAAAGTGAGAGGTAGTAAGATTTAACAGAGGTTTTGAAGCTAGTAAGAGTTTGAGCGCACCGAATAGAGGTAGGTAGTGAGTTCCATAGACGAACGAAGTCTTATTTCTTTTGTTGATAAAAATATTCCCATAATAATTTTATCGACCACCTACAACCAATAACTAACACGGAACACCTGCTGACAGTCAAAAATGATAATCACAATAGAATTCCAATACTTACTCATAATCTTAACTTACTTAAATTTAAAGAAGAAAGGAGATTTATTTATTGTAGAATTTTAATAACTGAATGGTAAGCTCTCCATTACTTATTATTGTTTTAAACGGTTACTAAAATTTTATAGTAAATAAATCTTCAGTGTAGTTTTGTATATGATTTATCTATATTTCCACGGGAAAAGAAAGTAAGAGATTGCTGTAGATGACGGCTAATAAAAAATAAACCGGTCTTTTACTAATTGAATTCAAAGCTGAGGGTTCCGTATATAAATATATATGCGACAAAATAACCTTTATTGCATTTCTCATACAAAGTAGACACCTAATGGTTATTATTATTGCTACTAAAATTTGTAATTTCTATTTTGGGGATTAATTGTGGTTAAAAATGAACTGCATAATTTTGGTTTTTTTTTATACTACTTATATTGTCAAACAAGCTGACGGCCCACCTGATGGAAAGTGGTAACGGTCGCCTATAGACATGAGCAGTACCATGGATTAACAGAGTATTCTGTTTTGCCTATGATACCCCCATGCGTTGCCATTCCTGAGAACTCAGGTGTTATTTCTTTGTACCCTGTAAATTTACGCTATACCCCACCCTTCAAACCGAAACAGCCATGCAAACACAACTGCTTCACGGTAGAAACATGAATGGGACAGAGGTACCCAAGCAATCGACTTTTGTACAAAGTCTCCCTCTGGTAAATTCTGGTTTCTGGAGGTTTTGATCATTTCTCGAAAACGGTGCTAGTTAGAAAGGACTTTTTATTTTATCTGTAATATTCATATATACCTTTATAAAGATTTCAAATATTTCACTTCAGAAACCTAGGAGATAATAATTTTTTGCTTTTTACATTTTCGATTATAACTAAAAAACTACGCAGCATAAAAATAAATAATAACCTATTTTAGTATTAGCGGATAAATTTAGAAATATTTGAGTATATGTTTTGAAACGACTACACGATTCCAAAAAAGTTGTATATGGACTTGTGTAAAAATATTTAATAAGTTAAATCATTTTATACTATAGAATTTAAACCATAATACCAATTAACAAGAATATATATTGAAATGTAGGGTATGTAACTAGGTAAGGTAACAAAAAAAAATTTCATTAGTAGTTACTGAGATATAACACCACAAAGGAGCCCCCTTTGTACCTTTTTGGTGCAAAACCCAAAAAAAAATGAAAAATTAAATGCATTTAATGAAAAACTTTTAGTGCTTTCATTATATAAAAGTAACTGATGATAGTTATATCTATTATACTGTCGCTTCAAATTCGAATAGATAAATTCGCATGTTAAGCTATAATAAAGATCCGAGGTCATAAGATGTACCAGCAGCTATAAACAAGGAACGTTTTCGTTATAAATATTACAATGCTTCATACATATTATACAGTAAAGCTTGTATGACGTAATACAGATCTTATATACAATATTATATCTGTACATTAAATTTAATTACCTAATTACGACCCCAAGGTAAGATGGCGCACATTGCAGCGGATCTTCCTTTGTACGCTTAGTTGCGCTCATAGCATGTAGCAATGCCTAATTCTGTACCTTAGGTATACAGCATAAAGTCTAAGTTTATTTAATTACTTGCTATAGTAGGTATTACAATTAACGTAATACGTGGGAACTTGTATCTACTTATGCATTCGTTTTGTATCATGCAATATCATAAAAACATGACTCATACGTTTTGTTTATATCACATAGAGAATTTATTGGCATCATTTGCCTTATTTTATAATCAAATCACAAAAAAAAACTATGAAACTAATTTAAATTTGTAATAATTATTTATAGTTTTTATTTAAATATTCGAAGCCAAAGAATTATGGTTTCTAACAATCTATTAGTTTCAGGGTTGCGATTTTTATCTAAAAAAATGCATTCGTACAAAAGGTTTATATTATTATATATATATATATATATATATATATATATATATATATATATATATATATATATATCTATATAAATATTATATCAGTATAGATTAGTAAGGATTCATATCACTAGGAGCGGCAATCAGTTGGCGCTCCACGTGTCAGAAAGTAAACTGTTGCCTACAGGAATGTCACTGGCACGCCGTACTAGTTAATCTCCATAGATTAGTAGCCCTACTGTTAACAGTAAATCTTGTTAATTTACCACGACGAAAGAGAAATTCCTGATAAGTTCATTGCGATGCGTCCACTAACCTTCATCTCTCACTAGTACCTCGCCTGTATATGTCAAGGCCACAGACGGGGATACCATACCATTTTCATCACTTAAAAAAACCATAAATAGTACATTCAATATTAATTAATCATTAAGACATAAATAGTACCATGAGCATCTAAGAATAAAATGTTATTCTTCGTGCTTTACCATTCCAGAAGATTAAAGTGTGTTATACCTCTGTATGTAATAACACACATAAATTTAAAAATTTAAATGCAATAAAGATTTATTGTATTTAAATCGTAAGAATTTATTCTTCTATTGAAACATAGCCATGCAAGCGTAGCTTTTCGCTTTACTTTTTTTTTGCTGTGTGTTTACCTTTAAAACCAAACACCTAAAGACATGAAAAAAAGTAGCTGAAACGGCCATGCCAACTGTAAAGGCGATTCGTTTATAATTATACCGTCTTGAAGATTTCGGGGCGATATTAAAGTTCAAGTCGAATTGACTTCATATTTACAATTAAAAATTAACAACCTCGATAAGTTATCTATTATCCTGCTATCGCATTACTCATCGGTACAGTTGCACCGCCCAAATATGAATTTCAATATCGTTTTGTAAGTTTAACACTTACTAGCGAGGTTACATCCATTTGTTTGCAAGTAATTCGCGCGCGACGTCTACCGGCGACAGTTATGTATTGTGTTGCTCAAGCTATTCAATAATTTTGTGTAACTGTGTTTATACTTGACTGAATCTATGACGAATTTTGAAACATTGGTCATCATTTCGTGCAGGCGTCTAGTGATTATAGGTATATTTGTGTTAAATATAGATATTATTTCATAATAGATAAGCCTCAATAAGTATTTAATCTTCTTTAGTATAATAGGTTCTGTTTTTCTTTGCTAATTTTTAATTAAACTTTTACGTACAATGATACAACAACAAAAAAAAAAAAGAAATTTAATGTTTTCAGTGTCTTCTTTCATTCCTATTTGAAATTAGTCTTATTCTATTCACTAGTAGAAAATTAAAAGTCAAGACAGTTATTTAATGCAATAAATAAATTAAATTGATTATGCACTTTGTCCTCCTGTAAACCAATATTCTTGTATATAATAAAAAAAAAAACATTTTTACTGGATCATGTATGGACTCTATTTTTTGCAATTTAATGGGTTTATCTTGTCGAGGCAACTAATTCGTGTATCTTTCTCCGACCAATTCTACCCTAGACTCTCTAACGCGACTTGTGACTTAGCTTTTACTATGGAATTTATGTTAATACAGAATTTCAAAACTCGAGCCACAGTAGTGTATAAATGCCATTGTATATCAGTATATTCTGAACTATACTGACTGTATGGTTATCCATGGAATTATAAAAAATGTATTCATCCAGTATCCCTTTATAATAATTAAGAATATTTTTCTTTTCAGTTCCTATCATATCTGCAGGCGTGTTGCACTTATTATCACCAAGGAGCCGATCTTTCCGAAGACTTAGAACCATTCCTCAAAACAACAGCTGAAGAAGTATGTACTAAACCATTTTTTATATACAAAAATATACAATTAAAATAGGACTTGCTTATTTAAATAGCCGGATAATTTGTTAAATATGTAGTTAATTTTATTTTCGATTGAATATTTACAATGCCCTATAGGGTTCTTAAGACATGACCATAAAAATGCGATTAGTCACAAAGTCTTGACAATATGACCAAACAATTTTGGGATCACGCTGCTCTGTTGTTTTGGGATCAGGTTGCTCTGTCAGGGGGATCCACGAGGAGGTGACCTGACAGAGTATATTGCTAGCAATAAGCCTGCTAGTCCACATAAATAACAACCCCCCCCCCCCCCTTAGTCTATTATATAATATACCTTTTGTGGGTGTGTGGGTATAAAATATTCAGCATTAATAAAGTACTATGATTATTATTGAGAAATGGGCTTTGTCGGGTACAAAAATTTGTAATACTGCAACCCCTGTGATCTACTGTGCTCGCCCTTTTTTTAAAGTTCGCCGCCAATTCCTGTCAGTTATAGGAATTTTAAGATTTTTTTTTTGTAGCGATGTTTTTATCTCTTCAGGATATAGTATATACACTATAATATATTTTCTGAAGAAAATATATCTTTTTTATACTACTAAAGTGGCAAACAAACATACTACCCGTCTGATGGTAAACGGTTATTGTAACCTATGGACGCCTGCAATACTAGGGGTGTCAAGTGCGCATCGCAGAACTTGAGGAAACCTTAATGTACCTTGTGTGTGTTTGTAAAACCTCATACTGTAGTCTCTAGTGAAAACATTGTTACAGCATACAACTACTGCTGTTACTGCAACCTAGACATAAAAAATACAGCCTTTAAATGAAGCTGTTAAAATATAAAATAGGAAATTGAAAACTTAACCACAGTCATTACATTTAATAATTTAATTTAATTACTAAATATGTACATCAGCATGATCATTATTATATCTTTCTATGTCTTCTTTAGATTCATGTTATGTATTAATAATAAAAAAAATGAATGGTACTTTTATTAATAGAAAATATAATTATACTGTCTATACACACATTTTAGCATCACTGTCTGTCTATGTGTATGTGTATGTCACATATCAACATTTGATTTCATGAAGCGAGAAACCGAGAGTGGTCATTAGAAAAACTATTTTAATAACGCTTCCAAGTAATAAACGATAATGGGTGAATTTTCAGGTATCAGCAATGCGTAACGATACCAAAGCGCTCGATAAAGAGATGGAGAATCGTCATACAATCGTCAACAGTAAAGATACAGTGTTGCCGAGTTGCAAAGCGAGTCAACAGGAGAATGATACCAAAGACGGCCTACTGGGTACACCCTGTCTGAAGAACTTGCCCAGAATGCAAGGGTACCTTTTCAAAAGAACGTCGAATGCGTTCAAGACGTGGAATAGAAGATGGTTCTATTTATATGATAATAAACTCGTGTACAGGTATGCATCATTCAATTGATTTGTTTCGTATTCCAATATTTACTTCAACCAACTACATTTAATGACAATATCGTTCCATATTTTTAAATAACCTACTAGTTAATATATATTAGTATAATTTTTTAATTAGTTTATTAAGAAATCAAATATTACTAACTTAAAAAAAAAAATATTTTTGCCGCTATACAAATAGTGTCTGATCGTAATAAATTTCATAATCGAAACTTTTAATAAAATTTTCATTTTTTTTTTAATCGAAATAGAACTGAAATTTATAAGATTCTTTTCTACAATAAAATTATTTCATAAACTTAATTGGTTTAAAAATATTTATATTTATTTATGATAAAAGAAAGGCACGTATTCCAATAAGAAAATAAAATGACAAGTTTGGCAAACAATATTTTTATTATCGATCGTTATATCAGACGTATTATCAGATATGGAAAAATAAGGAAGTATGTAATGTCAATTAATTTTATTTATCATTTGGAAATATATAATTGATACAAACGTTATTCGGTGGACATGGCGAACTCGAAACTAGGAGATTATAATTAATGTTTCAAATTGTAGGATAAGGCTAATAGATGAAAACTACAATATGTCTATATAGCGGGAGCTACACAAAAAAAAATTCTGATGAGTCGAGTGATATAGAAAATAAGTTTTCAAATGTAGTTTTTGTAATTTCACTGTCATATATCAAAATACAGCCATGCAAGCACACTTGCTTAACAGCAGAAACACGAGTAGGACAGAGGTACCTACGAAAATGATATATTGCAAAGTTTCCATCTAGTAATTAATAAATTTAATCACTGTCTGTACTTCTGCCTTCCCTTCTGGAAAAGCATAAAGTATTTCGTATATTTTAGTCACGTCGCAAGGTTATGATTATGATTTGTAACACGTACTCACGCCATAAAATGTATGTGAGTGTGCGTGACTTCTATATTTGAATTGATCATACGTCGTCATATGTTGATTATATAAGGAAGACGTGATTATTAGAGTGGTAATCGTAAACATTGTATTTGGATTTGATGATGATTCCGTTTGATGTTATTACCTAATTTTAAGACGTAACTTTCAAGTGATAGGAAACACCGATAGTAATGCAACTTAGTCGACCAATACGGGAAATTGCGGTGGGGTTTCCACCTGCAACAAAAATACTTAAATCTGAGTATTTTTGTCAGTATGTGGCAATGTCGAGGGTTACATACACCATGACATAGTAAACAGTGGACAAATTCTTCTGAGTACCCATCAAATTCTTCATAAGGAATTGCAGTCGTGAACATTTTTTTTCTTTTGGCTATGTTAGCGGAAATTAGTCCATTTATAACTACTAGGATCGAATGTATCTATTTAAATATTACATAATATAGCTAAAGATCGAGTTTTGATTAAACAGTATGTAATGTAATACAGAGAGTGGGAGGTTCGCGAAAAACCAGAACTAGACCAATTTAAATAATTTATTTATTATTGAACGTTAATATATCTAGATGGTGTAAATGGCGCAATATTGATGTAAACAATATGTTGTGTTTAAGGAAACGCACCGGTGAATTGAACGTGACCGCTATGGAGGAAGACTTGCGTTTGTGCACCGTGAAACCGGTGCACGATGGCGAGAGGCGCTACTGCTTTGAAGTGTTGTCACCTTCCAAGTATGTATAATCATCCTAACAATCTATTAACATCCTACTGTTGGGGACAGTCCTCTCGTCTAAGGTAAATACGTAGATTATATAGATAAATCGTCAGTGTAAAAATAGTTCAAATAGTAAACAAATAGCATCGGATTTAAGCTGCTTGGATTAAGACACATGTTTATTTTTATAATAAAACACGTAATTTTTTCAGTGTAGCAAAATATTTTTTATGCAACTTAGAATGGCAAACAAGCTGACGGCCCACATGTTGGAAAGTGGTAACAGTCGCCTATAGACAAGCAGTACCATGGACATAACAGAGTACTGATAACTAAGATAACATACATACTGTTTCGCCTATGATATACATAATATGAATATGTACATGCATATATTTTTTTCGTTGTTATTGTTTCGTTGACAAAAATCAACGAAAACTTTTTTAAGTTTTCAAGGATTATATATGTAAGATATAATCTCAAATATGAATAAAAATATTTAGTGAAGATAGGCCTCTTTATGCACCGTTTACTCTGTTTCGTCACATATATTCGTAAAAATTTTATAATATAATAGCATTATAGTATAAATCCGGTCTTATACTCAGCCACTAAATGATTCACGATAGTTATTTTTTATGCAATTTGGAATAGCAAATATATTGTACAAAATATACACTCCATTTGATGAAAACTAGTTATCATCGCATATAGACAAGACAACAGAGAATATACTGTTGTCACAGTTACATGACATGCTACCTCTCTTGTTATTTTTTAAGGACCAAAGTGGTATTGTGTTATTTCTCTGCGAAATCCCACTCATTAATGAAAATTTATTATTCGTTAGATAGATAATTTATTTATGTTACTTACAGCACACAAATTACAATACAAACATACACATAATACACAGTAAAAGAGATAAAAGAATGGAAATAAAAAAACAGCAAAAAATGAATAATAATTATTAATAATAAAAAACAACAAGTAATAATAAATTTTCATTATATTTTTATAGAAGTCACATGCTTCAAGCTGATTCTGAAGAAATGCTGAACGCGTGGATCTCGGCTTTGCAGAATGGCATTAGGTCGGCTATACAACAGGGTCAAAGCCGCGATAATCCTGACTCGCAGCTGGTTCTGGTACCGGACGATAAGCCCAGCGACAACAAGCATGCTGCTGCTAGTGTCCGCATGAGGAAAGTGAGGTTAGTGTTAAAAAAAAAACAAGGGAGGATTTAAGTGGCATATTACACTTTCGTATATATTAGGAAGATAGGAAAATTTTAAAGTCATATAAACAGTATTTGTTTATGCCTATACCCCACACGATATAACATCTTATCGATATTGAATTGAAAGCGTGTCACTAGCTAAAACTACTAAACTACTACTATAGAAATTTGAAAAACTAGTTGCATAAATAATATGCTGTCCTTAGTATCCTTAAAACGAAAAAAAAAAAGTTAAAACATAGAGTTCTTATTTTAAAAGAAGAATATATAAATTGTAATAGAAAATTAAACAAGTAGAACAATGTTATAACAATCTAATAAAATACTAATCTGCATCTTAAAATTTAATGCTTGAATCGAAAGAAACGATAGGTGGATATCAGCAGGGGGAATCGGGTATCTACTACAATATGTATACAAACACACAGTGAATAACTCTTTTCCAGGATCTGGGAACAATTGCTCAACATTCCCGGTAATAACAACTGCTGCGACTGTGGCGGCCCCAACCCGCGGTGGGCGAGTATCAACCTCGGCATCACATTATGTATAGGTGACTAATAATAACATCTGTAATATATTTATTCACGAAACGAGGGCTATCGCTACACAATAATTTTTTAATTTATTGTGTAGTTAAAACAAAAGAGACTTTATACAAAAATCGTTTGCCTGGGTACCTCTGTCCCATTCGTGTTTCAACCGTGAAGCAATTGTGTTTGCATGGCTGTGTGTGTGTGTGTGTGTCGGTTTGAAGAGTGGAGTATGGCGTGAATTTACTGGGTACAGAGGAATAACACCTAAGTCCTCAGTAATGGAAATGCATGGGGGGAAACAGTACACTCTATTATGTCCATGGTCTTGTTCATGTCTATAGGTGACGTTTACCGCTTTCCATCAGGTGGACCGCCAACTTGTTTGCCATTCTAAGTTGTATAAACAAAAAAAAAAAAAAACAACTGCGGTCCTTCTACAAGGTGTTATTATAGGTCTTATGTTTTTACCCAGTACAAGAGGCAGGCCCTCACCGCACACAGTAAAGCTTATGTAACAGTTTGGACTTAGTAATTGCCATAAATTTGATTTAATATCTACCATTTAATTCTCAAATGAATTATGATTTTGTAAGCATCATAGTATTTAAATAAATCATTTAGTAGTTTAATTTCTACTATTAAAAGCAGTGAAAATAGTGCATTACTACCTCGATTAAAAAAAAAAAAAAACTATTCGAAAATAGTCTATTGTATATATCCATTATATATTTATATTATTTGTTTTAGAATGTTCGGGCATACATAGGTCTCTTGGAGTGCACGTCAGTAAAGTTAGATCACTCACATTAGACGATTGGGAACCAGACATAATAAAGGTAAAAAAAGGATTATTAATATTTTGTTTTATTTTATTTCATTTCGAATTGAAATGTAAGTTATACTTTCAAGTAATTTTATAATAAATCCCTTGGAAATATTTGTGTTAAATAAAGGATCTATTAAAATCTGCACCATCTATATTACAGGTAATGGCGGAATTAGGCAACAAAGTTGTGAATTTAATATATGAGGCAAACACAGAAGGCACTACGATCACTAGGGCCACGCCAGATTGTGACACGTAAGTTGATAGATATATTAGCTGTATATAGTGATTACTTGATCAATATTTATAAAAATAATTATTGCAAATGTTTTTTTAGAGAGACTACGGGAGTCTCTAATTGAGATCGATCAAGATTCGAAAGTCTTTGTGACTCTGACCAGATCGCTTGATATATGGTGTTTTTTTATACTACGAAGATTGCAAACAAACATATAGTCTGTGTGATAGTAATCGATCACTGTAGCCTATGGACACCTGCTACACTAGGGGTGTCACATATGCGTTGCTGAATCTGAAGAAATCTTAATACACCCTTATTGAAGAACTTTTACTTAGAGTTTTCTTCTCTTGTACTAATGTATTGTGGATTGTTTCATTAGTCGTCCCTTTGGGATTAAAAAAGAGAGAGAAAGAGAATATGCTCTATTAGCATCACACATTTTACATTCTAAAAAAAGCAGTGGTGAAAAATACGTTATTTTGTCCACACAAATAATGTGTAAGACAAATAGGATTATACATGTTTAAACTCTATATTGTAACTACATCACATAAAGCACGTATCTTCCCATCCTTGTATAGTTCAGTACGTGAAGCGTGGATCCGCGCTAAGTACGTATCGCTGTCGTTTGTCAAGAACATAGTGAGCGCGAGCAGTGTGGAGGCGGGCTCGGACTCTCCATTGCGGAATGGACGACGCTGGTCGGTACGGCGCGCTCGCCGCAGGTACGTGTGCAAATTATGATAAAAAAAAAATACACAAAAGCAATCTTCGAAACCTTTTTATGTATTTTTTATCAGAATAAAATAAATAAAAAACATATTTGTTCAAGTAAACTTAATTATATACATAGTGATTTTTTATGAATCTATCGCTCTATCCGGAATGTTATTTTAGTTGAAAAAAATGAGCATTCTTGCTCAGTCTTGTTGTTGTGTGGCTTTTTTAAAACAATGTTACTGGTGTTTAAATATTATATTAATTTTAGGGAACTAAATATTCACCGTGTGGTCCCGGCATAGAATAGGCCGGTCACCCTTTCCTTTTCAGTGGGTGTCGTAAGAGGCGACTAAAGGCAGCAGTGTCCCTCTTAAACATCTCTAAAGACTAACTGCGATTGCTAATTCGCCTGCCAAGTGTGGCAACTACTGGTATATCCCCCCACGGAGAAGCCTTATGTTCAGCAGTGGAAACTTAAAGGCTGATATGATGAAATAAAATTATTAATCTACTAATTTTCCATTTCAATATTTTTCCAGGGTACGGGCTGCCCCCATTGTACCTGAGACTATTAATGATGAGAAAAGTGACGCTAATAGTGACACGAGTGGTAAATACTTTTTTAAATGATTTGAAATATTCAATAGAACAATCTCAGATTATATAGATAGAGCATTGAGCTTCAAAAACGAGTCTACTATTTGTCAAATTAGCTAACTCGTTTTTTTATCAGTATTCTATATATTTACGCATAAAGTATATTATGATGGATTATTTAAAAAATAAAATAAGTGTTTATGCTTTAAAAAGATGCAGAAATTGTAAGACCAAATAACACTATCTATATAATCCAAGAGAACAATACAATGAATAATATGTATAATAACATTTATGTAATGTTTTGTAATAAATTATACAAATAAACAAATAAATACAAAGTGTGTGCGAGAGTTATGGTAATGCATTTTTTAATACAAGCCGTGTGATTCATAGTTTTTCTATCTAAAATAAAAACCGGTTAGATGCGAGTTGACCCTACATGCCGAGGTTTCCCTACATAAATATATAAATGTGAGATAAGATGTTTATTATTGCATTTCTCATACGAAATAGATAGTTAATAGTTATTATTACGGATATTATAATTCGTAATTTTTTATTTTTTTATTTTGGGCCATAATTGTGGTTAAAATTTGAACCGCATAACTAAGCCTATTTTATAGGTTTTTGATAATGTTTCGTATACGGTGCTAGTTAGAAATGTCGTTTTGTTTTTCCTGTAATATAATATTTGCATATACCTTTATGAACTACATTCCTTTTAAATTTTCACGAAATTGCTTTGTTTCGAATAACTGACGTGTTGTATTATTTTTATAATATTATTTTACTCGATAACTGTGATATACATACATTAATGATTATTGGAAAACGGAAATATCAGATTTTTATCTTAGTAATAAAGCAAACGGAAGGTATGTATTGTAGCTTAAATAAGTAAATTTTTCACAGGCGAGCCTGTAATGAATTCTTTTAAAATAAACCAGGCACAGCGTCGGAGAGTTCGGCTAAAAGCGACGAAAGCCCGGTGCTGGTGATCGGCAGTGAGCTAGCAGCGGACCGCGCTGTCGATCTCAGCCTGCCCTCTGATCACGAGTCCACCGAGGGCGAGGACGCTGACGACTTAGGTACTATCGCTTTTTCGCTCTTTATATTCTTATTGTTAACGAACAAACTCACTTTGACGTTTATATTATTAGTAGGTATGTTTATATTTACATATTACATGTAATATCTACCAATATCTATCAATACCAGAGGGAGACTTAGTACAATAGTCGTTTGCTTGGGTACCTCTGTCCCATTCGTGTTTCAACCATAAAGCAGTTGTGTTTGCATGGCTGATTCGGTTTGAAGGGTGGGATATGGCGTGAATTTACTGGGTACAGAGGAATAACACCTGAGTCCTCAGGAATGGCAACGCATGGGAGGTATCATGGGCGAAACAGTGGACTCTGTTATGTCCATGGTACTGCTCATGTCTATAGGTGACGATAAGCACTTTCCATCAGGTAGGCCGTCAGCTTGTTTGCCATTCTAAGTTGTATAAAAAAAATTCTAAGCTTAGCGTTTTTATGTCTGTCCGTCGTGTCCTGTTCTTAGATTATATAGGTAGAGTGTCTTCATAGAAATGCTTCAAAAAAACGGGTCAACTTTTTCATACAATTTTGCGTTATAAATAATCCTTTATAAATTCTATATTTATTATGTCTTATGATTTTTGCATCTTTTTAATGTGTAAAATCTCATTTTATTTACTATATAAGTAAATATGAATACGTCAAGGTAAATTGTTTGCGGAAGTATATAGAATAATAATAATAAAAAAAAACGAGTTAGCTAATTTGACAATAAACTGACTAAAAGTTGACCCGTTTTTGAGGCTCGATGCTCTATCTATATAATGTAAGGATACTTTAAATACCGGGTAATGCGAGCAAGATAGCGGGTATGAGCTAGCAATGTGTACGTGACGGCAGGTGCGGAGGAGATGTGCGGGCTGTCGGCGGGCGCGGTGCTGGCGCGGGCGGCGCGCGCGCACAACGTGGCCGTGATGCGCGGCGCACTGGCCGCGCGCGCCGACCTGCACCACCGCCACCACCGCGCCCGCACGCCGCTGCACGCCGCCGTGCTCAGCGTACGTACGCGACACTGCATCACGCGCGCGCGCGGACACACGCACGCACACATACACACACGCGCGCACAACGTGGCCGTGATGCGCGGCGCACTGGCCGCGCGCGCCGACCTGCACCACCGCCACCACCGCGCCCGCACGCCGCTGCACGCCGCCGTGCAGCGTACGTACGCGACGCGCGCGCCGCCGCCGTGCTCAGCGTACGTACGCGACACGCGCGCGCGCGCGGACACACGCACGCACACATACACACACGCGCGCACAACGTGGCCGTGATGCGCGGCGCACTGGCCGCGCGCGCCGACCTGCACCACCGCCACCACCGCGCCCGCACGCCGCTGCACGCCGCCGTGCTCAGCGTACGTACGCGACACTGCATCACGCGCGCGCGCGGACACACGCACGCACACATACACACACGCGCGCACAACGTGGCCGTGATGCGCGGCGCACTGGCCGCGCGCGCCGACCTGCACCACCGCCACCACCGCGCCCGCACGCCGCTGCACGCCGCCGTGCTCAGCGTACGTACGCGACACTGCATCACGCGCGCGCGCGGACACACGCACGCACACATACACACACGCGCGCACAACGTGGCCGTGATGCGCGGCGCACTGGCCGCGCGCGCCGACCTGCACCACCGCCACCACCGCGCGCACGCCGCTGCACGCCGCCGTGCTCAGCGTACGTACGCGACACTGCATCACGCGCGCGCGCGGACACACGCACGCACACATACACACACGCGCGCACAACGTGGCCGTGATGCGCGGCGCACTGGCCGCGCGCGCCGACCTGCACCACCGCCACCACCGCGCCCGCACGCCGCTGCACGCCGCCGTGCTCAGCGTACGTACTGCATCGCGCGCGCGCGGACACACGCACGTACACACACGCGCGACACGTGGCATGCGCGGCGCACTGGCCGCGCGCGCGCGCGCGCGGACACACGCACGCACACATCACTGGCCGCGCGCGCGCGCGCGCGGACACACGTACGTACGCACACACACACACGCGCGCACAACGTGGCCGTGATGCGCGGCGCACTGGCCGCGCGCGCCGACCTGCACCACCGCCACCACCGCGCCCGCACGCCGCTGCACGCCGCCGTGCTCAGCGTACGTACGCGACACTGCATCACGCGCGCGCGCGGACACACGCACGCACACATACACACACGCGCGCACAACGTGGCCGTGATGCGCGGCGCACTGGCCGCGCGCGCCGACCTGCACCACCGCCACCACCGCGCCCGCACGCCGCTGCACGCCGCCGTGCTCAGCGTACGTACGCGACACTGCGCGCGCGCGCGCGCGGCGCACACGCGCGCGCGCGCACACACGCACGCACACATACACACACGCGCGCACAACGTGGCCGTGATGCGCGGCGCACTGGCCGCGCGCGCCGACCTGCACCACCGCCACCACCGCGCCCGCACGCGTACGTACGCCGCTGCACGCCGCCGTGCTCAGCGTACGTACGCGCTCAGCGTACGTACGCGACACTGCATCACGCGCGCGCGCGGACACACGCACGCACACATACACACACGCGCGCACAACGTGGCCGTGATGCGCGGCGCACTGGCCGCGCGCGCCGACCTGCACCACCGCCACCACCGCGCCCGCACGCCGCTGCACGCCGCCGTGCTCAGCGTACGTACGCGACACTGCATCACGCGCGCGCGCGGACACACGCACGCACACATACACACACGCGCGCACAACGTGGCCGTGATGCGCGGCGCACTGGCCGCGCGCGCCGACCTGCACCACCGCCACCGCTGCACGCCGCCGTGCTCAGCGTACGTACGCGACACTGCATCACGCGCGCGCGCGGACACCGCGCCGCGCACGCCGCTGCACTGGCCGCGCGCGCCGTGCTCAGCGTACGTACGCGACACTGCATCGCGCGCGCGCGCGGACACACGCACGCACACATACACACACGCGCGCACAACGTGGCCGTGATCACGCGCGCGCGCGCGCACTGGCGCGCGCGCCGCCACACACGCCGCTGCACGCCGCCACTACGCACCACCACGCGCGCGCGCGGCACGCACGCACTGGCCGCGCGCGCCGACCTGCACCACCGCCACCACCGCGCGCACGCCGCGCAGCGTACGTGCTGCGTGATGCAGCGCACTGGCCGCGCGCGCCGACCTGCACCACCGCGCGCGCGCCGCTGACACGCCGCCGTGCTCAGCGTACGTACGCGACACACACACACACGCACGCACGCGCGCGCCACGCACACACTGCCGCCACCGCGCCCGCACGCCACGCGACACGCGCGCGCGCACACGCACACATACACACACGCGCGCACAACGGCCGTGATGCGCGGCGCACTGGCCGCGCGCGCCGAACCGCCACCACCGCGCGCGCGCTGCACGCCGCCGTGCTCAGCGTACGTACGCGACACTGCATCACGCGCGCGCGCGGACACACGCACGCACGCACGCACGCACACATACACACACGCACGCACGCATACACGAACCGATATCGTATTCGGGCTTACCATTCATTATTTACTCAGAAGAAAAAATAAAGTAATTGTGCTTATTATTGAAAATTGCATTTTTTAAATTTATATTTATATTTTTTAAAAAAATTATATTTTTCTTCAAATCCACATAATGAAAAACAACTAACATTTTGTATTCTTTATAAAGATAGAATTCGTAAAATGAAATTTGTATTGTCACTACGAATATTTTACGTATTATTTTAGGGTTCCGTGATGGCGTGTTCATTCCTGCTGCTGAACGGCAGCAAGCTCAACTTACAGGACGAAGATGGCAAGACTCCACTGCATCTCGCCACTGAAGCTGGACACACGGGACAAGTAATATTTCTCATATTTATTTTAAATGTCTTTCATGTATGTTTCATATACACTATCGGGACTTAACAAAAATTCATGTAGTATTTTTTTTATTTCAGAACGATCTTTTGTGTTAATTTAAAATGTAATCTATTAAATTTAATTCAAACTGTTTAACTGTTTATTGACTATAATCCAATTTAAAAAAACTGTCTAATTGAGTAATGTTTCTAATTCATTTATTGCATGCACAGGTATGCCTCTTACTGCGGTACCGCGCTGATCAATCGATTGTTGACAACGAGGGACAGACGCCCCTTGACATAGCCATCAAACACGCAAACGCGGATATCGTCACACTGTGAGTGCATATATTAGCTATTATAATTATACTGTAATAACAATTAATTATTTTCTAACTAATTAATTATTATCCATCCACTGTTGGACATAGGCCTCCTTCATAGACTGCCATAAGGAACGATCCTGTGCCACCTGCATCCACTGATTCCCTGCAATGATTTTGAAGTCGTCACTCGCATCTAGTGGGGGGTCGTCCTACATTGCGTTTGTTTGTACGGGGTCACCACTCAAGAACCTTTCTTTCCCATCGGTTGTCGGTTCTTCGAGCTATGTGACCAACCTATTGCAACTTCAGCTTGCTTATCCTTCGAGCTATGTCGGTTATATTGGTTCTTTTGCTAATATCTCCGTTCTATCACGCAAAGAAACTTCGAGCATAGCCCTGTTCATAGCCTGCCGAGTATTTTGAAGCTTTTGCATACGGGCAATCGTGTAGGGCTAAGCTATATTTTGACATAAATTTAGCTTGAAACTTACTGTGAAATACCACAATTTTTAAAACAGTGTCCATTAGTAACGAAATGTTATTAACTAATTAAAATCTAGTTTATTAACTTGTTCGACGATTACTGTAGTGCAGTGGTAGGTATGTGGTGCACTGCTTTGTATAAATGAGGTCGTAGGTTCGATTCCCAGTCGAGCCAATTACGAAACATTTTTTTCTGAATTGACCCAGCTTTGGGTGCTTTCGATTGTGCTACCAGGTGTTCGTTGACTGGTTTCTCATAACATATAGTATCCTAGTTTGAGAACCAGCCAGATTTATGTGATTGTGTGGCAATTATTAAAAATCTACCACGTAAATAAACTGAGAAACTATGTTGACTGCAAGTATATCTATACGCAACGGTTACCACTTTCCATCAGGTGGGCCGTCACCTCGTTTGCGATTTTAAGTAGCATAAAAAAAGATATTGAAATAAGCTATACTTGTGAAGGTTGCGCCTGACGAAGCTGAACGAAGAGATGCGCGAGAGTGAGATGTCGTCCAACGACGACACGTACAACGAGGTGTTCCGCGACTACACACAGCTCGCGCACTCGCATCCCGAGCGACTTGTACGTGCCAGGCACAACAATAACGAAGGTATCTAGCGTATATGTTTTTAAAACATTTTATTTATTATTATTAAATCAGCCGTTAACTTTCCATTACTGAACATAGGCTTTTCCCATAACAGGGTTTTACCAATAATTGCCACGCTTGGTTAGGCGACCGCTGTTATGCTTGGTAATGTTTTAAGAGGGATGCTGCTGTCCATTCCTCCACCATTACATTCCCTTAGTTGTCTCTAATGTCACTCACGGGAAGGAAGAGTTTGCCCATTCTATTCCGGGACCACACGGCAATCTTTTATTTAAATTACAGTATATACTAGTTAGTGAATAATTTTCATAATGGCGTCCGTCTCGAGATGGCGCACCTTTTTTTTAATCCCCTTGATAACTTCAACTTATCTGTCAATTTCCAAAAACAATTGAACATTTTGTAATGTTTCTAAAAATACTCTACAAGCGAACTTAAAAGATAAACTAAGTTATAAATTTAGTAGTAAGTTAAAAAATTTTGCACTTCATATTTTGCTTCAGATTTTTTCAAATACATTCTTGCCATCAAAATTTTAATAATCAGTGACAGCTTTACAAAAATATTACTGCATGATTAACGCATTAGTTCGCTGGCTGAGAACTTTTTAAATAATAACTCAGAAGCATTCAATGTTACATGTTCTATGATTTGATAAAAGTTCACATTGTAGAATAATATGAGTACATTGTAATAACCATGGTATCCCAAACTGCCAATGCATTGGTATTCCTGACAATTATGGTGTTATGCTTCCATGCCCTGTATTTTCACTGTTATATCCTATGGATCAAACCAAAACACAGCCATGTAACACAGCTACCTCATGTGGAACAGATTCAACAACTAAAATATGGTTTACTAAATGTTTGTAGTTTTTATGTAGTTCTTATTTTATAAATAATGTATAACTTTTTATTGTTTGTTTGTGATAGGTGAACAACCGAGTGAATGACCAATCAAAAATAACGTGCGGCGACGTTGGCTGTGGTAATTATTCGACGACATCGACTGACTGCCTGCTTTACTTTGTCTAAAATATGTGTTCCGAAAGCCGTTCAGCTTAGTGACACTATTGCGTATATATTTATATTGTTACTCTTTTTAATTGTACCTAATAAACATTGTCTTTCAATTAGACGTCAATTTATTGTGCTTGATTTTAAATCAAAAAGTATTTTAAATATGAAAATTTTATAAGACTGAAGCTTTTCAGTCATTTTAAATTTCGCTGTGTGATTTATAAGTACTGCAGAAATTTGTTCTTTTATATTTTCACGATTGATGACGTTTGCTGAACAGATTTGGATGAAAATTGTGATAGTTTAAACTTTATAGATGGATAGGGCATGTGACGTCATTAAAGAATAACGCGGATGGCAATATTATTACATTTTATTTACACATCGAGTTGATGGTTGCAGCTTTTATATAGCTGATGAAAATCTAGTAACTGTGTATTAGTATGCCTATCCTTCAATAGCATATTTAACAAAAAGTTAAATTCTATAGTAATTGAAAATAACTGATATTCAACTTTTTTAATTTTACTTTTTTTTAGCTATTAGATAATTTTAAAAAATATAGTATTTTTTAATAAATTATTCGACATTTAATTAAGTTATTAAAATAGGACTTGACTATAGAATTATCATTAACCTTTTTAGGCGATTACTAAAGTTTTGTTTTTAATATATAAAATTTTATCTAAAAAATTTCGATTTTTATATCAAGCATAATAATAGTATACATAAAGTGACGTTCATAATCAGTTTATGTTCAACAAAAACTGATGTATAGGTTAATTATAATATTAATATTTTATAATGATCTCCAGTAAATTGTACGAGGCTTTTTAAATATCGTAATCGAAATTTTTCTGTACTCATACTATATATACATGGTTATTATGATTTATTTCGTATACCCAGTCGAGTTTAATAGGCGTTTCATGCTGCGGGCGCAATATTAAAGCACCAGTACGATTTCAACGGCCGAGTTATATGAAATTAATCTTTTGATAATCTCATAAAATGACTTAACCTCTTGATAAAATACAATCATAGAATTTTTTAGTACTATAATGCACATAAGTAAATCAATTAATATATTTTATGCTATTAAGAGGTTTTGTAAGACTGGTTTGTAACATCTAATTATCTACATATAAAAGTTCAAACAAATAGTTCTCAATTACAACGAACTGAGATGATGTAGAAACCATTATTTAAAATATATTTTTTAAATATTTTGAAACACTTGTTTTGAAATGATGCATATAGACGTAAGTCTTGTGCTGTAAACATTTTAATAGTGTAAAATATGTAATGTTGTGGCAGTACTGATTGCTTTCGAGTATTAAATTTTCTTCGAAGTTAAAATAAATATACTAGCGAGGAATGAGCTAATTCCAAATTCGATATCAAATCTGAATGTGTGTAGGTGTGAATACTTGCGTCTGTGTGTGCATATGTACGTGTATACGTGTGCGTGCGTCCGTATGAGTATGTGCGTACATGCGCGATTGACTTTGTTTGTCAGGCAAAAAGATAATTTGTTCGAGTGAAATTGTGTAAAGTTCTTTAATTTAGTACTCTAAGGCAATTGGATTGGGCTTTCAGACTTTGAATTTTATCGATAGCATGTCATTTTTATGATGACATATATATCATATTGAACTTCTCTATTGTATATTAGTCGAATACTGTCTAATATCAGTCGTATTGTTTATCACAGCTGTAATAAATATTAATGGCCATATTTGTTGCATATTGGTGTGATGTATTTATAGCAAACCAAAGATTTGAGTATTCATATTGGAATACATTATAATAACTTTTAATTATTGCTTATTTACATAACGATATAATGGCCTATATTACAAATTATTTTATATAGTTAGATATCAGTGTATGTGAATGTGGCATTATTAATTAGCTTTGAGTAAATTTTTGTATTAAGAAATGAATTAAAGAAGAGATTATTGGCAACGAACACATGAGAAATGCTAGTTATAATCTTTGATGATCTTATATTTATTTGAAATATCAAAGCAGTACACCATTTAGAAGTGATAATCGTTATTTAAACCATAAACAATATTATAGACACCACGTAAGATGATAGAATATCTAACATATATCTCATATGTTTCCTTGTTTATTTAGCATGGCAATAATAATTTCAATCGATTGTAAAAATTTTGTAAGTTTAAAATTTAAATTATACAAAAGTGAAATACCTGATGGTAATTTAATTTAAATTCTAGATATCCAGTGCATGTAAGAATCGAATTATTTAAAGTCCTTAAAAGTGAAATGTAAAATGCCCATTATTTGAATATTGAAAGTTGAAAGTTCGTCAAACTACTTCAAAAAGAAAGTCGTTCATAATTCGATTCAATTTGTATTTAATTATAGTTTTTTTTTTTTTTTATTTATACGGTTTGTTACTTTAGTGTTTGTCTCATTTGTATGAGATATATACTAGCGAGGAATCGGCAAACAGAAATTGTTTTCTATTAATTTTTTAATATTTTTTTTTTGCAGATCATGATTTCTAATTATATTTTCCATCCCCAATTCCATTTAAACTCGCATAACCAACGAACGCCAAAAACACACAACAAAGAACTAATCAACATTCCATATAATATAATATAAAAGCCATCGATTATCTCACTATCATTCCGAAATGATGTTGCATTTGAGTTGTCAATTTGACGATTTGGTTTATCAATTAAATTGAATCTCAAACTATGATGTAGAAATTAAATATTTTTTATTATTATTTTAACATAAGTAATAGATTTTAACGATATAATATAAGTAGGTATTATGACTATTTCCACTTGCCAATTTTTCCTATTAAAATCGATTCTTTTAATTCGACGTATATATTTACGTCATTACGATGTATCTATAAACGAGTATACAATTTTTATACACAGCCTCACTGTTTTGATGAATTTATTATTATTGTAAGTCTAGCTAATACATTGTTAATGTTTACGAAATTGTATGTAATCATATTTGTACGATAAAATGTAATTGAATGTGTTGTTATTTGTTGCCTATAAATTTTGCACCCGTTTTGTTTGCCCTATATTAAAAAAGTAAAATTAAATTGTAGAATGAGAATAATAAATAATATTATCAGAAAGTCTATTTCGTCTATGCCTAAAAATTTAATACATTTTGGCATTGTTACTATGAAGGTTCATATTGCAATATCGATGAATGACGTCGATGCCTACTGTTTGAAACATTTATACATTTTAATGTGTGATGAGATGATTCTAATAATAATAATACGATGAGAGTATTTGACTTGTTGAAATCGAAAAGTGAAAAAAGAATTCCATAAAATGGTTATTTTATGACCCGCTATATATATATATATATATATATATATATATATATATATATATATATATATATATATATATATATAGCAGGTCATAAAATAACCATTTTATGGAATTCTTTTTTCACTATAACCGTAAACAATAGTAGTACAGTACAGTACAGTAGTACATTTATAAAAGTCAGTTTTACATCTACCATTGCATTTGATTTTCCATTTTACTGCATATGAACTTTTTTTTCTTGATCTATCGATTATTTAAAATGGTTTTAACTGAGTAAAATATGCAGAATAAGTAAATCTATAAGAATAAATCGTAAAATATAACAGGTATTAGAAGAAAGTTGTTCGGATTATGTATGTATTATAAGTGGGTAGATGTAAATTAAATAAAATTATTATTCTCTTCATTTAAAACACAATGGTACTTTTAAAGTATTTTACTAAACTAGAGAATAATACATGAAAGTATTATGCGACAATTTTTATTTTACAATTACTGTAATAATATTGGAAACGATGCCATGAGCTGTTTTTTTTTTTTATACATGTCATCTTACCATATAAAGGGTTCTGTTCTAAAATGCTTCGCACATTTTGCAAAAGAACCTCAAACTAAAAATTTCAAAATTGACCTACAAATTCAAATAGGGTTTTGTATAAAGTGGCTTTATTTGTACATTTTGAAACAGATTTTTATTTATTTCTATGTCGCGTAATTTTCTATTTATGATCGATATTTTAAAAAAAATACCAACAATTGTATTCGAAGTTCGTGGAGCTAAAAATCTAAAATAAAGAAGAAAAAAAAAGATTATTCTACCTGAACTACTATTGGTTGCAATACCAATTGTTTAATAATGCATGCAAATTGATATTAAATTGCAAATTATGAATTTATATAAATTAATGAGGTATAGCTCTATGAACCTTATAAAATATATTAAACCGGAATAAATATATAGTATATATATACGTGCAAGGGTAGCACATATACAGAATTTGTGTCATGTTTTGCTATCAATGTTAAACAAACATACCAGTGAATGTATACAATATATGTATTTATAATATTGTACATTAACAAGTCACCTATCTATACAATTCATTCCAAAACGACTGTCTACAGCATTATATGTGCCATTTTCACAAAGGTACATACCATTTTGATTTAAAAAGAAAGATGACATATGTTATTGATATTATCTACTCTTCTATTAAAAAATATGAAATTCTTATAAATGTCTCTTGTTAAGTTATTATAAGATATCTGAAACAATTTACAATTATTCCAGACTATGTTAATACTCTGTTACACTGTTGATGTAAACATAAAATAGATGTGTATTTGAATAAAATAGTTAAAACACAATATTTTTCATTTCACTGCTTATTACAATTTTTATAAATAATAATTTTAAATTTGTGGTCTAGACCTTTTTATTTGTTTATGTAGTTACTGTACTAAATTCCATTTAAATCCGTTCAGTTGAAACTTGATGTAGTAACATTATTTTACATTTAAAATATTTCTGTCTTTTATCGGCAACCTAATTCTCGTGACCCGTATATATAGATTGATTGAGATAAAAAATTTGCCTGTTTTTATCCATCCTAAATCTGTGTGTGTATATCAAATTAAATAATAATTAGTTACAACTGTCAAGGCGCCAAGAGAATAACGATTTTTGTTACAAATGTAAAACATTACTTCTTGTGAGATCATAATTAAAAAATATCTATATATAGTAGTTTGTAATATATCTAGCTATCGTGAGATGGGTGAACGTGTTCCGCTAGACATCAGTCTTATTGTAGGTACCACTAAAACATTTTGCAACGATTTAGTAGTGTTTCGTTAACGCGCGTCTGCATCGCTATTTATAGCTACTTGTCGCATTTGCAACGTGCGACAGAAGCGCTAAATTTCATATACAATCGCGTGGAACAGATTCAGCATCGCTTCTGTGTCGATGCAGAATGTTACGGTGTGCTACTTCTTTAATGTAGGGGAAAAGATTGTTAGTAATGAGTTTTATATTATTTGTGGTAACCGAATCTAATAGCCCCTGTTATGTCGATATTCACGCGGTCCCCCCCTGATAACCATCATGGTAGTATTGTTGAACTCATCACGATGTGTCAACTAACCTGCTTTTGTCCTTATCTATCATCATTCACTGGTGCCCTTTCAGTATATTCTGATAGCGCAGGCAAGCCATTACCATTCTATTTTTACACATTAATAAAAGAGCTCTCTAATATTTATATTATTTTCTTAAATTACTTACCTACAATTTCAATTTGTAACTAGATTTCATTAAAGGTTTCATTAGGAAAATGTATAGGTATGTATAAAAAGAAACTGAATGAAAAACTAAGAAAATTTATTTAAAACTATTAATGACATTATGAAACCAACACCAGTAACATAATTTAATAAAGAGAGAAATTTTTCATTGGTACATATATTCGCATATAAATTGCATTTGGATTATTGATTTTGTTAAAAGGCTAATAAATGTGTATTTATCTATTAGTAAATAATTGAATGGATCGTCAGTATTAAAAATAAATTCATAAAAATTTTGAATCGTAATGATTTTAAATTGTATTGTTTATAGAAAAAATGTTGTCAGTTTGATATAATTGTTAAAAATTCTAATTTCGATATAGCTGTGTTAAAAACCCAATGAAAAATTAATAATAGATTAAAAAAAGAAGTAGGAGTTACAAGTTGATCTGATTCAATTTTTTTTATCCTTATTTCAAATACAGTATGGCCCGCATACTTTAAATTTGAACATGGTTGTCTTGTGACGCTACTACCACGTTCACCTTTCTACTTTACGAAGTAGTAAGATGAACCCAATGTAACAATTGAATCAGAAATACTTCAGCCAATAGTCAACACCTACTTAATTAGATATATAGTTTACAGCAATATACACAACGTGTATCTATTTAATAATAATGCAATACATACTTTAGTAAAAAAAAAATTAAAGAAATGAAATGAAAATTAACAAATGAATGTCCTATACTTTATTAAATTAAAATTAATTTAATAAAGAATACGACATTCATTTGAAAATAGCAATTATAGGGCTAATCAATTTCCAGGGTCAAAAGCAATTATCGTTAAAACCGTCGCGTATTATGTGCAAGAAAATACCAGCACATCAAAATCTTAAGTACATAGATGTCTACAAACAATATAGCCAATATAGCTTATGTCATGAACTCTACTGACCAATATGCCTTTCATATGGAATGAATCTATCTTTCATATGGAAGGAATCTATCCTATATCCAATAGTGTGTCAAAACATGTCATCTGCTTGTAGACTACTTTAGACGTTCAACTTTAAATATAGTTTAGTTAATTCCGAAGGATGACCACAGAGCGGAGTGGGAAAACGAAGCTGAGGCGACGGATGGCGAAGGCGAGGATGCAGTGAGATTGGATGAGGCGTTGCGCGCCAGTTCCGCCATGTGGCCAACTGCTGGGGAGCCCAGGAGCAGAGATGGTGGTATGCGTCTTCGTGACGACAGACTTCCCATAGAGCGGTCCGAAGCTAAAAGAGAAAATATACATTAATTGATATCAATGGCCTATTTAACATCAAACAAGTAAAATCGACTAATGAAGTGTTAACACAGTTAATGAGGTGTATTTTGAAAAATTGTTTAACTTTGATGCTGACGTCTTTTAACAGCATTTTGCTTGGCTTCATCAGAGTTTATCTCCATACCTCAGATTAGAACTTAAGTGATCATATATCTCCTCTATCATTTCTGGATCGTTTGATCTATTCAAGGTATATTCTTTTAAAGCGCGCCATTACTAAGTGAGTTTCATGCCGAAGTTTCCCAATGAACCACAAAATAAGATACTTAAAAAAAATGTGAAAGTATTTTACCAGATCACTTACCATCTGGTAAATTATGGGCTTGTATGTCATCTCAATGGTATAAAAAAAGGTATAAAATATCATGATGTTATTGTCATAATAATATAATACTTTCAATAAGTTATATCCTATTATGTACTACATACGACTTCTCACTGATGCTTGTGGTGTGGCCTAGGATTACAACTTTACAAACTATGGAAGACAATTGAAACATTGTGCATCAGTATCACCACCACATCACAAAAATTTTTAGTTACCGGTTATAATTTAGGTCGTTACATTTTAGTTAACTTCTATTAAATTACCAGTGTCCATATTCTCGGGACAGTATTTGATGGTGTGCGCGCGGTCGCCGGTGGCGCCACACCGCGGGCAGCGAAAAGCACGTAATACGGGGCACAGCACGCGACCACGCCAATCCTTCAGCGCATGCGACGAGTAGCATTCTTCATTCTCGCCATTATTTTTGCAAAATGCGCATTCCTTATAAAATAACCATATAATTAGGTACATTTATTATTGTTGCAGAGAAACTGGTAGCAGTTTTATTGTTTGTATGGGTATCATATTATATTTTACCCGTTTGCGTTTTGGACATGTTGTGAAAGATCTATGAATTTGTTTTTTCTTTATAATTGTAATATACATTAGTCTTACCTTGGATTTATATATGGTATTAAACATTATAAAAATTAATATCACTTACATCATCGACATTATAAAATAAGTAAATAATGTGTGCAATTCCGGACACCTTTCATACATACGTTGTTAATATATAAAGGGAGCCATGGAGTACATAGTATTTTCTGTAATGCCCGTGGTATCGTTGATGCTTATATTTAAGACGATTACAACTTTCCATCTAACTGGATTAGAATGTTAGTTTTCCCTACAGCGGTGACCACAAGGCATTACATTAATAAATCCTTAAATACCATTCTGACAGGATTGTGATATAGTCTCAGAGGTAGCGACAATGCGTTGACATAATTTAATAATTCACAACCCTAATTGTTTGTATAGATATCCGCTGCTAACTACCCCTGTACTGAGGGAAAAGGGATTATCTATGATGAGCCACATGACCTGCCTTCATCCTCTCCTATCATCTATCACTGGTGCCCTGCCAGCATTGATAGTTTAGGTAGGATTACCGTTCCATTTTCAACCATTAAATATAAACTATTCCTAAAGAAAAAGGTAAAATTTTTTTAACTCAATTGTTTCTTAATTACCTATATTGTTTACAAATACGTCATAAATACTGAATTATATGGGGTTCTATCACATCACACGAGGTACAAAAGTTTTAATTACATAAAAATAGAAAATAATATCTCACGTTAGGCAATGCACGTCTCATCCGCTTATCACTGCGCACTTTGGCCACTTCTTGTAAAAACTCGTATAGAAGGGCTGGGCGTATCGAGCGTAGCACAGCGAGTTGTTCACGGGTCAACATTGAAACATAATTGTTAGCTGATGATAGACCTGCAATACAAATTCATAACAAAACATATGTATAGGTAGATAATTTTCTACCTATATATTTAAAAAATTCATTTATTTCTAATTAGACAAGGAAATTATTAATCAAAAATGGTCGTAAAAATATGCTCACGATTATTATTCCTAATAGGGTAGTCAAAGTTAACCGCCTATATACCAATAAGAAAATTCGTAAGAGCGTTGGCCCCGAATCCCTTCTATGCCACACCATACTTAAGTTCAATTCTTCCACTTAGAAATGTTTTAATTACACAGTACATTATTACTGAATTTTTTTTTTATATTTTAATTTTTCTCCAATGTTCTTAGGACTTAATGGCAAAAATCAATAGCCCATACTCACTTTTCATCAGAAAATCAAATGTATCAATAATCTCCCCATTCCTAGAAGCTCCCATTGTGGAATTGTCCATCCACGTGTTAGTTTGCGCAGACCCCATAGACTCTGGCCTGCTGGTACCTGTATGTGTTATATAATGATTTGATTTCATAAAGCCTGTGATTTTTTTGTATAAAATTTTGATTATATTAAAATTATAATTCCAGATACATTCTCTTGACCTGTTCATATTACTTTTAAAATAATTTTAATACTTCATTAATCTCTTTGAAGAATCTATTTATTTAGCAACACAAATTATACAAATCCAACTCCAATCATGCTTCCTTAGAATTATTTTGAATTTCTATACTTGTGTCGAACATGTAATATTAATAAATGCGAACTTACCCGTAAAGTAGTTTGCGTTCTCATCAAATAACATATCATTGCCGTTTATACGGTAATTCATAAAAACCTCATCAATTTCAGCAGCAGAGGGCGCTAGTGAGAAAAACAAGAACATAATACATTTGTTACTTATAAGTTGTTTTACGCAGCTTTCCTTACACAATATTTACTTCTCATTCCCTTGATTTTCGATTCATTTTTTTTAAAGCCTCTTAGTACTTACTTAGGACATATAAGGAGCTCTACACAAAATTTTAGATCATGAAATGTTGTATAATTAGTCATTTTGACTATCCAATGAACTGAAGTATATTGTTCTATACGTGGAGTGAAAAATGACTGCATCTCATGAGACGAGTTATGAAAGTGCATGAAGAAAGAGATGCATATAAGGCGTTTTGCTTTTGGCTTTCTAGCTATCCCACAAGACAAGAAAGTTGCAAATTCAAACTCTAACTTTATTCAACTATTTGAATAAAGTTAATAAACATGTCTATACCTTTTAAGTCCTTTTAAGTCGTAATTTTTTATGAATGCAGGGTTCGAAAAATTTTTATCTGTTGAGAAGAGCCCGCAAGTAACTCAACAATTACTTTTAAATCTCTGTTAACATTATATGTATTTATTTAAACTACATGGTCGTTAAAAGCCCGTGCATGATTGACTTATATCTTGCACATTTGTCACTCAAGCGATAGTTGTGTGTATAGGCTTTGTTCAATAAGTGTTTTTTAATAATAGTTTTAAACTTTTGAAAAGACATCTCAAATATTCTTCGGTATCTTATTATAACGTTTAATACTCATTCCCATAAAAGATCTACTAAGTTTCTCTAAACGATACTTCGGAAAAGCAAGTTTGTATTTGTATGTAGTGTTAAGATTATTCATTGCCGTTTTTGAGAAGCAGTTGAAGATTTTGCGTATATACAAAATGTTTGCAAATATGTAAACTAGTGTACTTTGCTTCCTTAATTTTCTCTTTTAATGATTTACGACTTCCCATCGAATAAAGCGCGCGAATAGCACGTTTTTGTAATAGAAATATGCTTTGGATGTCGGCTGCTTTACCCCATAATAATATCCCTTAGGACAGAATATACTATGAAATTAATTAAACAAATCTAGCAGATTCAATATTAGTATACTCTTTAACCTGCATGAAGAGGGAGGAAAGTGATTGTTAGTGATTGATCGAAAAGTCTTATTGCAAGCAATACACGTTATCCGGTCGACCTCCACGCGGTTCCCCCTGGAAACCATCTTGATTAATTCTCTATGAATTCGTCACTATGGGTCAATTGACTCGTTTCATAATTATTTATAATCACTCACTGATGCCCCGCTAGCGTATACCGATAGCGCAGGCGGGGTTACCATTCCAATATCACCCAATAAAAATAAAAACCATACCTCACTTGTGCACCGCCAGCGTATACCGATAGCGCAGGCGGGATTACCATTCCTTTCATACCCGTTAAAAAAAAACCTGTGTGAATGTATGTATAGATATTGAAATATATTTCACATACCTGTATCAGCAGCCCGCGGCTCCTGTTGAGCTAAAATGTTTAGTAGTTCATTTCCGCCACGAGTTTGAAATGATGAAGCCAAAGGTGAAAATACGCTCTCTTGGCCACTCTGCGCAGTCCTATTATCACTAGGAGTGAAAATTTCCTGAACAGGAAAAATACTTTTATAAATAAATGGTAAATGTTTTATCAATTAACATCAATCGGGGGAAAGGGATTGTTAGTAATGGAGACTGAGAATCCTATTGCTAGCAATATACCCAACCAGGTCGACCTCCTCGTGGTTCTCCCTGGAAACTATCATGGTTAATTCCTAATGAACTCATCAGGACGGGCTAACTGGCTTGTTTTCATTCTCATCTATTACCCTTCACTGGTGCTCTGCCAGCGTATTCCGTTAGCGCAGGCGGAGTTACCATACCATTTTCACCCATAAAAAAAAAATAAAAAAAGCTAGCAGTCGTGGTCGGGGAACGGGACGGAGCAGGTTTAACAGGAACATAAGATTTAACAGTCTCATTAGTAGCAATATAACCTAACAGGTCGACCTCCACGTAGTTCCCCCTGGACACCATCGTCATCACGATTGTTTCCATTGTTTTAATCCATTAAAAAAAGCAACAATAATCTTAAGGGATTGTTAGAAATGTAGTCCCATTGTCCCATTGCTAGCAATATACCCTGTAAGATTGACCTCCACGTGGTTTCCTCTGGAAAATTCCAGATATATATACAATATTATCCCCGACTGGTGCCCCGTTAGCGCAGACGGGGTCACCATTATCATCGATTAAAAAAAAATACATAGCCATCGTTTAAATATACAAAAAAAAATTACAAAATTGTGTTAATATCAATTTTAGAGTGAACACACATCGTTTCCACTTAATTTTTATATAAATATTAATACTACATACATATATATCATATCACTTTATTAGAAATTGTAACGAAATGTAGGGTAGAAAGATATAATCGTGATGTTGTTCGCGTGGCGATTTTTTATGTTTTTCCGATGAAAAAGAGACAATATTAGTACATTGAAAGGTACATGTAGAAGCAGGTATCGAGTCATCAAAATGCATCCTACAATTTGTTAGTAATGGTAGTGTGGTAGTAATGGATAAGTAAATTCGAGATATACTATAAAAAGTTACATTGTCAGTGGGTAGTATTAAAAAAAATACGAAGAGAGAATCACTAGTGTAATGTTACATTAATAATTAAATCAACGTGGTAGTAAACCCTATTGATCGTTAAATAAGTATCCAAATCACTTAATTTAATTTAATATTATAAAAAGAAAAAAAAATCAGAATAGATAAACTTGAAAATTATTTAAACCGTTTTAAAAAATCACCTACAGAAAGTAACCCATATCATGTAATATGGGTTGTGTTTTATTTCATATGTAGTACTAAATCAATGAAGAAGAACTGAGAAACTACCTTCTTTTGCAAGACTTATTAAATACATATTTTAGAAACTTACAGCGGTTACTGTAGCTTTTGTGTCCGTAGCGGTGGTAAATATTTGTTTCGAATCTTCCATTGCGTAATTATATTCAATAGAATCCATTGAAATTTAAAAAAACAATTATAAAGAAAAAAAAAAACACTAAATAACAGGCAGCAAAATATTAATCTTTGCTACTGCGTTGCCGTCGACAGAAAGAACGTTCTAGGCCAACCAGTCACAATTTATACAAAAGATGCATTTCTATATTCATAAATGTAGGTATGTAGTAAAACTATTCATCGGCAACAAAGTAAAACAAAATTTTTTAACTACCCTCTTAAACATATTGTTAGAAATTCCACAATAATATCGGTCTTATTTAATGAGGAATAGGTCTACGTTTCGTAAAACAAAAAATGAGGTATCGAAGAATCTAGTTACTGTCGTTTTCTACATCTCTATGTTATAAGCTTAGAGTTATAAGTATAAATACAGAGCACTCAATATTTGTATCAACAGAACATAGTGAAGATGTTAATAAACGAACAATTGACATGATTATAAACAGAAAGAGAAACCTTAATACAGAATTATAGACTAAATAGATATTTTTAAATATACTGTCAGATCCACATTTTGATATGGCAAAATCTTTAATTGCTGTATTTTTATATGAATAATTTCCTCTCTTTTATTACGTGAAATAACTAAGTAAGATTTAGGTATGATGGACCTGACATTAAAAGCCTTTAAATCAGTGTTTTTCAACCTTTTCATGACACGACTAACTCAACCATTCGCTTTGTTTTCAAGTATTTTATAATGTTACAAAGATGTTGTAGGACTATATACTTCAATCCATACATTTTTATGCATTTGCATAATTAAGTTTCGAATAAATACAGAATTAAATTACTGACAAGCAAAAGCAACCTTCGCATTAACACACAGATAAAAAATTTATTTGATGCAAGAAAAACGATAGTTTTTTCTTTGTACAACTTAGAATGGAAAATCAAGCTGACGGCCCACCTGATGGAAAGTGGTAACCGTCGCCTATAGACATGAGCAGTACCATGGACATAACAGATACCCATGATACCCCCATGTGTTGCCATTCCTGACGACTCAGACGTTATTCCTCTGTACCCTGTAAATTCACGCCATATCCCACCCTTCAAACCGAAACACATCCATGCAAACACAACTGCTTCACGGTAGAAACACGAATGGGACAGAGGTACCCAAGCAATCGACTTTTGTACAAAGTTTTCCTCTGGTAGATCTTGATGCGAGAACATAATTTTGTAGAATTTGATTGTTTTACATGAAGAAAGAATCTTGAATCAAGGAAATTTCATTAAAACTAAGAAAGTTTACTTGATTCAACAATTTTTTTGATGCAAAACAATAAAATTCTTCAAAATTACTTTCTTGGGTCAAGTTAATTTTTTACCCGCACATGGACAAATCATAAGGTTTTTTTTTAATTTGTACCTAATTTTGTTACCTTTTAATTTGTATATACGTTTAGTTACTATTATTCTTAATAAATCTATCTTTATAACCTTGTTTTTTTACTGAGGTTGTTTTCGTGACTCTACTATTATTTATACTATCCTACCTTACACTACCCTACTAATACTTATATAGTAATAATTTAGTAATAGAATGTTTATAAGAATTTAAATAAAACTTGATACGAAGCATAACCACATGTATTGTATTAAATATGTTTATGAAAGCATTATTGAAGGTATTTACAAAATTTAACATAGGATATTATCATCGACGTTATAATTTCGTACTACTGCCCATTGGTCCCTCTATGGAGAGGGGTCCATGGTTTATATGCATAAGAAATGAATATTGTAATATTATAATAACAATGATAATTGTCTATAAAACTTTTGATACAATACTGATCTGTCGACTTAGTAGATATAGGGTTTTATATTGAGATTTTTTCTCCTTTGACTTCTCCATGACATGCTGAAGGTGAAACGTAGGTAGATGATAATTAATATTTCTTAAAGATATATAATTCAAAAAACGATAAATTATTTTAGTCTCTTATTAAATACAACACGTCCAGTTGTTATGTTAGTACGGGAACTCACTTTTTCACTTTTGTCGTTTTCATCCCATATTTCTTTAGGATTTTCCATACATTCAGTTTCAGTCCCATAGAAGTTTGCTAATGATTTCAATTTTACCATGTATACAATCGATAAGTACCAAATTATCATGGTAAATAATAGTAAATGGAAGTAGCACAAGTAGTTCCTGGTTTTAGGAGTGACCGACCCAAATAAACAACATTCGGTTGCGTTATTGTGGTATTTTCCACAACATTATCTATAGTGAAGTATAGGCAAGCCATGCAATATTGAATAAGGTTATTGAACCAAAGTACCGGGCTATTATAATGTAAATGATAAAATTCTTACGGGACGGACAATAATCCTCCCGATTGAAAATAATATAATCAATTGTAGTTGACGATTCGCGAAGGTACTATGTCCTAATATAAAATACAGGAGGGAAAGGGATTGTTAGTAAATGGGGTCAAATAGCCCTATTACTAGCAATATACCTTGCCAGGTCGACCTCTACGTGGTTCCCCCTGGAAATCATCGTGGTTAATTCTAGATGGATTCGTGAGGATGGGCTAATTAACCTGCTTTCATCCTCATCAGACGTCTATCACTGGTGCCCCGTCTGTGTATACCGATAGCACAGACCATATCATTATCATCCATTAAAATATACAATACAGTGTTTTATTTATATAAAAAAAAGTTATTTTCGAAAAGAAAACTGTTAATAATCTAATTTAGTTACACAATGATATTCAAAATATACTCAAAGAACAAATGGAATTTTTATGTTCGATCAGCATTTGGTTGCCTATTTATTTGTTTGTCTGTTGTAATCAACCGAGTTCAAAATTAAGGAAATTCTCAATTCGGTTGTATTTTTTTATGTTTCTTGTATTTGTATCAGCCGTTAACTTTCTATGGCGAAAATAGCCTCCCCCATAAGGGGAGTTTTGCCAGCAGTTGTCACGTTTAGCAGGTGAGTTAGCAAATTGGCTTTTGGTGAAGTTTTAAAAGGGACGCTTCTGCCCATCTCTCAACCATAACGGGAAAGGAAGGGGTGTTTACAGTGTTATTTAAGGGGTGTGTAAAGGGTGTATACACCTACACGGCGTTTTTTATGTTTATTATTTCATAACTCCGCCAGTTTCAAACTGGTCTGGATATTTTTTTTTTAAATCCTTTTAATATCCTTTTAATATGTACAATATTGGCCATACTACAATACTGCCGTGTGGTCCCTGCATAAAATAGGCCACCCCTTCTTTTCCTGTAGGTGGCGTAAGAGGCGACTAAGGGAACTTAATGGAAGAGGGATGGGCAGCAGCGTCAGCAGCTAACTGCGGTTGCCAACCCGCGTACCAAGCGTGGCAACTACTGGCAAAACTTCCCTAAAGAATGACTTATATTTAGCATTGGACAGTTAACGCCAAAGACGATAATAATAATGATGTGCAGATTGGTGCCATGGAAGTTTTATTAAAATCTATTCTGTAGTTTTGTAATCAAGGTAACTTGTTATGGCACAACTGAAGCCAGTTTTTTTGTGGAAGATAATCTTAAATTATTATGTAAATATCTACGCATAGATATTAAATAATTTTATTTTTATAAATGAGTGTAGTAAATTTAAAAAATCCACATAAAATAATAGCCTAAATGGTGCCAAAATTAGTATGAATATGACATGAAAATAAATCCAATCGATTGCAAAGAATTATTAAAATCGGTTCTTATCATTATATTAAATTCTTTATGGTATGGACATGTATGGGTATAATACAAGAGACGAAAGAAACAAAGAAATACAACATTCAATTAGCATTTATTTTGTCCAACATTCAATTTTACAGAATGAGTCTAATTAATTCATCTAGTAATACGGTTTTATTATGTCAAAGTGATTAAACACTATAATAAATCTAGCTTCACTTATAACTAAGACATATCATTATATAAAATTGTTAGAAAAAAATTATATAAAAAATAGGAACTTCAAAACGACGCGCTTATTCATTATTGATCAGCAATAAAAATGTCGGATAAAATTATACATATATATATATTCGGATAAAATCTAATAAGTACTCTAGCGATGTGATAATATTAAATTAATGAATTATGAACTATAAATAACTTATAAAATTAAATGATTTCTAAAAGGCGGATTCAATGAATAATACCAATTTAAAACTATATTTTGCTATTAGAATTGATTGACGAAGTAGGCATTATTTCTCATTATCAACAAATCTAGTCGTATGTTAAATTAAATCATCACCGTAATAGATCAGTCAATGCCTTTTTGTATATCGTCAGATCAGATGAGCCGTAGTAAATATAAATAATAGTTCAGGATCAGACCAGCCCGTATCATTAAAATTGAAACATGTTATTTGATGTTTTTAGTATCATTCGCAACGGAATTAATATTAGCTGAGGAACTGAAGAAGCGACGTCAGTCAGGTCTGTGCGGGGGCCGCAGGCTCCCAGCGCGGCGTGCGCCCGCTATCTGTCGGACTCGTACTCCTCCTCCTCGGTTGGTGGCGGCCGGCACCGGTGGATGTACGCGTTCACAGACGTGTCGTCTTCGTTAACCTGACACACCGTATCTGCACTACACACGCAGCTGTAACAAATTACCTTACCATTATTGGATGACTACTACTGTAGAAAAATGTTGAGGTTAATTTTCTATAGACCAGATAGAGACAGTCATAGAATAACATAAAAGGCAAATAATTATACACAAAAAAAATACACAAAAATCTAGATATTTCTGAAACTTTATCCAAGCATTTGAAATAGTATTTGGAATAATATATAGGTAGTGGAGACAGTAAGTTTGGTAGGATTTTGTATTTATATAGATTGCGATTTTACATAGAATATACTATTAAAATTAATAATTGCATTAAATTGTTCGTACTTTACTATTTTCATTCTTAATAAACTAGAATATCTTTTCGTTATAGTAAAATAATCAATTCATTATAGCAACTATCATATAATCATCATCATCATTTCAGCCATTAACTATTCCTTACTAAATATGGGTCTGCCCCTATTTTTGTTGCCAGTCGTTGTCACGTGAGGCAGATGGGTTTGTAACCGCAATTGGGCTTTGGTTATGTTTTAAGAGGGACGCTGCTGCCCATCTTTCGACTATTAAGTGATCCTAGTTACCTCTTACGATCACAGCTGTACTTGCATTATATAAAAACTAGGATAGATTATCATTAAATTTGATATGAAAATTTAATACTTGAATCAATATATCAATACTTGTTACTGCAATAACTTATTCTTATGGAAAATACAAAAATTATGAAAACGACTGCTTACTAAGAGTTTGTCAAGTTTTGTGTCAAGTATTTCAGGCCAGGCTTGTAAATAGACCATGCACACGGTGTCTGTGGTTCACATATAAGCCGCTGCGTTGTTGTCGATATGGGCTCCTGCTGATCTTCCGTGTTTACAGCTCGCTAGAAAAAAAGAAATAGGTACAGATTTTTTTTACAATACCTAAAGTGGCACAGTTGACAGTCCATTTGATGGACATCACATTACTGTACCGTGTCGTACATAAATTCTGATAATTTACAAATATTGAGGGTCAATTAATATTTATGCATAATACCGAACCGGTTTATAAATACAGTGATCTACTGTTTTTGCAAACTATTTTATACCTATTATATTGGTTTTATTTGATCATTCAATGCTTCAATTATATCTATACAAGTACATGATAAAAAAATATGAACTGAAAACTTTAAAACGCAAGGTAGGTATACCTGTGTATCATGGCTAGTGAAAAAAGCTTACATCAAAATTTATAATCGTATTACCTGCTATAAAATTATTTATTCTTCATTTTTTATTCAAATAAATTAAAAATAAACAAGAATTAAAAACAAAAAAGTCCTCTAAGCTTATCAAACTAACCTACTCATTACGAGTATATTTAAAATAAGAGATTTTGAATTATTTTTATAAGGCAGCCTACCAAGTAATAGATAACATTATTTCAAAGGGCAGTTACGACGAACTCACTATCTAAACACAAAGTTCGAATACCTAAGTGCGTCAATGTTACTACTTAGAAGTTCACAATGTTTTAATCAGTGACTACACCAATGTTTACAACACATATCTGTACTAATATTATATAGAGGAAAGATTTGATTGTTTGTATATTTGTTTGTAATAGATACGATTCTGAACAGACTTACTTCGTTTTATATTAACATATAGTTTCTGATACTAAACAAATTTTGTTACAATTGAAGTCAGATTTTGGAAAAAAAAATTAAAATAATAAAATTTCGGGAATGGCAAACAAGCTTTGATGCTTCACGATAAAAACAAGCAAGAATGGTGGAAAGAAAGAACATACCGCCTGTATGTTACGCACCTATATAACGAAAACTTACTACCAGTATATCTTTTTACTTTGTTATAATATCAAGAAATTATTGGAAATCATTTTGTATATTGATAACAACAAATGTATCTATTTCATAAAGGATTCAACCTCTAATGGGTTATCAGGGAATACGATAGTACGCGCGCCCTTGAACGTATCCGCCGCGCCTCACCCACTCGAAACATGAATGAATTGAATGGTAGCGATGCTAATGACGGTTAAAACAGCACGTGGAAGGACAAACAGGAACTGTCCGAGGCACTACGGTCGTTGACCACTATGTTTGTTGATCAACTGTCACGTATAGTTAGGCCTCCGACATACCAAATCACGGGGTGTGTGACTCAGCGTGCGATCATCAGAAATAGAATCTTGTGGTGTTGCCAAATTTGTATTGGACAGGTCGTAATTCCAGTAACTGTTTGGGGCCCAAATTAAACGTGGAAAATGTTTGTGAGCGCCTTGCGTGATATTCTAGTTTTGAGAGATTATAAATATGTTTTCAAAGGGTTTTAAAATTAATAAAAATGGTCCCACGAAATAATGAATAATACTGTCATTTAAAATAGAAAGACGACTTTGAAAATGGAAGGATGGAACGAAGGGAAAGATAAAACAATATATATGAAAAGAAGATTATCTTTATGCTGTGATAAATTAAATAGCAGAATGGCTAACAAATAATGGAATAAGGCTAAAGGGATGACAATCTATGAGATAATAAAATAATACAAGATTAATTATTTTCGGGGTATTGATTTCGAGGACCAAACGTCTTTTCATTTCAATAATTTTATCTACTAATGTATCAAAGATAATGCTAGTATTATATCACTAACATAAGCAATTACATTATCTTACTAATGTTACAGTGATTCAAATAGACTCATTTAAAATAATATTTCGGTAACAAAAAGAATTATGAAATCTGATTCAGATATTCAAAGATCGAGTAATATGTATATGAACGCAAAAAGAAACACATACGATTTGAGAATCACCTATTATTGCAATTCCTTGAAAAATAGACTTAAAGTTACGATTGTTTTAATGTGTTTCACTTTTTTATTAAATATAAATTTAGAGATAAGCATAAGTATACATAAAGTAGTTACCGACTTTATGCTGTTATAGCCAATCATTCTGAGTATTAGGTTATAATTATTATCTGAAATATTAGGTTACTAAATTATAAAATTACTTAATACCAATAATAATTTAAATACTACTTCACAATGAAGCTAAAATTGGTTAAGAAGATTTTTAAAGATTATTTGAGAAGTTTACCAGCCAAATTTAAAGTACTATAAAAGAATTTTAGTTATTACCAATAAATCTTAGAATATAGTGTTTAAGGGTGTTTGTGAGTTCAATGATACAATTGAATTGAATAACATAGAATAGCAAGGTTACCCACATGACAAGACACCCTTTCATTAATACTAACAATAGTTTTGATGCTCCCTGGTATAGCGGTTTAAGGAACTCGGCATCAGTGACATTTTATGTAATTTCTGTCCATTTATTACTTATTTTGACACACAACAATCGATAAATTTATAGTTACATTTTAATATTTCTTATGTAAAAATAGACAACAAGTGCGAAAACTAATACGATAATAGAAGCTAATGATCTTGTTGACATAATTAAATAAACTCATAGATACAGAAAGAAAAAACCCAAAACAACATGATAACAAATCACAATTTAATTTTTTTTTTAATTAAAATTGTATTAAATCTTCAATATTAAAATTACAACAGTGTCAAATTTAGAATACGATAGTTTAGTTATATTTAACAACAACTTAAAGACTCTAAAGGATGTTAGTTTGAATCTGAGTTAATTTAAATTCTGACTAACTTTCCGAGGATGGAAAATATCCTTAATGAATCAAATTAATTCAAGATACTGGGATAGGCTCGCAGCTTGTCACGTTAGGTTTGAATATATGGGGATTTGAGTCAATTATTGCCTTTGACTATATCATAAAAGATTGCAGTCGCAGAAGATATTTATTTTTGTTTTAAATTAATTTATTATTATAATTTAATGCTTAATTTATTCTAAAATAATTTACTTTTATGTTTGCCTTTTATTACCTTCTAGCGAAGAAAAGCGAAGATATTTTTTAAGTAGTAACAAATCTAATACTATAAAATTCTTATAAAAATCTATTAAATAAATAAACACCGTGACGATGAATTTATTACATCTATAAAATAATAAGATACGCTTAAATGTAAAGTTCACAAAAACAACATTTTGAGGTGGGTGTTCACACGTCGTGATCAAACCTTTATCATTATTTATCAACCAGTTGACTACGTATATATACTTAGTTAGCTTAGGTATTCAATGAATTGCACGAATCTAAATTCGGAGTATCATTCTTCAATGTTGTAGATAGATACCTTATGCATTCGATTCATATAGATATATAGATTCGATACAGATATACGTTCTTAGATATTGTAATATAATCGCATTATTATCGGGTTTGTTAATGCGAAGTAAAAAAAATTGATATTAACAAAATTAGAATGGGACCATATTAAAATATCAACGTTTAATTAAAAAAGTATGATGTAAATTGCCACAGAAATCAACAAAACAAAAAAACATTGTACCAATAAAAGTGACAATTTAAAATTCTAGAAATATAAATGGCTAGTTGCACATATTTTGAAGTTGAATAAAATTAAAATCAGAGTTATTGTCGATAATGAGCAACCGGTTAAAAAGTTACTTTTAGAATTTAACCCTAACTAACTAGTGATGTGAAAAAAAGCTTTGAAAAAGAGAAAGGTTCATATACTGAATAAAACAGTTAGAGGGTAGTACAAAGAAAAACAAGAAAAACTTATTCATATAGAAATAGAGAAGAAAATGCCAGACTATTTATTACAAATCTAAGATTTTAAAAATACTAGTTGACACGGTAAACGTTGTTTTGCCCCTATAGGTCACTTATTGGTATAAAAACTATCATATCTCCAAAGTTAGAGTAAACAATATATATTTATAAAATGTCATGATAATCGGTTAAGTAGTTTGAAAGATTAGCGTGAACGAACATCGTGATATGGGATTTTTGTTTTTTCCTTAATAATCTTTTTGAATTATTTCAAAAAGGAAGTTTTCAATACGCCTGCATTTTTCTTACGTTACAATCGACTGATATGATTGAATGAACCGATTTTAATAATTGTTTTTGCATTCGATAGAGATTAGATTTCATTTATGGATCAAAATTAAAATTATACAATAACTTTTCACATTCTTATTTTAATTTAGATATAGGTAGGTAGTTAGATACTAAAAAAATAAAAGCACGTTTGTATAAATTACACTAGAAAATTTAAAAAAAAGTATTCTTTTTAATATTTTACTTTTAGTAATCGATTAAATGTAGTGAATAATTAATAAAACTAACACATCCTACCATATCAGCCGTTTATTGTCCTCTACTGAACATAGGCCTTTCTCTATTGGGGGATTTTGCCAGTAGTTACCATGCTTGGCAGGCGGGTTGGCAATCGCAGTTAGGCCTTGGTGTTGTTTTAAGAGAGACATTATTGCTTATCCCATGACCATTAAGTTCTCTTAGTCGCCTCTTATGACACCCATAGGAAATAAAAAGGTGGCCTATTCTACGCCGGGATCATACGGGACGGAATGGGGAAATGATAATAAGATTAAGTGATAGATTAAGATATAAATTAAGTGCTTAATATATACCTACTTCTATACTATTAGGCGGACATTAAGTATGGCTTTTGGGCAAGTAAAGTAAATAATGTAGTCAACATTTTTTAAGATTCCAAATATGACGGTATGACTAAATAATGAACCACTGGGTTCTGTAAATTTGATTTAATATTTTGAAATGTTTAAAGACATAAATGCTTATGAGTAAACTTTCATATTTAAAGGATACCTATGATATATTACAAAAATCTTAGATTAATGGAGCATACACAAAAAAAATTACGCAGTACTTTATTATATCTTACAAATATGTGTCATATTTACTAACATGACCCCAGAACATTGTTTGTTTTCACTTCAGTAATATCTTTCTTACGTATGCAAACAAAAGCGTTATCGAACCAGTATATTTACTTATTCAACTTTCGTCACAATTATAATTTAATTAATTTGAGACAAATAAAGTATTTCATGGAATTATTGCTAAAGGATGGCATTCTGTCAATTATTCACGATGCGATATTTACATTTAGTGAGCGAGGTTCAATATTATTTTCGTTCAGTTTAGTTGCAATCGTCGTTTATTTATGGCGACGCGAACGCATGAATAGGGTATTCGGGGATGAGAAATTTCGTAGTGAGTAACATTAATATATATTCCACATTGAAAGAATGGTTTGAGCTCGTGGTACCTAATTTTAAGGCAATCGGAGCCATCCATAATATCTTGATAATCAGCAATGGCAACACAAGGATGGTATCATAGATGGATAGGTTACAGTAAATTCTGTGATGTAAATAGTGCTGTTCATGTATTTAAACGATGGTTACCATTTTCCATCAAGTGGGCCGTTAGTTTGTCTGCCGTTTTAAGTTACATAAAAAACTATAAAGTACCACCATAACCGAAACGTAACACGGCGTTGTCACTTTATATATTTCACTGAATATACTCGTATATCCCTGAATTGCAATCCTGAAAAAATATAATTTAGAAAGTTTATGCACTCACCCGTTCCCGGCTCACCATAGCTGCAGCGGCGAGGGCGCAAAACGCAAGCAAAAACAATGTTCCTCGCGCCATATTCTCACTATATGCGGGTATTTGAGTATATGATGTTGTGGAGACAATCACTAAGAGGGATCGTTGCGAAGTGTCGGCAGAGAGTAACCGCTCACATTATATATGTAGACTGAGTGCCCCGCGCACCTCGCCTCGCCCGATCTCCGCGATTTACAAAATCAAGCTATAATAACGAGATAATTTAGGTATTGGTAATTAAATTACATGAATGGATTTTAGATAAAAACACATGTGGCGTGGGTCATATTTGTAAACATCTTTATTAGTGTAGGCCTGTGTAGGCATATACAAATACAACGACATCAACGAGCGATGATCCAATGATAATGTTATGCTTATACCAATTAAATTAAATTATATTCAGATATATAATTATTTTCTATTGAAAATGAGCAGTTAAAAATATCCAGGTAAATCTAATATACAATCAATAATCGATACAAAATGGTAATGACAAATTATCTCACAATTTTATTTTTAATCTACCTACCAATAAAAACAAGATATAAGAAAAAATATAAATTCTAAATACTGTCCTATGTAGACAAATAAATAAATGATTATTGAAATAAACAAATAAAAACAATATGATTTTATACATAAGTACATTTATATCAAAATTAAAAGTCATTATAATTCTTACTGCTGTCTATTGCTAGAATAATAATTTAATTTTTGAGTTGTTATATATTTAACCTACTATGATATCAATACAAAACTACAGCTCTATAATGCAACATTTATTGTAATCGCTTTATAAATTGTGTATTGATTATTAATTATAAAATTATTATTATTACTATCAGTATAATTTATATGTTTATTTTAGTTCAATATAGTGCGTGCAGGCCATTGATGATAGTTCATGTCATAATATTGCGTCATACTACATAGTCACTGTTTAGCTATATTCATACGGTGTAGTATGATGCGTGTGACAACTCATACTTCGCTAGTTTTCACTGTAAACGAACTGCATGAAGTGAGATTTTTAAAGTCGAAATCGTTCTATATTATCTAAGCATAATATAATCATAGCTGACTTTATCTAAAATTTTTCTCACAATAATTTTATTTTATTGAATTTGGAACGTTTCAGTAATATTTTTTTATGGTTATTAGAATCATGGAATTATAATAATAATGATAACGTGGTCATAATGAGAATAGAGATATCAATATTTAAGTATTTTTTTTTATTGAAATGAAAAAAATATGTTTAATCCTGCTAAAGTGAGAAAGTCTGTAAAGATATCTGTTACTGTACCAGATATAAATTAAATGTAATAGGTACACATGTGAAGCATAAACCTATTCTTGAGTGAAATTTAACATGAGAATCTTATTCTCATTTTATTTGCACATTTTGCTACGGAGCCATTACATCATCAATTCTGAACTAATTTGCAAATACTTAATTTAATTAATTTATTTAAATCACTTAATTGATTACTTTATTCTCTCATTGTTCATTGTTTTGTGCATATTGAAAATTGAAGTCGCTTTTTGTGGAGAAAATTGCATGTACTCGGGAAAAATCATGCCATGGGCACGTCTAAGAAGATATCTCTTTTTTTTTTTAATAAAATAATAGTAGTTTTCTATAGATAAAGTATTTTTTAAGTTTGGTTAAGTTTTTTTTTTATTAATCCATCACTAACAATAAAGTCTATCCTCTTTATAATATTAGTTTAAATTATAATAAGTATATTCACATATGTATATACGTGTACAAATACAAAAGTTTGTAGTGTGCGGGGAACCTTCACCCAATGGAAATTGTACACGTTACCAAAGTCGTCAATAATTAATCGTTGTAAAAAAAATTATTGGGTGTTAATTTTAATTTCCAACTGTGAGTTTCAACTGTGAATGACTGCGGTACACTCACTACTTACTATATAAATATACCGCGGATTTAGATATTCTCGGTTATATGTAAGCATATTGAATCTTATTTTTACGTAATAACACCAATAATCAATGAATGCTGCTGTCTTAGCAATACAAGAATATAGTTGTCCTCATTTTAAAAAATAAAATTATTTGAAGTCTACACAATAATTAAAACTACTTATAATTGTTCCCAGTTCCAATTTTACCTCCTTCCAGACATAGATGTCTTAGCTTAAACCAGTCCAGGGTACTGAAGCTTCCCAGCTGTAAAACTCATTTTATGGGTTATTCATTTGCATTCCGTGCTGCACAGATGTGGAATAAACTTCCCGTGAATATTTAGAATAGCCCATCTAGCAAATCCTTCAAGAAAATATTAAAATCATACTGTCTATTCAAATTCGCTTTCTTTATTATTATTATTCATTAAAAGACTGTCATTATTGTGTTCTCTTTTATTTGATATGCATGTATGATGTTTAACATATATTCTTATTTATGTAGATTTTTATTTACATATATGTACCTATGTGTGTATGATATATATGTATTAATATTGTATCTTTCATATCGTCATAGTCGTAGAATACTGCCTGATCTATATATGTAATATTTGTCAGATCCGTCCGTATTCTACGACTATGACGATATATATATAATGATTTGTAATTTATGTTTCTATGCATTGCTATTAGTACGCTATTAGTAAGGAATTCTTATTTCATTTCTGTTCTTGTTATAACAAAATTAATAATATTTAATACAGTATTAAAACAAGGGACTGCTATATAAACGGTTTACCATTCATTAAAAAAAATACCAATATTAACTAAAATTTTAAATTGGCAAAGATAATCGCATAACATCTACACAAATATTATAGTTTAACATAATACCATGAATTGTGATAAAATTTATTAGCCCAACACGGAAATAAACCCCACCAATTGCAAAATAAAATTATTATAAGACTATGAGAATAATCATTAGTAAGGAATTGATGAAGATAAATAAAGTAAATCTGTATTTATGTTACTGTATTTCATTTGAATTATTCACTTGTCATTGTATATTTTTATTTATGGTGCAATAAAGAGTTAAATAAATAAATAAATAAATATATAAAAATCTTGTCTTGCTCTTTCGATAAAAAGTATGACCTACGTATAGTTTTTTTTTAATGAAAATGGAATTGTTCCCAGGTCGACCTGATGGGATATATTGCTAGCAGTGAGGCCATCAGAACCTATTACTAACAATTCCTTCCCCCACATATGGTTTAGTATTAGTTTATACTATACGTATATATATAGATATATATAAAGTACTTATGTACGTTTGATATTTTGAACTGATCTTTTTTATTCAGAAAGGTATCATACAAAAATAAAATTAGTAGATACCTACATATACATAATAATTAGATACCTTTTATACTAAAAGCAGTGTAACTCACTTGTCCATAAAACTAAATCCTAGAACTGGTTACTTGATTAGAATTATTTTATTTAATAACGCTACCATTAGTTATGTATGACTGTCAATGCTCGAAGATTGACCACCATTATTACTACTAGAAGTTCCACAACCTTCCATATTAGACGACTACCATTTTGTACACAAACGTTTTGCGACACGTATTTCGCCTCTAAACGAGGCAAATGACTATCGCTGCTTGAAACCGAATGGTTAACAGTATCATCATATCAGCCGTTAGTTGTTTACTGCTGATCGTAAGCTTTCCACAAAAGAAGAGTTTTACCAGTAGTTGCCACGCAGTTGGCAGGCAAGTTGGTAACCGCGATATACCCTGTCAGGTTAACCTCCACGTGGTCCCCCATGGAAAGTCGTGCTGAATTCCAGGTTTTTTTTAATGGATGATAATGCAATGGTAACCTCGCCTGCGCTATCGGTATACACTGGCGGGGCACCAGTGAGGGATGATAGGTGAAGATGATGCAGGTCAGTTAGCCCACCGTGACATATCTAACAATAAATCAATCACGATGGTTTCCAGTGGGAACAACGAAGAGGTCGACCTTACACGGTATGTTGCTAACAATGGGGCTACTAATTCCCATTACTAACAATCCCTTCTCCCGCTCCAGGTGTATTTAACACGATGGACTAACTGACCTGCCTTTTCCTTCTTTCTGGTGACTGATGTACAGTGTTAGTATAGGTGAGGTTAAAAAAACCTAGCAATAGGGCCATTAGTCCCCATTACTGGGGGGAAAGGGATTGTCAGTAATGGAGACTGAGAATCCCATTACTAGCAATATACCCAACCAGGTCGACCTCCTCGTGGTTCTCCCTGAAAACTATCATAGTTAATTCCTGATGAATTCATCATGATGGGCTAACTGGCCGGTTTTCATTCTCATCTATCACCCTTCACTGGTGCTCTGCCAACGTCTCTCGTTAGCGCAGGCGGAGTTACATATCATTTAAACCCATCAAAAAAAAGTTCCCATTACTGATAATCCTTAACCCATTTTAGAATTATGATAATGTTTATTTGGATAAAAAAAAAAGAACATTGTAAATAGCCGTGGGTACCCCCACCGTAGCAAAAAAGCGTTTGCTGGGTCAACCAACATTTTATAAAAGTTGGAACAAAAAAATAGATTATAATAGATAATGTAGAATGAAGTAATGGGTAATTTTTTTTTTTAATTGTACGTATTAAACATTATTTGTTTAGCTTATGTCGTGGTATTTTAATACTGGATATAATGACAAGTAGTTCTATTTTCTGGAGGGATGGCACGACATTATATATAGATTTGAACTTGCCACGACTCCTCTCCTCCTAAAGGTAGAATTTCATGACTTTTGACTATTCATAAAATCGATAAATTGAATTATAAAACTTACTTACACGCATTAAAATTTTATATATAGTACCAACATACATTGTTGAACAAGACGAAAGTGACCGACAACCAACGAACGTGATGTTTGATATTCGAACCTATATCGAAGGCGAGTATTTCAATTCATATGAGTTGGAACCGTATTTTCTTCTGAATTCAGAAAAAAAAAAACACTACGTATACCTAATTAGGTATACGTAGAAAAACACTACGTATACCTAATTAGGTATACGTAGTGTTTTTTTTTCATGCAACTTGAATGGCAAACAAGCTGACGGCCCACCTGATGGAAAGTGGTAACCGTCGCCTATAGACATGAGCAG